CTTGTTATCCAACCGCTAAATCCTTTGTGAACCTTTGATGATCTTTTGCTCATCTTCAATCAATTTATCATCCATTTCCGTGTTGATTCAAAATTGACTTTTACATTCATTTCTTGCTCTCATTGAATGGTAAATATTCACAGTTTGCTATTCAATTGTACTTCATTTGGCTATTCATTATTCTCGGCTCAATAAGCTATTCAGAATGGATTCAGATAAAGGAGAGAAAAGAAGAAGAGAAAATTGTTCCATGAGAGAAGAGGAAACAGAATGTTACTTTTGTTCATCTTTTTCCATAATCTTTCTTCTCATTTCTCATTACCAACGAACATGTTTCGTTTGTAATGAAAATACGCCAAATTGCAATCAATCTTTACTTTGTTACGTCTGGTCAACATTATCTTGATAAACATTTTTTTTTCTGGTGTGTCATCAATAAGCTCAACTTATTGTGGTTACAATTGCATTCGCCTATTCAGTTGTTGACATTGTTGTTTACATGCAAGCTTCTTCTTGCCTCAGTCCTTCACTGTCAATTGAATTTGCTTGAGTAACAGGGAAGGAATGGTGAGGCAAAAGAAAAGGTAAAAAGTGATGTTTTTTTCTCCTTTCATTTATTATTTGGTTTGTGATGAAAAGGTAAGAGACAAGATGAAAAGGTATATTAAAGGGAAGGAATGGGATTGAAAATGCTGATAATGATGATTGGTTCTGTTGTAATGGACAAGTTTGCTTCATTGAAATGGATCGATATAATCACAATATGTTTACACTCGTTTTGGATCATCAATGGTTCACAATTTAATATCTCATTCAAAGTGTGTATTCATCTCTAAGCATGTTTAGTCTTGGAGTTTGTTGGTCATTTAGAGGTGAAAATTTGTTTCTTTTCTTGCAAAGTAACATTTTAAAATAAACTTTTGTTTGCTTGTAAATGAATCTACATTTGAAAGTGAGTGCAAGTGAACGTGAACGCTTCTTAAATGGTGTATCTTTTTGGATTGAAAGTCATGACTTGAATTGATTCTTAGGGCGAAATTGAAATTACAATTTTCCAAATTGAATGAAGAGGAAATATGAAATGTTTCAAGGCACGATTCAATATCATCTTACAGGATTGTGTTTCACTTTATTGTGCAACTTGCCAGATGTGGTTAAACATGATTAAGAAGAGTCTCGTTAGCTGTTGATAAAGTTGTTTGGAAATTTTTAGATTCATTTTTACACGCTAATTCGAGTCATGAAAGAAAGCAAGAGTTGTTAGACTCGAACGTTTCTCAGAATTTCTTGATTCTATTCGACCAAACTGACCAGTTATCAATATAATATTTTTATCCAAACGACAGAAGTTATATGAAAATTGAAATGCAGAAAAATTTTATTGACGAAACTCATTTCATTCTTTTGTTCATTTTGTGATTAAACAATTTCTCATCGGTTTTTGAAGCAAGATAGTTTCTGGATATCGAGAGATCGGTGAAAGAATTTTTCGCAACATCAAGCAAATGACCTAGTTTTGTGAATTTATGTTGACACCGAAATCATGAGAAATCACGAAACCAAAAATCGAAGATGATAAAGTTTCCATTTTCGGATTTTCGATATTATAATACATCGATACAAAAGTTGCTGAACCTTCGAGTTTCCTTTGCTGAAGCAAAGTTCTGATATTCATCAAATTTCGTTAGGAATTTCATTAGAAATAAATTTTCTTGAAAAGAAAAGAAACTTATTCTTTTTTGGGTCGCTAAAAAATCAGCGAATTTCGTTATTCCAGATAATCGAAGAAAGATCTGAATTCTATCTTTTCATTTTTATTAGATGTTTCATAAGATTTTCTGGTGAATTTCTTTTGATGAAATTCTTTTATTTACATTATTTTGTTTATCCAATATTTGATAATCCAAGAGTTTCCTCTGCTCTTTTTTGTTGCCTTTTCAAGGAAAATAAAAATAACAAGAAATGTTTGGTTGAACGAAAATGTAATAACAAGAAATATAAACATTAACTGACTGGAAAGAGATTAAGGGCGAAAAGAGTAAAAATATTATTATCAATAATAATGTTACACTGATTATCATTAACCCAACTTGATCCCAAGTTACATTTTATTCCAACCTTGCCTTTCTCATCTTCAATTCTTGTCTCATAATGTTTCCTCCTCATCACCTTTCTTTGTTCATCCCTTGTTTATTCCCAAAAGCTGCCTTCTCTCCACCATCAACAACTTAGACACTAACCAAGTTAGTGCCACTATAATAAAGATACATTCATGTCATCACCATCACTCTCTTAATCATCACGATTCTTCCCATTCCACCACTAAAAGACAATATTAATAACGAAACGAAACGCAATCAATGTTATGTTGATACAACCATTTCGATAACTAATTTAGCAACAGATAATCTTGCGACTAAATTGAACAGTTCAACTTGTATTCATAATCAAATTTCACCCTCAACTCTTGAAGACACTTTTTCTCCTTCTTTTCCTTCTTTACTTTTCTGGATTATTTATTGTTGACCATCGGATGAACTTGGAGTTAAATGGCTATGAAAAAGCGTAAAGTCAACAACAACAAGAGAACATAAAAAAATGTGAAATAAACAAAAGCGAAAAGTAAGGAAAGAGGAAAAAAAGTGATGACTATTTATCGTTGACAAGATTCTCTTCACTTTATTCCCTTGACCAAATCTTGACCAATTCATCTAATTTATCACTTACTGGACTTAAGATGAAGATGGAAGCGTTCATAAAGAAATGTTGTCTCACAAAAAGATGAAACTGTTTGGAGTGAAACAAAAGGAAAGAAGAAAGTTCAATGAAATATTGAGATGAAAATAAAAGCTGAAAGCTTTTATACTTTTTTTGGGTTACAATGAAATCTTGTTAGTTAATATCTTTTCCTTTTTTTCTGTTGCTTTTCCTTCGCAAACAGATTCATACAAATTGGTGGGAAAAATTGGATCAAAGTAAAAAAATATTCTCACAATTATCATGAGTTTATCATTCATTGATACATAATATTATTGACAGATAATCATGTAATTCAATCAGTTTCGCTCAACATTTACCTTTATCGAAATTCATGTTAAATTGGATAAAGAATAAAGGTTAAAAGAATAGAGAAAATTTTCATGAAACGATTTGAAATCGAACCATTTTCGTAGGTTAATGGAACCGTCAAAACAACAGCATGAAAATTCGAATCTCTTGACCCATTAATTTCCATCAATCTCAGATCGACATAAAAATCTTCGAAAAACAGTGTTTCATGGAAGAACTTGAAATTTCGTTTTAGGTCAACGTCAAGACCTTCGCCAACGAAAATAATCTTCTTGTGCTAAAAAAGCTAAGAAACTTATCGGCATAAGATCGAGACTGAGAGTTTTCCAGGGATGGAACATGTTATTTCTAGTAGAACTAAAAAACTGACGAATGTCTCTTTGAATTTCGCTTCTACTGAATTGGAATTTTCTACGCCTTTTTAACCGAAAATCTGCCCAAATCATTTAACTCATGAATCTCGTTTCACTTATTTCCATGATAACTTGAGCTGATTTCTAACAGAATCTTTTCAACTTCTTTTTTTCTTCCTTTAATAATGAATAATATTGAATAATCAAGGCAACAATATCGAATATGAAAAGGAGAAAAAAAGAAAATATTAATGCAGAAATAATGGTTAAGATGAATTCTTTCGGATCAATAAATGTTTTCATTGGAATAAATGAAAGAATCAGAAAAAAAGTTGATAACTTTCATGATGATATTGCTTATTCAGGTTTTTTCCTTCTTTCACTTTTTCCTCATTTTACTTTTACTTTGATTGACATTGAAAGTTTCATGATTTGGTGAAGTGCAACATTTAAACATGATATTACAATCTCTAGACTTTTACCCAGATTTTCATCGGTAAATTATCATTGCATGGGAAAAGCACGAAAAGTAATTCGTATTGAACCGATAATTTAGAGTTTAATTAAAATTGATCAAAGTTCACTTCAAGTAATCACTGAAAGCCAACGAAAAAGAAAAGAAAAGTTTAAAAAAAAGCTTTTCTCAGATTTACTTTCACCAACGAATCGCCAATTCATTGCCTTTAATTTCCGGTGTAATAAGCAAACCAAATTGTGACAATATTAATGAGACGAAAATAAAAACAAAAAAAGTTGCTAAATTGACTTTTCTGTTCCCAATCTTTCCATATCATTGATTCATTTACTGTTTACTTCGCAAATGATTATCCAATCATTGGCAGTGTTCAGTGAAAACTCATAACTTGAAAGTTATTACCTTTTCCATGCTCTCTCCTGGGTTCATGTTTTTCACTCAACTCTGTCTATTAATTTTCAGCTTTCAACTATCAAATTAATTGGTGATTGAATCAGGTAAACAGCTCAAGGCTGATGAATAAACGCTTTTTTCCCATTTATTTACATTCATTTACTTTTGCCGATCTCTCAAAAGAGAATCTCATTTGAACCGGAAAATTTGATTGTTTGTTGATGATGAATTATTGACAATTAAACAGATTAATCAACTTTTCCTTTCCATTCATGATTAATCATTTAATTAAGGAATAAAAGTTCATCATTTGATAAAGATTTTCAATTTTCTTCATTCACTTGATTCCAATTGGAAATGAATTATTGCATTCAATACTTTTTCATCTTCTTTTGCGGTTAAGAACTTTGTTTTTTTATTTCATTTCCCTTACTCAGACTTATCATGAAAATCAATGGAAATGTTGTCGACTATTAAACTTGATCAGTGAAGCTTAAAAGTTGAAGATTTTTCATGTTTCTCCATTCATTTTGTTTTCCTCTTTAAATCAATATGCAATGATTTATCGATGAGTCCTTATTAACATGTTAAAAAGGCAATTTCTTTGTGAATCTGCAAATTCGTCTGAATGTTCATTGCGAACATCAATCTTTTCATATTATTAAATAATCTCTTTTTTCTGTCATTCCCTGTCTTTTACCAACTTGCAGTTGTTGTCATGTGTGCTTCATCGGATTCAATCAGAGAGATCATGTTGGCTGCTGATGATCTTGGAATGGCTGGAAGTGGTGAATATGTTTTCTTTAGCATTGAACTTTTCACAAGGTAAATATTGACCATTTATTGCAATAGCATTGATAATGAAACTTGAAAATACAAGCTCAATGGGAACCTCAACCCAAGAGACTTAATAACCACAGATTGATTTGGTAAACAAAGGAGGGTCTCCAAAAATCTTCACTTTTTTATCTTTATTAGTTAAGAACTCAACTTTTTTTCTATAATAGAATAGACTATGGCAAGTTCAAAAATAAAATCTATTTTTATCTAAACTTCATATTTTGTGAGATATTCGAGGTCAAAGTGCGCAACTTCGGCGGTCATTTCCAGCGCGTGAGTAGCTCTGACATAAATCAAATCATGACAGTATATAGAGACTATTAAGACCTTTTGAATTGACCTTCATTCAGGTCGGTATGATATACAGTTCCTAAGAAAATCGATATCGAAAAAATACGGATAAAACGCCCGCTTCAGGCCAATTCAATTATCGTGACTACCAAACTTTTTTTCTGATATCTCCTGACTATTACACATGCAAATGACCTTCAACATTTCGATTTTTATTAATAGAAGATTTTGAAATATTTGATAGATTTTATATAAGAATTCAATAGTTAAACTTTAAAAACACATTTATTCAATTTTTATCAACTTAAAAGCTTGAAACTTGAAACTTAGCAACAAAATGTTATTTAATATTGATGAACAAAAGTTTAAAAATTGAGAAATAAAAGTTCAAGTAGCTCAGTTGAGTAATGTCAATTGTCCATCTTTAGTCGGCTTGTTCTTCATCTTCATCATCTGATTCATGTCTAATTGTTAAAGTAGACATTGGTGGTCTTACGATCTTGAGAGTAGGTTGATGCCTGCCATATCCAAGGTACCAAATCACAGTAGCAATGTGAGCACAGCATCCAATTGTTCTTGTTCCACTTGCACATTGACAAATGTAATGGATATTAGTTGGCTCACTTTTATCATACAAAACATAAGCTAAATATTTTGTTGCATTAGAGTGTCGGGATTGTAGTCTTACTCTTATCAAATCTGGATCTTGAATCCTTATGCCGGTGCCACTAAGATCTACTCTTAAGATATCTTTGTAAACCTGGAGGTAGAAGGAGCCTTCTGGTGAGCTATGTTCAGCGTAATATCCTAGTGCTTGATGCAATTGATATGAGCCAAGCGTAAAGTGCATCAGCTGTGTATATGTAAGGACTGGAAATGAAGGTAGCAAAGACTCGGCATCTAAGTTGATCCATTGTCTGCCATCAGCAGTGTACCTTTTGAATCGTGATAGAATGCTTGACATTGGATTTTCTTTTACATTTCGACTCTTCATTTCAGCAACTAAGTCAAAATCTATTTCTTTATCACTTTCGAGTCTTGAGCCAAACTTGTTTAACAGAGCACATGCTATTTTGAAATCATCGAAAGCGTGATCCAATGCTTTGTTTTGCCAAACATTCGTGAACTGTCGGTATGTTGATTTTACTCGACCATTAACATCTTCAACCGCATAGCGGACTTTTGTCACAATCCTGGAATCGTTGGCTTGTTCAGTTGTAAACTGTTTCTGCTTCTTAGCCTTCAGAGCTGGCATGAAAACTTTGTAACCAGAGCATTCAAGCTTTGCTGAAACATATCGGAAGCCTCTATCTAATACAAAGATATCATTTTGCTGGAAAAAATTCTTAAAATCCTCAGTATTTAGCATGTCTTGCATAATAGTTGAATCGCTTTGATTTGCGCTATATGGACCTGTGACTTCTAAAATCCAACCATCAGGCATACAGAAAATCATAGGCTTGAATAAGTTTGTAAACTTATGAGGTGAATATGATGCGCGTTGAAAAGGGTAGTGAGCACTCTTCTGATGATATACGTAGGTACCATCACAAATAACAATCATTTTCTCATTATCATAATCAGCTAACAGTCCACTAGCAATGCGTGTGACATGTGACAATGCTGTATTACGCGTGATATTTGCAAGGCCGATGTATTTCGGTACGAATTGCTCCTTCAATGCTAATCTAACTTGCGAAACATAGTTGTAGCCTGTCGAATTAGGAACACCGATTACATCAAAAATTCTTTCCCAAGAGTCTCCGGTACGAAGTTTAGCGAGGTAGCAAGCAAGAGCTCTTTCAGGAAACACAATGTCAGACTCTAAGTTTATTTCTTTGGATAGTTCAATCAATTGACGCATTGTCAAAGATGTCCATCTTCGTGCAATCTCATCCGGGATATCATCACATCGTCGAAAACAAAACCTTTCTTGCATTGAACTAATAAATGAAAAGACGTCCTCAATATCTTCTACAGTGAATTGCCTTGTAAGATAAAGCTGTTCAATGAATTCGACCGATGAAAAGAAATCGTGATGTTTGCAGATTCGTGAATTAGGAGGCACATAAATATATTTGGTCTTCAAGAGATGCGTTCTTTCAGCCAAAAAAAGATTTCTCACATTAGCACGACCTGGCCATCGGCACCCAAATATGCATGAAAGACGTGGGCACTCAACTTTTCTATACTTATTCAAGACGGTCGGAGGTTGAACGAAAGGAGTAGCATCCTCGTCCAATGAAGCACGTGCCACAGAGGGCCTTCTAGGCTCATTTTGCTCAGCTAATGCTATATGCAAGTCACTCCGTCTGCGAGTTGAACTTGAGGTCGAAGCAACAGAAGGCGGTGGCATCATTTCTGTATCTTGTGTTTGAGAAGCAGAACTTGCGGCATAAGATACTGAATCAGATTGATTCGATGCATTCGAAGTTGATGCCGATGATGTTGATGTGGATGAAGTTGATGCGGATGAAGTTGATGCAGATGAGGTTGATGCGGATGAGGTTGATGCAGAAGGTTGGCTAGAATCAGAAACTGAGGAACTTTCATCTCTGACTTGCACCCTTGTTTGTGATTTCTGTCTTAACCAATATGAAAACTTGCCTTGACAGCTCCTACACGCATATTTAGTTTTTGGAGCAGTTGCGTCTCGTGAGAGCTCGGAATGCAATCGCATGAACTGCTTCACGTCTGGCCTTTTGAAGACAGTCAGGTCCACTCTTCTTTTTGTTGTGACTAGCGAATCACAGATTCCACATTGAGAAGCCATAACTAGAGCTGAAATACGCAAAAAATAATGACTGATTATTACTAAAATAGAAATGAAAACATCAGAAAAATACCTGGTTAGAATATCGCAATTATATCTCGAACAATTATATTTTTCTCCGTCGAACGTTTGCTTACGAGCGTGTGCTAGAAATAGATTGAAAAATCAGATTAGTTTGTCATGAAAATATATATTAACTTACTTTATACGAGAATTGTATTGATGCTAATAATAATGCTCCAGTGAAATACGTGATTATGCCACTAGATGAAAATAGAAAACCTTTCGAAAGAGCAACTGAAGTTCAATTGTATTTCAATTTTTCTAAACTGAAAAGCAATTGTTATTTTATCAACGCTGCTAGTTATATGGCATGGAATAAAAAGCAGTGACTGAGTATTGTATACGCTTAAATATTGAATTCTTATATAAAATCTATCAAATATTTCAAAATCTTCTATTAATAAAAATCGAAATGTTGAAGGTCATTTGCATGTGTAATAGTCAGGAGATATCAGAAAAAAAGTTTGGTAGTGACGATAATTGAATTAGCCTGAAGCGGGCGTTTTATCCGCATTTTTTCGATATCGATTTTCTTAGGAACTGTATATCATACCGACCTAAATGAAAGTCAATTCGAAAGGTCTTAATAGTCTCTATATACTGTCATGATTTGATTTATGTCAGAGCTACTCACGCGCTGGAAATGACCGCCGAAGTTGCGCACTTTGACCTCGAATATCTCAGAAAGTATGAAGTTTAGATAAAAATAGATTTTATTTTTGAACTTGCCATAGTCTATTCTATTATAGAAAAAAAGTTGAGTTCTTAACTAATAAAGATAAAAAAGTGAAGATTTTTGGAGACCCTCCTTTCCTTTTCTTTTTTTCTTGGTTTCCAAATTTTCCTTTTCTCGATATGATTATCGTTATTAACAGTGTTTAATTTACACTGATTTAATGTACAGTTAAGAGGCTAACACAAAAGTAATGAAAGATGTGAATGGAAAACAAAATAATCTGCTTTTGTCTTGGGCTTAAATTGATGGGATTAATTGAGAAACAGTGAAAATCACTCTTTTCAACTTGTTATAAATTCAATTTGGCTCATTAAGGATTATCATCTCATTTCAGAATAATCTTGCCAGCATTTGTTTCAACTTTCCAGGATAACTTTTTCCTCTCAAAATTTACTCTTCACAAACTTAAAATGTAAACAGGGAAGTAATATGAATGATTATAATTGAGGCTTGCTAACAGGCCAACGATGAACACCAGAAAAGCCCAAAAAAGCTAATCCAAAAGAGCTTAAGTCTAAATGGTTAAAGTCAAAGAGTCTAAGTTTCATCTTTCATGAGAAGTTAACTCAGTTTTTGAAGCAACAACTTTAATGAATACAACACTTAATATGAGACTATCTTGACTGCGACAGGGAATCAGTAAAGTAAATTACACAAAAGAATAAAAAACTAACATGAATTGTATAACATTGAAAATCGTTCTTTTCGGTACTTCTATCGAAATGATAATCTAAACAATTCGAAAATTTATGCAAAGTTATTGCTCGAAACAAACATTGCTTTTGATTTTCTGTAAAAGATGAATTTCCACTGTTTGATTACTTTGAATATTAAAAAGATTTTATTTCGATTGCATTTTCTCTCTGAATAATGAATAGTATCGTTTACTTTCAGTGATTTTTTCCAGTTACTTTAGTTTTTTCAGTTTTTCCCTAAAATGCTAAGGGTTATTGTCGATTCCAATCATTTGGATCTTTTTCAAATCCCTTCGATATTGCATTTTGAATAAAGTCAAAAGCTTAATCGTGACGAGTTTAAGGTTTTCTGTGTTTTCCGACGTCTGTAGTAGAATTCAATCCTATGAAAAGAATATCAAAGAGTTTTGATTTTATGTTTTCTAAATTCATAATATTGGTTAGATCAAGATGTTGCGATTTAAGGTTGAAAAAGAGTTGAAACTTTTTATCTGGAATCATTTTGCTCCATTAATCTAACCTTAACCGGATTTGGTTCAATGTTTGATTTATTTTGCTGCTTTAATCTTTTCTAAATCTTTTTTACTGGAACGCGATTTTGAGTCGACATGGAAAGATGAAAGTCTGGAAATGTTGCTTTGACTTTCTCAACTCATCTAATCTTCATTCATAAAATTTGCTCAATCAATAAAGCTTTTAATCTTGATAGATCAATAAGCATTCCTTTTCTCACTCAATCAACGCTCGAAAAAATGAATAACTAATGATTATTCAGAGACAGATGCGATTCTCAAATTGTTACCAAAAGTGTTCATCTGCATGAATCTGTGTGAAAAGAATATCAAATTATATCAAATTGATTATGACTAAATTATGAATCACAAGTAACCTTCCCTGTTGAATCATTATTTGCCTGTTTCTATGTTAATATTTTCATTGTTATTGATGAACCATTTTGTTGCCACTTTATGCATTTGCATTGAAATGAACTGAAAATCAGAGTTGCATTCATTCAACTCCCAGTCCTGACATTATAATAATGAAATAATAATTGCTGATAAAAAGTCAAACAATATGAAAAGGACAAAAAGCTAAACTAAATGACCAACTAATCTTGATTAACCACAGAAATTGCAATGAAAATTTGATAAACTTTAGAAATTAAACTTTTCCAAATTGCCATCAACATGATATTGTACAATGTTGCCATGAAAATGAATTAATTGCTTTTTCATGGAAAAATTATTTCTTTTTCATTCTTTTACCAAAAATTCATTTCTTTTTTAATGAGATTATTTTATTGGCCATTAACTCGTTGAACAAACTCGACGTGAATTTCAATTGTTGCACTTTCATTAATTATTGGATTAACCATTTTCTCATAAATAATAATTACAAATGTAAATGTTTGCCTTTCTTTATTATCTCATGATATCAATATTCTGTTGCAGTAAACAAGAATCTCGCCGTCCCTGGTTTCGTGAGGATGATACAGACGAACGCAATGAAAAGGCGAAACGCGCTTACGAAGCATTACTGACAGTGACAGCAAGAGTTCCAGACACTCCAGAGTATGCAAGGTTTGCCAAGGCAGTCAAGGAAATAGCCGCTCAAAACTATGGCTACGATTATAAGCAAGAAGAAGTAAGTTTTTCGATTTTTTCGAGTTTTCCCTTTGAGTTACTTTACAAGTGAATCGATCTGAACTCATGGTATCTGCATAAATCGATATGAACTTGAATGGCTAACGAATTTCGAAAGGGTTTAAGGAAGATGGAAAATTGAGAAAAGTTTTGGAAGAAAATTTCAGTCGAAAATAGAAAAGAAATGAAATGCAAAGAAAAATAATGGATAGAGTTTTGGGGATGAAGCTTGCTCGAAGTATTTAGTTGAAGTGTTTGCAATTAGATTCAGTATTCAATTGAGAACAATTGTCTAAGTGTTTTCATAAAAAAATGTGTTTTGAAAAATTGCACCAAAACTGTGAGTGACAACAGCATAAATCATTTGCTTTCCAGTCTTTTGATTGTTACATTATTGTTGGGTTTGTTGTTACACAGCCATTAAGATAATATCTTAATGAGTTAAATCAACAGGGAGTGAGAAGTTATTGGTCGATGAAAAGATGAAACAAGAGCCAAACCATCAAATGGATTCTCAGTTGATTATCATCTATTATTTACTCTTCTATTACTTTCAGCCACTTTATCAACTGTCAATGTTAACAAATTGATTTATAATGATATCAAGAATGATTCAAGTAATTCATGTTTCCCTTTCCACCATTGGAATTGTAAATTAATCAAAACTGTTGATCATGTCTCATCAGTTATTGATATTGTTTCACTCATTTGTGGCTTTAAATGATAAATTGTTTTCCCTTTTGTTTCAGGTCAATACTTTTGTAACTGCTTTTCATGAAGCTGTAATTTTATATGCAATTGCTCTTAATGAGACAATAAGTGATGGTTATAATATAACCAATGGCACTATTGTGACCAAAAAAATGTGGAATCGAACCTTTGAAGGTAAAAATGAAGGTTTTTCGAGATTTGCGTTTTTCTCAACTTTTTGCATTCGTTTGTTAGGTATTACTGGTAATGTTTCAATTGATGAAAATGGAGATCGAAATGCTGATTATTCGCTTCTCGATATGGACCCGAATTCGGGTAACTTTGAGGTTGTGGCCAATTATTTTTCCGTTAATCGGGAAGTAGTCGATGTTCCTGGTAAACGAATCCATTGGTCGGGTGGACGGGAAACGGCACCACCTGATACACCTGATTGTGGCTTTGATGGATCCATTTGTATAGATGAAGGTAAACTTTAGTTCAACTTTTATGCGACTTTTGTTGAGCTTTTTTTGTGCGAATTCGATCGATGCTTTTGTAGGTTGAATCTGCAAGAAGAAACGATGATTGGAATTGATTTTAGTTGAGAGTTGAACACTTTTCTTGAAATGTTGAGAAAAGGTGATTCGAAAGTACATTTCTATAAGTAGACTTTAATGTTATTGTATTAATATATTATTAGAAACGTAACTTGAAGTTATCAAAGTGCATTTCTATCATTGAGATGAAACAAATTATTCAAGCATTAAATATTACATTAGCATGTTAAGTCGAAAGTGAAAATGATAGCTTGAGGCAACATTTTCTTAACCAAATTGAGTTTCTTCACATTATGATATGACTGCTCAAATTGTATGGAAATTTTGGTTAAACAGACAAAACTTGTCGATAATGGAAGCTTTTCTGTAAGAATCTTTTTCTATGAAAACCATTCCAAGTAAACTTCAGCAAAAGTCAAAAGGAAAATCTTCAGACTTTAAAATAAATCACTTTCTAGTTTCGCAAATCAAACCTCAGTTAGTGATTTGAAGGGTCAAGTGATAATACAATTCCAATGCCGATCGAGCTTTAAGAGTTTGATTTTTCCATCGAATGAAACTTCGCTAAATGGAAATTAATTTTCCATTTCGATGTCAGGTTCACTTGATTCTATTCTAATGTTCATTTCTCTGTTTTCAATTACCAGATTATCCTCATCATGGAATAATTTCTGCCATTTTAAGTGCTCTTCTAATTGCCTTGTGCATATTATCATTCTTAATTTTTAGGTAACATTTTTGATTACCATTTTCACCTCAAATTATTATTCATTATTACATTGCAAAATTATCATCTAATTAACTGTCCATTAGACATTATAAACTAGAGGCTGAACTTGCCTCAATGAGTTGGCGAATCAAATGGGAAGACATTTTAACGAATGACAAGAATCGAAGAGGCAAAAAGCTTGGATCAATAAGCAGCATTAATCGTCCAAGTGTAACGGTAAATAACATTCTTTACCAATTTCCATGAGCATCGAATTTTCACAAATGAAAATTTTTCCAAAAAAAGATGAAAAGTAATTTCTTTTCAGTAAACAATAGACCCTTTAAAACCCTTCATTTCCAACTCAACCAACTAATTGAAGCATTTCTTGATTTCAGTCAACAACATCTTCTGAGACGATAAACGCTGTTGACATTGGAAGGCAACATTTCATTCGAACAGGCTATTACAAGGTAAATTAATTATGATTAAAAGTCGAGTTTAAAGTGTTAACAGTTTACCAAACAAAAGGTTGACAATGTGATTGTAATGGTTTGTTAAGTGATGAAGCGTATTTGGAGAAACATTCTCTCTCTTCTCCATTCATGGAACATTGAATCTGAATAGATTCTTACATGATATTAACTTCATCTTGTTTGGTGATGAAAATGGTGATATAATCCTCTGATGGGAATAAATAATATTCATTTATAGCGATTGTTGCTCTTGAAAAGGTTGATCACTTCAAGTGAACCAGAAGTTGACTTTCATTTGCTTTTTTCAAGAATTACGATTTCCATTAAATGATCAATTTTCATATCTCAACATTTACTAAATTCATTTGCCTTTTAACGTTTGTCACTTGGAATCAATTAACTAAACTCATGATATGTTTCATGAAACTGCTTTTTTCCAGAATTTCTTCTTGTTCTTTCATGTCTACACACAAAAATGAATTTCTTTTCAGGTTGAAAATCGAATAGATTTTTATCGTAAAAAGATTTTTCTAGTTTTTTCTAGCTTCTCTCATTTTCTCGTTTCAAATGTTTTATTGTTTCATTGTAATTGATGAACAAAATGAATGTTGAATTGAAAAGATATGGGCTATTAAATGGCAGCCTAAATTATTGAGCTTTCAATCGGTTCAGTTGAGATTATTGAATTGAAGAAAATATCGTCTGCTTTAAAGATCTTCTTTTCATCCATTTTTCTTGATTCATCTTTCATTAGTTTTCAATCATTTTTTCACTTGATTCATTTTGATGTTCATCAATTTTAAGCTTGAAATGTTGAACCAAAGAAGAAGAAGAAGAAGAAGAAATATTTTTTCAAAATTTGTATTCACTTTCGGTTAAGAATCATGATTCACTTTTTTCTCTATCATTATCATGTTTACATTTACGATAATCATAAGGGAACTGAAAATATCACCAACTGTCTATTGAAATGATGGAAACGTGAAACAACATTAAATCTCAGACAGAAGTTGCAATTCGCAAAGTAAAACAAATTCAATCGAGAATAGAGTTTATTTAATAGAAAAGGTTTGCATTTTTAAATTAACCAAAATTGTAACTCAATTTTTTTCAAACTTGCAATTCTAAACATGATCAGCATGACGTTTCAATTGAACCAATTCAATATAAAATAACCAAATGAGACAAAGAAGTCTGTATACTTGGCAGGTCCAAGATTGAACCTAAAGATAAAACAGTCGATTCGATGAAAGGCAAGTAACTCGAGCTAACGAAGTTTGAGCTCACATAAGAAAGTAGTTCGAAAGATTTTTTAGCGAAAAAATTGTTTTCGAACAAATGAAATTTGAACTAACTTCGGATCCCTGAGCCTTTAGTCCAGTTCCATACCACAGAATCGGATATTAACCTTCCATTCATTTTTGCACGATCATTTGCTTTTCCATTTAAGTTGACTTTGACTTGTGTTTTGTGATTTTCATGAGATTTTTTCATTTTTCTTTGGAATAAAAATGAAAATTGAAAATTTCAAAATATTGAATATGAATCAGATAAAGGTGAAAACTGAATCTGGAAAAGTTGAGCAAAATTGTCAAAATAAATTGAACAATTGATTCATCAGTTTATGTGATAGAAAAATTGAAAGCGAATAAAAAAGTTGAACATAAATTTGATTTACTTTGACAGTAAAATATGAATTAAAATTGTTTTTTTTCGAACGAAAAATGAAATGGATTCTTTTCTCAGGTAGCAATGAACAGAGAGAAAAGTTGATCGTTTACAGAATCATGAGCCTAATATTGAATGTTTGGAATAAAAGTTGAATCGAAATCAGCATTTAATTTGCTTTTATGAAGGAAAAGAAACCATGATTATTAGAGTTTGGAAAATGATTAACAATGAAGGAGTTCAAGTGTTGAAATGAATTGATACATTTTGATTGACGAATATGTTCAACAATTGATTCCATGAAAAGTAACACGTTTGTCAATGGAACCAAGAATATCGAGCAAAGTGGGCGAAGAAATGGGTTGATGAATAAACTCAATATTTACACAGCAAACACAATCCCAGAAATATTTATAGTTGAACAGAAGAAGGAAAAAATTGCAATGGAAATTGAGGAAAAAGAGGAAAAAATTTACTCCTTTTTTGCACTTTACAATTGCATGTTTTCTTGCCTTTTAACCTCATTCATGTTGCCATGATAAAGATTCACCTTCAATTGAACGATTGATCTTTTCACTTTAACTTTTCATATTACCTTTCATCTTCATCTTTACCTTGACTTTTCAATAGCTTTCCACATTTCCATTTCACTTTTCAAAAGCTTTTCAACATTTTTGTAGCTCTTTTTGTACTTGGACTTTATGAGAAATGTTAATAAAACAGATTTTACTCTTTCAGTGGATCCGTTCACTTTACTTTGATCACCTTTCATAATTGGAATGTTCATTTGGTGAATTTTATTGAATAATGTTGTTTTCCTCTTCGCTCAGTTTATTAAAATCTTGTCGCTTCCATTGTTATAATGCTTGTTTTTATTGTAATAATGCAATAACTCAATGAAGTGAAAGTCAATGTGAAATGAGAAAAAAAGTAATTCCGAAATTTGTTTTCACACAATTTAACCAAATATTGACAATTTTGTGGTGTTTTATATTATAATGCAATATTGATCAATAAAAAGTCAAATGATGAGGTTGTGATGAGAAAGGATGAAAATACATTTTGTTGAGAGTAAACACAAAATTTAATACTTTTTTACTCTTTTTCAAGGGAACTGTTGTGGCCATTAAGCCGATGAGAAAAACCAAAGTCGAAGTAACTCGAAGTTTAATGTTGGAAATGAAAAAGGTACATTTATTTCAACAGATAATTCGCTTCTTCCATATCAATTGTTGCAATTTCATTCTATCGACGATTCACTTTACAATCCAATGTTGAATCGTCATTAGAACCTCTAATTTCATTTATGAACATAATTTTGTTTTCTTTTTCCACTTCAATCGACTCTTGGAACTTTTTTGGCTCTTCTATTGAAAGATCAAAGACTTGCAACACGATCATATTGTGCGTTTCATTGGTGCCTGTGTTGATCCACCTCATATGTGCCTAATCACTGAATACTGTCCAAAAGGTAGTCTAATGGATATACTTGAAAATGATCAAATTAAGTTGGATTGGATGTTTAGATATTCACTAATGCACGATATAGTCAAGGTAAGAATGAGTTTTCAGCCTTTTCTTGTTCGACTTTCAATTGTTTAGAGCCAACTGTCGTCTTGAATTTGTCAAAACTTTACCAACATTTGAAAAAATTTTGACTTTTGCATTTATGTTTGTTTAACAAATTGCATTTATAATCAAATTAATTGTTGGTTCTTTTTACTTTTTGAACATTTTAATTGTTCTGTTTCGTTTTTTTATTGATATTTTTTTTCCTTTCAGGGAATGTCTTATTTACATTCGAGTGAAATTCGAAGTCATGGTAATTTAAAGTCAACTAATTGTGTTGTTGATAGTCGATTTGTCCTTAAAATAACCGATTTTGGTTGCCATCAGTTGAGGATTCCTGATGAAAATTTTGTTGAAGATGACAATGTTTACTGGAAACGTAAGTAATATCATTAAAACAGTTTACTTTTGCTATTAAACAACTTTTCTCAATTATTCCCATGTTTAACCGCTTTACCTGACTATTTTATTCATTTTTTTGTTACATCAAATAAAATATTTACTTTGCTCATTTTGCTTTTCCCTCAGCTAATAATTTTGCATTTCAAACTTTCCTTTTCATGGTAAAAACATTAAATGTTCAACTGTTTCTTTCATCATGCAATGTTGAGTTTCCCTTTTCAATTTCACTTTTTAATTACGAATCAACATTAAAAATCGTTATTTTCACTTCGATTAATAATTTTATGTTTAATTGACAAGGAAAAGCGAAAAGCAAACAGATTCTTTTCAAACAACCAACTTCTCAGTTCGCTTCATGCAATCTCATCAAGCTAATTGTTCCAGGTTCAGAATGTCAACATCTATTGTTAACATCAATAACTAGCAGCTCCAACAGTGAAACAATTATTTCAATCCATCAACGAAATGAATGCAGAAGAAATCTTTCTTTCAGTTTGAATATCATTTCGATTTGAAACATAAAATTTTCTCATCGAAAATAGAAATATTGTTCTTTAATTTTCACTCAATTGCTGCTGCAATTAAACGAAATTGAATCAATAGATTGAAGCCATTTTCAACACAATTCATACAGGTTTCATCCTTGATCCAAAAGTGAAAGTAAAGTTCGAGAAATTAAAGATTTTCGTTTTTCTCTTCTTTTCGTTTCAACTACAAAAATGTTGAAAGTTCAACTGTAATAGCATTTTGTCCTTGCTATTGAAAAGCTTTTTCAATCGAAATGGATTTGTAGGTTTACCAATGCTTGTTGGTTAATCAAATTGCTTATTTGGTTAAATTAATTGATTAATTGTTTCACTCCAATAATCACTGAATTATCCAAAAGCCTAAAGAGATCCATTAAAAGATTCAACATTAGACAGCAATATGCTTAACTTACAGTTGACTTTCCCTTCATCCTAACCATAGACTTGGACTTGAAATGTCAAATGAATGGTTAAACCTTTTAATGGCATTTTCATTGTTAATTTTGATTATTACCAAAACAGTTGGAATCAAATGGAAGATTTAAAATGATCAAATGTAAACACTTTACTGGTTTGTTTTAGCAATCAATTGATTCGATTGCTGTTCAATCTAATTGTTTACCAATGTTTGAAAAAGCAACAAATTAACAGTAAACAGAGTTAATCATGAAAAATGTATGACTTGTTTGAAACAAAGTGTTGATGGTAAACTTAATTTCTTTCCTTTACATTGATTCGATTAACTTACAAATGTTAATTGTGTTTCAATGTTAATCGAAATGGTTGAGTCCGAAAGTGTTGCCAATGAAATTGAGTGATAATCAAATTGGGTGAAAGGTTGAAACTGTTTACGGGCAAAATGGTTGAGAAAATAGATTTAATCCAGAAAATGGATTAAATGAAATGTTCAATTTTAAACGGTAATTTCACTTTTCGTTCAATGCTTTCATTGTCAATCTTTTGGTTTTAACACAATTACCTTTAATTGTAATCATTTGGATTCCATGGAAAAAGCTCAATATATTGTTGACCTTTCATTAAATTGAATCCTTTATGAGTTGTTTTTTCCCTGAAATCCTTTTCCCTATTCACATCTGCAATCTGTTGCAAAAGTCAACTTCAATTAAATTGAATTCAAGTCAAAATAATGAATGAAAGTGAATCAGTTTTACAATGAATGCTAAAGGTGACTTTTAACCTGGAAATTAGTTTTTCATTTGCACAACTTGATTCTTTATTCCTATTCATTGCCATGTTGGATATTATTTGATTTCATTTTAGATTTAAGTTGTTGATTCTTTTCTTTTTACTCCAACTTCAATCAGATTACATCTTGAGTTGGTTAAAGGTATAATTGTTTCAAGTGTTGCTTACTAGTTGACAGAAAAGGTATTTTCATTTGAACCATTTACTTTCTTTTCTGTGACTTAATATTCAGAGAAACTCATTTTGAAATGTTTCTTCGAGTGCAAGTTCAAGAAAGAAAACCTTTTCACAACTTTTTACATTTCCAACATTTCTATTGATTTTAAATATTGGAAATTTTGTGATAATTCTGTTCATATTTTGTCGATGATTCTGCAAAATGAAAAGCAATCAAATTCGGGCGAAATTTTGATTTTCTTGAGAATTTCGAACTCAATGTTTCGATATTTTTTACAGGCTTGTATTTAAGAAGTGACTGTAAATTTTACTTGAAAAGAATGAAAAAGATCGGGAAAATCCTAGTTTTCTCATAATATTCAGATTCTGAAGAAAAGCTTTCAACTCTTTGTGTAACTTGGAAAAGAATCATCTTTGGTTGACTCAAATATTTGCAACTGAACTTTTTTGGAATTTTTGAAGTAAAAAGTCGAAAGAACATGAAATTGCAAATTGAATAAGAAAGTAAAGAAAATCTGATTTCTGAAAAACTGAGTTTACATTTCGATGTGAAGAATTTTCCTGATTTTGATAAAAATTTTGAAGAAAGTAATTTTTGCTCAGAATTTTTCGGTTCAAGAATGAATTTTAATTTTTTAATTTCTTATTTGGACGTAACTTTTTCTGGTTAAATAAGCAAATGTCGTAAATGGTTTGAAATTGAGCTTTTTTTGCTTCTACATTTTTCATGTTATTGATAAACAGATTGATTGCTTTGTCTGGTTGATTAGTCAATGTTAACCATTTAACCAGAAAACCCAAAATGTAATCAAGAAAATTACAATCAATAAGAAAATCACCTTTCCTCATTTCTTGATTAACATTTTTCTCTACTTTGCTCCAGTTAATCAAATCAATTGACAATGTTAAGACAAGATTAACCAACTTTTCCTCTTCAAGTGACTTTCATATTTTACTTGGCATCATCAACCGTTTCCATCAAAATCATGGTTATAACCAGTTATCACTGTTATCATCTTGAAACCCAAATCACTCCCAATACATCACTCCCAATGGTATTTATAATAATAACTGGATTAGGTTATTATCATTATTGCTTTTCTTAGCTTTTTTACCAAACTTGTCTCGACTCAAGCGATACAAGTTTGAGTGCTAATTTTACAATTTCCCCATTCATGGTTATCCATAAAAATGTTAACCTTTAATCAGTAAACATTTGTATTTCCGTGTAACCAGAAAATTGAAAATTGGACAATTTAGATTGATTTGGAAAGAAGAGGAAAATTATTTATGTTAATCTAGCTGTTAAGTCAACATTGCAAGTTGATCAATTGATTTACATTGACAATCGTTTGAAAGAGTTGACAAGAAAAGGTAAAATCTAGTTGAAAATTATGTAAATTATTAGTTGACTTTTGCTCTCATGTTTACCTAAAAATAACAATTTGCCAGTCAAGATGAAGATGATGATAATAGATTGATTGGGGAATGAAAATGATGTTTTCAAGAGTAACAATAGTCGAGTGATGAAAGGTATAAAAAGGAGTAAAAATGGATGCTTTTTTCTGGTAAAATGATGGGGAAAGGTTAAAAAAACAAGGTAAATAGCTTTTGACAATTTTGTTTACCAAAGTAAATCCATTTACCTAAGAATCTCAATCATTTTAGTGAAGCTAAAAAAGCCTTTTCTTTCCTCTTCTCATCTTCACTCTTCATCAACAATCTTCTTACCTTTGCTCATTAAACTCTACTTTTGCTCATTACCTTGATATTGGTTTAATTGAAATTTGGTCCAGTTGATTCTGAAATTGGTTTCCTCTGGGTTTAGTTAATGATGGGTTTAGGTTGACTTTCAGATTATTTTACTGCTCGCCAATTGAAATTTATTATTATATACAATCAGTTCTGTCTTTGATTGCTCTCAATTCAAGTCTGTAATTTGTCTGTGAAAATACATTGTAAATGTATTACATTGGTCTATTCAGTTTAAAAGGTTTACCCAATTTGGTTGTTTATTTGAAATTATATATTTTTTTGTCTGTTGTACATTTCATGATTAACTGTGTTTATTTATTAATAACATTTCCTTGTGAATCAATTTGATTTGGGTTGAAGTTATTAACATTTAAATACATTGTTTGTAAATTATTTAGCTTGGAGTAAATGCTTTTTTTATATTTGGTTTAATATTACATTCAGTTTTTTGCCTACTATATCTTAATATCTTTACTGGTTGATCAACTTAAATATTGCCATTTTATATCTTATGCTTGATGTTGTTCAGCATTTCCAATGGAAATCTCAATGGAATTAATCGTAATATAATTTGAGTTGGTTAAGATAAAAGAATTATTATGATTAAGAGAAATAATTGCTGTTGGAGCTTTTTTTGGGTTGCCATTGCATTAATTAATGTTGATGTACATTAATGCAATTTGTAATTAGCGCCATTTCTGGTTTTCTTGATGAGACGTTTCTTTAATCACATGACTTTTTGCTGGTTTATTTATTTCTCGGATTTTGTTTGCTTCATTTTAATTGCGATTATGGTTTAATTTTCAAATATAATCGTGATATTTTGGTTCAAACTAAATCTCTATTATGTTGTTGTTAGGTTTTCATGTTAATGGTTACTTGGATGATTAATCATTCTGTTTTTTTTCCTTTTATTTCTTTCTCCTTCTCTCTCTTTAATTCTGGGTTTTGCTTCCCGCTTTTTTGCCATTGCCATGTGTTGGTTGCCTACGCCTTTTTGGATTGCTTTTGTGTATATTTTAATCAAATTGATTAAGGTAAACTATGGACAGCTCCTGAACTACTCAGACTATCCAATCTACCCTTTGAAGGAACCCAGAAAGGTGATGTTTACTCGTTTGGAATAATCGTCCATGAAATTGTTTGTCGTAAAGGAACCTTCCATTTAGGAGTCAATAGTTTGTTAACACCACAAGGTAATTTAATATTAATCGTGCTATTCTAATGTCCATCCAATCGATGATTTTTTTTTTCCTTTTTTTCTTCCTTCTTTCTCTCCTCAATTAATGGTTCCTCTCATAAAATGTATGTCTACTGTGTAATGTACATGTCGTATAAAGGGAAAAAAGGATATCACCTTTGCCTAATTGTAATTGATGTTGATTATTAAACTGTGAGCCAGTAGTATATTGTTTATATTGATGCAGTAAAATAGTAAGTGTACTTGGTTGATTGTTTTACCCGATTTATATTAATATTGATTCGATGCAAGTCTATCCTACACTATATTCTTACTTGTTGGATTGAGTTAACGATTCTCGAAAACTATTAAGTGACATAATCAAGTGTTCCTAATTACTAGATTTTATTAAAGGATCAGTATTGGGGAAGAAAGGATGTTGGCTGATTTTATTTTTAGCTATACCATTGACAAACCTTTCTATTCAATTAACTAGACTACTTAATAATTACATTAATATTTGACTTTGTTTTCTCTTCATCCACTCTCGCCTTCATCTTGAATCTATTATGTTAACCTGAATAATGGATCAACTTGGCACGGTTTGATGGTTTAATTATGATTAATTGGAAATTACAAAGAGATTGTTGAAAATGTTAAAAATAGTCCCAAGCCCGGTTTTCGTCCAAATATACAAAATGATGCTTGTGATGACGAAGTTATCCAATTAATGCAACGATGTTGGTCTGAAGATCCAGTTGATAGACCAGATTTTCAAGCTCTCAAATCTGTTATTCGTCGACTTAACAGGTAATCACATTTAATTAAATTTCCCTTGTCTACTTTGACAATCATTAATACCCTTCATTACCCTCTTTTTCCAGAAGCAATGAAAGTGGAAACATTTTGGATAATTTGTTGTCACGTATGGAACAATATGCTAATAATTTGGAAACACTTGTTGAGGAACGAACAGCAGATTATTTGGAGGAAAAACGTAAAGCTGAAGATTTATTGTACCAATTGTTACCCAAGTAAGTTTAATCCTGGTAATTTAGCCTTTTTTTCAGCCTTGCTCTACTTCAACTTCAATTGGTACGATTAATTTTTGTCAATTTTCTGTTGAATTCTGTTTGCTCTCATTTCATCATGTTTATCTTTCTCCTTACATGCCATTTATCCCACTCTCTGTGTGTAATCCTTTCATCTTGACTGATCTCATCACCCTCACCAGCTTCATGTCAATTTAATCGTCTACTAAATTGGAGGTTAACCTGTTTATTTATTATTTGACCGTTTGTTGATTTCTTTCATTAGCGCTGGTCTCATATGTGACTTTTCATTTCACCTTAACGTATATTTGGACAAAGGTTAATTTAACAAATTACTCTGGTTAATGTCATTATGTAAACATGTTAGCTTGAGGATAAAGACAATTAGTTTACAGCATTGGAATGACATTGTTTTGTTTCATTTAACTCATCTTGGGAATCTCTATCTGTCTAATTCCTTTTCTCATCTGGTGAACAATTGTTTTTTTGCCTTCTTATGATGACAATAATGATGATTGTGAAAATAATAGTGAAAAGCATCAATCGATCGATAATAGGATGAGATGAGAAATGATCACTTGAGAAATGGTAAAGAAAAAAACCGTCGAGAGTATTGTTTCTCTTGCTCTTCATCTCTTCCTATTCTTGCCATTATTTTTCCTGCTTTCATTTTCATCGCCGGAAACGAAACCAAATAAACACGTTCTCATATCTGATGGTATTTTAACTGCAAGTGTTTCCCATTTTAACATCATCAGTTGTGATGTCCCATCATGAAAACAATTTATCAATATAAACAAGGAATCAGATGGAAACTTTCTTCTTGCTTCTCTTTCTCTCTAATGTCTAATATTTCCGTTCGCTGAAGATTGATCAGAATAGTAAGGTTCAAATTGTGATATAATATGTGAAACAAGTTTCACCAAATTTGCCTTCAACGAATTCCCTTCTTTCTTCTATCAATTGTTCTACTTCGCATATCAGTTAGTTAATTTTACTTTTCGCTTGTTACATTTGATTGATTCTCCTACTCTTCCAAATACAATAAAAGATTCTTTACATGATGAAAAAAACTGGAAATAGATACACAAATTTTCCAATTGTATTAATAAGATGATGAAATTCAATTTATAAGATTTATTTCCACTGTTTTGCTCCATGTGATGATTACTTTTCGTCTCATGTTACTCTACTTTTATCCTAAATTTTGACATTCAATTCTTTTTCTCTTTCTTTCAGATCGGTTGCCAGTCAGTTGATCAAAGGAGATGCAGTAACTGCTGAAGCATATGACAGTGTAACAATCTATTTCAGTGATATAGTTGGGTTCACATCGCTTTCAGCTCAAAGTACCCCAATGCAAGTTGTCACATTGCTGAACGATCTTTACACTCACTTTGATTCAATTGTGGAAAATTTTGATGTTTATAAGGTAATATGATCTTTTATCTAATTAACTTCCAAACCATCTTTTTCTCTGCCATCTACAATAAGTTATCAAATATTAATATTTATTCATTCTGATTTTGCCTGAGTATTACTCTATAAAAAAGCATTCTGATTGAGTATTTTAGCTAACAATTTATTAGTCTGGATACATTTTTGTAATCTAATTGGTTTGGAAATACATTCTGTTGTTTGTAGATTGAAGTTAGATTTTCATTATTGAACTTTTTTTCATCTCTCATCAATTTTTCATAGGTTGAAACTATTGGCGATGCTTATATGGTTGTTTCTGGTTTGCCTACACGAAATGGAATCTTACATGCACGAGAAATTGCTAGAATGTCGTTAACTCTTCTCAATGCAGTTATGTCTTTTACAATTCGACACAGGCCTGGTGAGCAACTCAAGCTGCGGATAGGTGTTCACTCAGGTCCTTGTGTTGCTGGAGTAGTTGGTCTTAAAATGCCTCGTTACTGTCTTTTTGGTGATACTGTCAATACTGCATCTAGGATGGAATCGACAGGAATGCGTAAGTTATTCTTATCAACCAAAACATGTTCATGTCTGACTTGACACTTTTCATTTCTTTTTTCAACAGCGTTAAAAATTCATGTCAGTCCTAAAACTAGAGAACTATTGTTGAGGATTGGTAATTTCATTCTTGATCTGCGAGGAGAAGTTGAAATGAAGGTAAATTTCCGATGAAAGATCTATTTTTGTTTTTAACAATTTTCTTTCCTTTTTCTGACCAAAGGGCAAAGGAATTATGACAACTTACTGGCTTTTAGGCGAAACTGATGGCAATGGCAAGACTATCATCTCTGCTCCAACAATCAATGACGACATTGTAAAAGAGACTAATTTGTAATTTTTTAAATATTGTATAGCGTTTCTTAGAGTAAATAATTATTAAATTACAATTGTTGTATATTTAGTCCTTTATTTCAATGTTAATAAGATTTATAATCTATTTAATCAAAGCAATCGCTTAGATCGAAAATTCATACAGATATGGAAAAGCGTTTACATTTTTGTGGGTCTTCTTGTTGCTCGAGCTCTCTGTGCAGGACTGGCGAAGCTTGAATGGGATGATGTCTTGACTGATGTTTTACCCGATGTTTTACCTGATGATTGATGGTGGTGAGAGGATTCATGATGATGTTGTTGCTGCTGTTGTTCAAAATGGTGTTGCTGATTCTTTCCTGAGGATCCTTTTGATGGATGTACGGGTGAAGTTTTTGAGATAACACGGATAGGTTGAACAGGTGCAGCAGTGGTGGTTGTTGTAGTTGAAGTTGAAGTTGTTGAAGGTAAAGTTGTGGTGGAGGTGGTGGAAGTGGTGGAAGGTAAGGTTGATGGAGCCTGGGTTGTTGTGGTGGTAGTTGTGGTTGTGGTTGAGGTGGAGGTTGATGGGGTTGGAGATGGAATTGGAACTGGAATTGGATTTGATTCGGAGACAGATTCTACAGTTGTTGGCTCATCATCACTCAGAGGTTCGGCTGAGACAGGTTTGCTTTCATCTTTGGCTACTTCTTGCGAAACTACTTGTTGTACATATGAAGACTTGATTCCCTTTTCAGCATCTAAAGTGAAGACACGATTGTTGAGCTGGAGGGTTCCACGAACAGGAATCATTTTCTTGAAAACCAAACCATGAGGAGCAAGCCATTTCGACTCAATTTGAGTTGCGGAAATTATTGAAACAATAAAAACTAAGGTTAAAGATTTGAAATTCATTGTGAAAAGATTGAAGGTCTAAACAACACTAAACAGTTCAAAGTTCGAAGGGTAATGAGACATAGGTAGGGAAAACAAATCTATTTATACTCGTTTCAGCTCGGTTCTGAATGCCTAAGGGAATACTTTTTGAAAATTCCTAGCAAGAAGATGATTAGCTGTTTCGAGTAAAGTGTACACCCTTTTTAGTCCGCATTATCTCAAGATGTTAAAATTGGTCCAACTTTCTGATGAAATCTCAAAAGGGTTATTTTGGTCCCTTTAGGAAACGGAAGCTTAACTAAATACTGAAGCTAACTCAGCGTACGAGGATTTGGTTAGCAATTAGGTTTTACAGCCATCATTTGACTGTTTTTCCAGCTACATGCTGAGCCCACCATATTGGTCGTTAATTTAACAGAAAAGGATTAGTTTCTAGAAAGAAACCAAGAAAAGTTGAAATACACATGATGTGCCTTTAAATGGTTGTCTTTAGAATCAACAAAAATTTTGTTACAAAATTTTATTCAATTTGAAAAATTTCTAATTGGCAACAACAGAATTGAGATATTGAATGAATGTTGCCTTTATCTCTTCCACTTTTTCAATTGGATGCATTTTGACGTATCCAATAAAAGATCTTCTTAATCTATTCAGTTCAGGTGGAGGTAAGATTCGGTTTAATTTAACAACATCTTTTTCACCAGGAATTTTCATTGAATACATCGGCCCGCCTTTTTGTGCTTTATTAATAAAATCAACGATTTCTTTTGTCTGAGAGTCCAATTGGTACAAGAAGTTTGCCTCTGATAAAGGTTGCTGTCAAAAAATAGATACAATATGGAGAAGAATCAGATTAGCTGCGAATACAATGAATTTTTCCAAACTGGAATTAAACTTACTGATTGTGTAGACTGATTTGGCTTCAGTGGCTTCTTATCAATAATAGCTGATTTTATATCATCGAATGATGCTTCCAATAAATTGGAAAATACAAAATATGGTGAATCCCATCGATTTTGAGAATCAGGAGCCTCATATCGGAGAAACAATTCATTGAATATTTTATCATCATAACGTTTTCCATTCTGCCGTGCTTCATTAATTGTCTTTAACTTATCCTTGTGATTAGCACATTCAACCTTAAATAAAAAATATACAATTAGTTTTAAGGCAAAAGGTATGGAGCAGCAAATCATCTAGAGTAATCAAAAATGAATAGCAGGTTGGAAATATGATGACTAAATCTGATTATCCTCCATTTCTGAAAAAAATAAGCATTTGCTTGTGCACTAAATTGAATATCTTGGATCGTGAATATAGTTTAATGGCACCTTAGGAACCAAGATGAGCTAGAGTCACTAAGATAATCTAAAATCTCATGAGCTTTTAAGTAAACAAAGATTTGTCAAGAAAAGGGAAAAATTTCAAAACTGAAACATTTTAGTATTTCAATATTCGATTTCTTTGCACCGATTTCATTCGATTCGATTGTAATAGGATAGAATAAACTAGTTTAGCCTAGCTCATCATAGACATCTGCTTAAAATCAGTTGCTATCAAGCTCAGTTGAGATCGTTCCTTCTTCTTTGAGGCCCTCTTCTCGTTCTTTGTTTAAGCTACAGAGATGAAGTTTAACAACGTCTTTTCACTCTTGCTCTTAAAATAGTCAAAATAACCCCGGCCCTTTGCTTTAGTCAAAGTATGTTTCAGTTAGGAATCTGAGTCCGGATTAGTTCAAGCTGACATTATTTGAAGAGCTCGTCTGTTAACTTGACTTGGTTGGTGTTCCAATCAAAAATAATATTACAGCTGAGGCCACAATCAACTAACCACACAATAAGTTGTAGCTTGTTCCTTGGCTAAACAAAATAATTCATAGCGAAAACCTGTGCATAAAAAAAGATAGATTGTTAATATTAGTAAAAATTGCATAGACGATGTACAACAAAAATGAATGAATATCAGGAGAAAAACAGCAAAAAATGAAAAAGTATGATTGATAGTAATCATTTGCCAATACAATAATACAAAAAAATAACATAAATGAATATCAGAAGAAAAACATCAAAAAATAAAAAGTATGATTGATAGTAATCATTTGCCAATAAATCAACAGAAATTTAGATTCAAAAAAATTCAAAACAACAAATCATCTGAATTCATAAAAAACTGTTGTCCAAAAATCTGTAAAAATTATCAGCCAAAAAATTTGATGGGCCATTTGGTCGACTGCCAATAAAATGCAAGTTGGATAAAAAAGCTTGAATTTAGTGAAAAGTTTCAGTAAAATAGCATGTTGTGAATTAGGAATTAGTGAGCATCAAATGGAAGAAGATTCAATGAGTTGAAAAGCTGTCTGAAGAAAGCAAAAAGGTATTCGCCCGATGTGGGGCTCGAACCCACGACCCTGAGGTTAAGAGCCTCATGCTCTACCGACTGAGCTAACCGGGCTTTCGATGAGGAGGAAGACGCATCAAACATCGTCAATCGTAGCTAAATCATAACAAACAATGGATTGAGCAAGCTGGCAATCTTCAATTATGTCACTGGTTATGTTGGTTGACTGATTGTATAATCACTAAAGTAACATTGTAACCAACACTTTCTAATAATCCTTTTTCCCATCCTTTCATCACTCGGTGTCTTGTTCTTGATTCTGACGTCTTTCTTTAGTTGTTCATGTTGATGAGTTATTTACCTTTGATGTAATTTGAAGAATCCAGAATGACTACTTTTTCTTTGTTTAGATGCCTGTTACAAAGAAATTATTGGTAAGTTTAGTTTTTTCATCTTATGCAAATCATTCTATACATTGCGTTGTTGTAGAATCTTGTCTTTTTGCTTGTCTTGGTCTTTTTTAATAATTTTAATGTTTACCTTTGCACGCCCGATTTCAATTGTCCCCGAATTTCCTTTTCCCTATTTGAATCTGATTGGAATAATTTGAAAAATGGGTTAGTCAAGGTTTAGGTAAAGACTAATGTATAGATTTATGTTTGGGTTTTTGGAAAAAGGTTATGTTTTGGGTTTCTCTTACCTGAGTAAATATGGTTAACATTGTCTATATAATCATTGTCAGATATAATAATTGTTTGACAACCAATCTCGTTGAAGTAATTTTGAAGTTTTTGAGACCAATATGATTTACCTGAACATGGTAAACCTACCATCACAATTAGAGGCATTTTTGTTTTTAAAAATAGCTCTTGTATCTGAGGTTGCTTATAACATCTAAACAGCTGGTTGCCTCAGCCTGTATTATTGTGTGAAGCAACGTTTTTATGTATTATGTTAGCGCCTTTATTTCATAATTCCGCGCAATTTAACAAAGAAGTTGTTTTGAGTGGGTAATTTTTGGCGGGCTCATCCATTCTTTTAAATAGCTGACACTGGACCGCGGTTTTATCAGTTTGTTTTATACTCCTGTGTTATTCACTTCACTTTCACAAGTTTCGTTTTCATTTATTTTAATTGTTCTTATTCTTTTACTTTTGATTTTAACGATTTTTAATATGGCTCCTACTGCTGTTGTTGCTGTTGCCACTTCACCTATTCACAAATCACCTCTTCATAATATTCGAAGTTCTATCCGACGTGACAGAATGGTTTTAAGATTCAAAAAATTGACCAAAGAGGCAACCAAACCTTCTAAGGCTAGTGAACTAAGTGCTGGTTACGATTTATTCAGTGCCTACGATACGGTTGTTCCCGCCAAAGGAAAAGCTCTTGTTAAAACTGATTTACAACTTCAAATTCCTGCTGGCTGTTACGGAAGAATCGCGCCACGATCCGGATTAGCTCTCAAACATTCTATCGATGTAGGAGCTGGTGTTGTCGACGCAGATTATCGAGGAAATGTTGGAGTTATCTTATTCAATTTTGGAGACGAAGAGTTTCAAGTAAACAAAGGAGACAGAATCGCTCAACTTATCTGCGAAAGAATCGCATATCCAGAGCTTGAAGAAGCAGCCGAAAATGAAGACCTGGAAGCTACAACTCGAGGAGCTAATGGGTTCGGATCGTCAGGAATGAACTAATCGAATAGTTTAACTGAAAACTACTTATATTTTAAATGTGTTTCACTTGCATTTCCAAATGATGCAACCATCTAATGTTTTAGCATTTCTCTTTCCAAAAGTGTTCGTGTTTGTTTAAGTTTGTCATGAACTGAATGATCATAGATCATAATCAAAGATAATAGAGTCTAGAATAAAAAAGGGCAATGATCAAAATCTAGTTTCGAGAGAGTTAATTAAATCATGTTAAATCAGCATAATTTAATGATCTCTCTTTTATAACTCAATAGATGGTGTGGATCATTGTTCATTTTGAATCTAAACTTTAACATCTTTGACCTATGGACTTGTTCAGTCTTCAGCATTTATGAAAAACTTAAACATACAATTTAAATTGCATCAATTTGAAATAATATCGATTCTGTTATTGACAATATTAAAGTACTGTATTTCATTTTAAATCTACTTATTAAATGAAAATTGACTGTTGCGCGAAAAATTATTTACAGTATTGTTAAATTATTAAATAATAGATTTAGCTTGTTGGTAAGCTTTAAAGTTACAATTCTTGAGGATCGATAAAAGATTGTTGCCAGGTCCACATTCAAATGTCTTTGGAAATTGAAAATCTTCAGGTCTACGGTAAATTTGGCACATTACTTGTTCCCATTTAACTGCTTTGTAAATTTGTTCAGGTAATTTTTGATGAATTTGCTTTTCAAATCTATACACTTGTGCATCAACATTGGAATAGCATGGTATCAACAGTTCGTTAAAAGGAGTTTTAAATAATGCTTCTTTAAAAACCTTCTTTGCAGGTCTCATTAATTGAGTATGAAAAGCACCAGAAACTTTCAATCTTTTAGTCAGCTTAATTCCAAATTCACGCGCATTGATCTCTAGGAATTTTAAAGCCTCTTCATGGCCTCCAATAACTTTACAGTGTGGAAACAGATGATTGGCTATACTACAAACTGCATGTTCTTGGTCAATACCTCGAGATATACACCATTCAACAGCAGCGCGACAAGCAAGTGACAGTCTAGCATCTGGACCAAATTTGATTGTCATTAAGCCACCAGGAACATGCTGAGCTGCTTTTTGCATAGCTTCAGCTCTTATTTTAACAAGTCTTAGACCAGCCTCGAATGAAAAGGCACCAGCAAATACCAAGGCAGCTAACTCTCCAACACTAAAGCCAGCTGTACCAACGCAAGCCTCAACCACACCAGGGTGAGTTACTCTGAGTTTCTCAACGGCTCCTAATGAAGTGACATATATTGCTGGTTGACAATGTATTGTTTCATTCAGTTCATCAGAAGGACCATTAAGGCATAACTCTAGTAAATCATATCCTAAAATGCTTTCCGCTGTTTCAAACATTTTTTGAACGCTAGGAATATCCAACATATCATGCCCCATACCGACAAATTGAGAGCCTTGACCAGGGAACAATATTATACTAGTATGCGATGGTTCGACTGATTTACTGTCAAGCATAAATTTGTAAGGCTTTTTACGCATCACTCGTTTTTCAGGTTCAGGAACACCAACATCATTTGTTTGCTCTTCATTGGTAACCACTTCATTGTTAGTCTCTTCTGATTTGATAATTTCAGTGGACAAACATTGATGAAACTTGGATCCAGGGCAAGGTTTTAACAATAATCTAAGATGATTAGTTCGACTGAATGAACAAAAATTGAACAATTTAAACAAGTTGACAGACATGATATCGAAAAATTGCAAACCAAGAACTAAAAAAATAACTCAAAACATTGGACAAAGTCACATGTTAACCATATGGTTAACAAAGTACTCATCAATAACTTAGCAACCAACCGGTCTTTTCATTAAATTTGAAACATTCAATAGAAAGGCGATTCAATAATGTAAAAAGTTTTGAATTTCAATGGTTAACTATTAATAATTAACGATTGGATTCAGTTTATTGGTTAAACATCATTTAATGTTGATAGTATCAAGGATTTTCAGCACTTTTCGTGCAATTAGTAATATGGAAATAAAATCTATTTTGTAGAGTTAGTCAGAAATAATTTTTCGATCAATAAGTAAAAACATTTAGTAAACAGTTATTAAAATTTGCGAGCAATTAAAAACAGATGAATAACAGTATTATTAAAACTGATGAGAACTAGCAAAAATATTTTTAACAATAGAATAAAACTATAAGAAAATATAACAAATTATGTTTTCTGATGATTTACACGCCTGAGCTTGAATTTTTCATTGGGGATAAAATCATCTTTTTGCTCCTCGTTTTCGCACGACTTTCAATACACGACCCATGATTTCAGCAAGTGCACGTGCTTCAAATTCAGCGTTTCTTTGCTCCGTATTACTAGCGTTTGAAGGTGAACCAGTATTGTTCAAATCAGCGTTTTCAAAACTGCTGTTGCCTTCGGCTTCAACAACTTCACTGACACTTTCATTCACATTCTCGGTGGCAGTGGCTTGTCCAGTTTCTTCGCTTACAATGTCATTTGTCTCTTCGACTGCAGTGGCTTGTTCAGTTGCTTCACTTACACTATTATTTGTGTCTTCGATCGCTTCTTCGGCACTTTCCTCAATAACGTTTTCGGAAACAACTTTGGTGGTTTTCGTTAATCTCCTTAACCTTTCCAAGTTTCCCTCGAATGGTTTGTCTCTTGCCCAAGAAGCACGAATCACATCCGCATTTGTCTTTTTTTTCATAAGAATTTCGGCAATGTCTGTATTTGTTAACCGACAAGTTCTATGCTTAGATACTTGAATTGAAATATAATCCCTTTCTGGTGGTGCCCTGCCTATCGGTCTCTGTGTTGGATCTGGTACAAAGTTATGCGGTCCAGCTTCATTATTAGAAACTGTGGGCTCATCGGGATCTGGTGAGATCACATCTGGTATGGAATCGCAGCTGCTATGATCTGACGGACATTGGTCCGAATCAACTCCTTCATCGGGTGGCGGATTAAGTCTTTCATAAGTATCGATAATTCGCTCACCAATGGTCCAAAAGAATACACTCTTCCAGATTTGTTCAGCAACTATACTTTCAGCCGATCTCCGAGCAGGAATAAGATCATCTTCATAAACAACATCATCATCAGCATTAAAACTGTACTCATATCTATCAGGACCCAAGTATTCAAGTTCGGATTCCTCAAACACGAATTTTTCACCAGCAATTATCCAACTTAACGGAATATCTCTACGTTTACTTTCAATTAACGATTGACAAAGAAGATTCATTGGACGTCTTCTATCGGTGATGAGATTATTTTTTTGGTCGAAATTCACATACTTTTGTTCATATTCAACACCCATGTAATCACAAAATCTATCAATATCTGCTTCATCTTCAAAACCCAAATGTTTCATCAGGTCCGCCTTGTAATAATCGTAAGGTTTATGAGATTTGTTGATTATCTTAAATGCTTGCGATCGAACATAAAAAAAATGTCTGTATAACAAACATGCAGTTAAATAGTCGGCTTCACGAACCAGGTTGAAAAATTTTACATAATTGTTAGAGTTGAGAGCGAGAATACACTTCAGAGCGAATTGGACATCTGGTGACCGCCTTGTAATAGAGTCAACCTTAAAGACGTCTCCTTGTGAATCTGATTTATGGAAAAATAATGCAAAATAAGATCGAAATTCCGCTTCATTGGTACAAAAAATTTCACGGGCATTGAGATCATTGTAGAGTTGATTTAAAGTTATTAAACATTTACTGAGATTTTCAACGTTTAGGTGTTCAACAAAACCATGCTCGACCATTTCACACATACTATGGACACTAAAAATGTGAAACCGGGTACAAATTTCCAACATATAGACTGCATCCAAATCATTGAGCTGAAATTGAGTAACTTTACGACGAAGTGCTCGAAAAGTAGTCCAGATGAAATCATACCATTCACATTTGTTAATCTCCGGGTCATCAAATTTATCAATTAAGTTTCGTAAAACCCACTTCACACAGATTAACAATTCTCCAGGTGTTTGCAGTTTAATGTTTGAAGGATAACCAACTCTCTTAGCGAAACTTGGCCCTTTCGATTTCAACATGTGGCGAAGGCTATGAACCATTTTCCCGGCAAAAATACAGACGACAATTTATAAAATAACACTTCTCAACAAATTAACCAAAGGAACAATTATTTAAAGCTCTAACTGGATTGCCTCAAGGATCCCGAAAAATTGAATTTCACTAACAATCGGGAGATGACAAATATTCCTTGCGACACCTTACACAAATTAAAGGACAATCATTATTTGAATTAATCAAATCTCGTGCAAAATCAATAACTCAGGCGGGCTAACGCCATCTCTGGAAACTGGATAAACTTTTCTAATCCAATAATCAACCGGCTAATTTGAAATTCTAACTTGTTGGAAAATTTTCCATTTCCAGTAAAAGAATAGAAAATTTTCGGCTTCTTTAAACTAATCTTAGAATTTTGAATTTATTCTAGTTTAAAAGAATCAAATATTTTGATTTATTAAGCAAGAATTATTAGAGAATGAGAAGTTGCTTAAATAGTCTGAATGAAAATATATATTCATTAGATTATTGAATTCAAATATAGACAGAATTGATAGCATAACAATTGCATGAATTAAGTCTCGAAAGTTTTGAGTGGGTAATAAATCAATAGGATAAAGAAAGCTTATTTTTAACAATATCTATTGCTATTTGTAATTTCAAAATTAAATTGAGATTGCAGTTATTTTATGGAGTTTTTAATGAGTCGCTTAATGGACTTTGTTATTCTTAATAAAAACCGATATCATTATTGTTTAGTTAAGTGTGAATCTGAAGATCACGCAAAATTAACGCCTTACCTCATTGAGCAAACAATTCACGGACGCATCATTTAAAAGCTTTTTTTGCAACAAACTATGATAGTTTTGACATCTGACAATTTAGTTTAATAATTGGAGCAACTTTTGGCCAGTTGGACACATTAATGTTTAGCCTGCAAAATGATAATCAAGATTTCACACAAGTATGCGAAATTTTTTTTCACGATGTTGGAAATGCGATCTTTTAGTTTTGTCTCACAATGTTTTGTCAATAATGGTATGAATATTGTAAATTGAGCAAAGCAACTAGAAAGTCAGAGATAGCGATTACATGTAAATCTATGACGAATGAAAAGTGAAGAGGTGATGACTAACTCTTTCTTATTGAACCCATTTTAATTGTTTAAATACACAGATTGAACTAATGACTTTCATTATCTATTCAATTAACTAACTGATGCAATAAAGTGTAACTATTGTATTGGTCTAAATGATATCACGATTCAAGCTGAAAATAATACCTTAGACCAAGAAACTCTTCAGTAATCAAAGTCTTTGTATCAATTGATCGCCCTGATTTATCTGTTATTTTATTTGGCAGGCTCAAAATTAGACCAAACTATTAAAACTTTGAGAAATGGAATTGTGAAAAACAAGAAAATAAAAATTCAAGTTCGAATTTGAAATATCTAATGTCATAATTTTTAATGTTTATTAATTTTGATAGAAATGGTTATGATGATTCAAAAAGGTGATGTGAATTAATTTTAAACAATGAGAAGAACACAGAATAAACTTTTTAAGTACAAAAGTAAAAATCAATGAACAGGAGCGCAGCGGGTACTTGAATGTGTCTAGCGATTAACTTTACCACTCTTCATCATCGGCATTGTCTTGCTGTTTAGAAGAACCAAGGCCTTCACTACTGGCTTTTCCCTGTTGATGACACAAATTGAAGAGAATAAGACATTAGTTAATTATAATATTAATAAATTTGGTCAAAGTGTAGTTCACAAATGTATTATTCATTCGGTGAGTTACTTACTCCTCTATAGTCGACGCTTCCGCCTAATCCGAAACCATTATCATATGAGCCTTCAGAAGAATCTTGTTTGAGCCATTCAGGAACAGGCTGTGAAGCACTTTCGATAACTTCTACGATTTTGGAAGCTAAAGCTTTGTCAGCATCAGGATCATAAAAACTTGTTGCTTTACCCTTATTTCCGACTCGACCTGTACGACCGATCCGATGAACATAGTCATCAATATCTTTAGGCAAATCATAGTTTATTACATGCCTAACATCTGCGATATCCAAACCTCTTGCTGCAACTGATGTAGCAACCAAGATAGGGAACTTTCCACTCTTTAAATCTGCAAGTGCCTTTTCTCTCTGGAATTGGAAACGATCTCCGTGGATACTAGTCGCTTTGAATGAGTTCTGAGATAAGAATGATGCTAAGAAATCGGCTGTTTTCTTTGCTTCAACAAAGACCATTGTTTTGTCATTATCATCGGAACTTTTAAGTATCTCGGCTAATTTTTCACGCTTGGAGAATTTGTCAACTTTTATGATGTTTTGTTCAACATCAGAATTTGCAGCACCAAGAATACCAACGGTAAGGAAAAGGTAATTTGGAACCAAAAATTCTCCAGCAACTCTTTGAATTTCTTCAGCAAAGGTGGCACTAAACATCAGAGTTTGTCGTGCTTCTTTGGGTGGCATTGTTGGATGAGCCATCATTTTTCGTACATCTGGGAGAAAACCTTGGTCAATCATTCGATCAGCTTCGTCCAAAACAAAATATTTTAAATTAGAAAAATTAAAAACATCTCGATCCAAGAAATCGAGAATTCGTCCAACTGTACCAACAAGAATGTGTACTCCTTCTGAAAGTTTAGCTCTTTGATGACCAACTGAAGTTCCACCGTAAATAATTTGACTTTTAACAATACTTCCTTTGCTATACTTATATAATTCTCTATATATTTGAACTGCTAATTCACGGGTCGGAGTGACAATTACAGCACTTGGTGTCTGAGGTGTTTGACCATAATTAGTCTGTAGACTCTTATCATTGAATAAATCTTGTAGAATGGGTAAAATAAAAGCTAATGTTTTACCAGATCCTGTTTGAGCACAAGCCATTAAATCTCTACCGGCCATAACGATTCTCATACCATATTTCTGGATAGGAGTTGGTTTTAGAATCTTTGTTTGCTTAAGACCATTCAAAATGGTTTCACTAGTAAAGGCCTCTTCAAATGTTTCATATCGTTCTGGTTCTTTAGGCACGTCTTGTCCACTTACATTACAGGGAATAGAATCAAAGCGATCAAAGTTTATGCCAGTGGAAATTGAATCAAATAAAGTGTCGTCTTCTTCGATATCAGGAGGTTTGTAGATTGGAGGTCTTGGATTTCCATCAGCATCTAAAGAAGGCTCAGTACAATCTCTTGCCATATGACCTTCTTTATTACATTTATGGCAACCTTTGCTTCGATTTTCATTTCCATCACCTTCTTGAGGACAGTCACGAGACATGTGTCCATCCTCACCGCACTTGAAGCAACCTTTTCCGCCGCCTCCACCTCCACGTGGTGATCCACCTCCTGATGGACAGTCACGGGACATATGCCCGTCTTCACCGCACTTGAAGCAGCCTCTTCCGCCGCCTCCACCACCTCTAGGTGATCCACCTCCTGTTGGACACTCACGAGACATGTGCCCGTCTTCACCACACTTGAAACAACCTTTACCGCCGCCTCCTCTGGACGATCCACCTCCTGTTGGACATTCACGAGACATATGTCCGTCTTCACCGCACTTAAAGCAACCTTTGCCACCACCACCGCCTCTAGATGATCCTCGGTCATTAGACTCACCTGGTGAGCCCCAAGTACCAGATTCAGTTGTAGTTGTATTTTCAGCCCATGAGCCACCATCATCATCTCCACCAGAAGGCCAAGTATCGCCGGAATCTTGTTTCGATCCATAGGACTTGGGTTTATGTTTGGTTTCACTTGGACTAGGATCTCCCCATCCTCCTCCAGAAGATGCATCATCGAAGAAACCAGAACTGCTTGAAGAATCGTGAGGCATGTTGAAATATTTATTGCGCACAAAAAAATGGAATTAAAGCTCTAAGCTAACTTGGATAACTGTTAATTTGATCAAGAGACAATCAACTGAAGTTCGCAATGATGTAACCGCTAGTTTTTATTCTAAACCTTTTACCGCTACTTTTAATCACAGCGCCATCTTGGTAACCTAATTGAAACTTTAAAAGAAAAAAAATATATTCGATAGAGAAAGCTTTTTAAAAAGAATTTTTGGCCAAAATTAACTTTTCTCCAATTTTATTAACAGTTTCTATTAACTACAATAAAAATAACTTATACTAATTTAATCCAAATCTTCCTTTCAATCAGAAATCACACATCAGTACTAAATTTCAGATTTGTTATTGAATTTACTTATGAGAGATAAATATTACTTGATTGCTGCTAGAAAATACAATGCACAAAATACAATACAATCGTTAATCAAAACTCAATAGATGATGTTGATACATGTAACAATTGTTTGTTTACTTTTTAACGCCTTTCCTCACCATAAATCCATGATTTTTTTACCACCTATAGTTACTTTTTTTCTTGACACCAACCAACACAATCTGGACCAGGCTGTTAAAACAGAAAAGGAAATATCGGGCAAAAAGGTTTAGAGATTTTCATTTTCAGATTTTACGGATTTCTCATCAAATCTCTCAATTAGTGGTTTAGATCGGAATTTTGTGTAAACACACATTCATATGGTGATAAAGAAGTTGTGGTTGATTTGATCTCTAGACCGATTGACTTTGTTAATAATTTGAACAGCAGATTTCATTAAAGTTGCAGCACTTTAATAATTAAATCTTAATTTACAACTAATAAATAGTATTAAAGCATAATAAATTAGTAAAGCTATAACAAATAACATTATGAAAAGAGAAGACATTTTTTTGCACTCATTAGTCTTTACCCGTCAGATGTTAGGAAACAAATCTAGAAAAATAGGTAAATGTTTGGAAGATTATTTTGATCAGTTCCAAATTTGATCCTTTTCTGGGTATAAACAGTGTCTTATAACTTATAAGTTTGAAAGATTTTTGGCTTCTATCGGTCAACCAAAGTTATCTGATGATTAGTAACCAATTTATAAAGTAACAGTAGGTTAACTGTAAACTGAGTCTACGGGTTGCCTATTCACATGACTGGATTTACTTGAAAATAGGGTAATAGCTAATAAACTCAATTATTGATTGTCTGATATTTTTCTAACTTCATGGTTTTCTAAATTTCCTTCGAATTAAGTCAATTATAAGTTAATCATTTGGCGATGCACAGGAATGTGAACTATAAGCTCTTTGAAATAAATAAAACAATGCTCATCTACTTTGCGAAACATTAGAGTTGTAGCTCTAAAACCATCTTTGTAGCATTTCATAGGCAAAAATAGTTGTTCCGTATTGGCCGCAACTTCGAAGCATTCTTGTGCCAGCGCCTTTCCAGAAAGCATTGAAGCCTTCTTCTCTCCAAATTTTACGAATAGTATCAATTAGTCCGTTGTACGAAGTTTGACCTTCACGTGCCGTTACTTGCATCCTTGTCTTTATCACATCGGCTGGTGTTAGCAGAACTGCAGGCGGTTGACCTGAAAAATAGAAAGTATTTTAGACAAGATCGAAGCTATTCATGTGGGTAAGAAAGAAATTTAGTTACTTGCTATGATTGCTGCGAGAATCAAAGATCCAGGCGTGTTGTATCCATCTTCTGAAGCAAAATATTTTTTACAATTGGCATAAATAGGAAAATAGATACCAGCGAAGGGAACAACCCTGAGATAACAAGCTGAAGCTCCCTGTGTAACAAAGTATTAAAAATACTCCATAAATTCACGAAATTTTACCAATTATTAAATACTATCCGAAATTACTTTGTATAAATTTTTAAGTCCAAGTTCTTTCATTACAGTAAATGCATTAAGTATTTTCCCCTCTTCTCCAGCCACTTGAAGGCGAATTTTAACAATTTCTAAGGGATTTGTGATGAACACTTGAGCAGCTCCAGCCTAATTATAAGAAACAAAAAAACAATCCATCATTAATATGAAACTAGACTAAAAGTGCTAAAAAATTTACTAATATTACGTTAACAGCTGATCAGATTCAGATTGAGATTAAAAATAAACTTACTGTGCAACCTGAGATGACTTCAGCTAAAAGAGTGATTTTACCCGAATCACTCATTAATTTATCGCGCATAAAATCATTAACAGTGAGCTTAATAGCTTTCTCTGGACAAACACCAATAAACTGAGGGGCCAGTCCTCTATACAAACCAATAATTCCTTCATTAACCAATACTTTCCTGAAACAATCAAAACTATTCTTGTAAACCATTCCATCTAACTCATTCATAGCAAATCTTTGATTTTGCATACGAGTCTTAACGAGATCAATTGGATAAATAACAGTAACCCCACAAGCACCAGCAATCGAACCAAGCAAAAATTTGTAAGAATTTTCACCGACTTGTTTGAAAATAGTCTTTTGTTTGGTTTGATTAGATCCATCATTATTGACATTCATCCTCTCGAGGCTTGCAAGAATATTTACAAAATGAGGGGAAACAAAGATAAAAGTTGAGAACGATTTGAGGATAATCAAATTATACAAATTAACAATTCATATTTAACATAGAAACAATGATAAACTTGACTTAAAATAGCCTTTACTTGTTATTGCTATTTTACGAGCAATTTCTGTAAGTTTAATACTCTGAAACCTGGAAAATTCAAGACCTGAAGTTCAAGTCTCAATGAAGCCTACAATTTAGTTATTACAACTATTAATTTAATTAACCTTAAACATGTATTAAACAATGGTGATTAGTGCAATGGTGACTTAATTTTTGTATTCAACTATTGAACACAAAGCTTACAAGATCTGTAGACCAACAGAAGTAAACCAACTTTAGATCAATATCTAAATGAAGAAAGTGTGAATTTAGCAAAAAAAGAACTGAATAGTTTATTGTAATCGTCAATTAATTAATCAAAAATCGTTAAACAATTTGTTTTCGGAAAGAGTGGACAAAAAATATATTAATATTTTATAATTAAAAAAAGTTTGGTCCAACAAAGAAAAAACGTTTAGTAAACAGCGGCTTATTTTCGGTTGTCATTTGTCTTATAAAGATTTGCTTTGATAGAAATTTCGATGTCATTTTTTGGTCATGGATGATAATTGAGAAATTGTAAATTATTGCGATAATTGCGAGATCACACCAACAAAAATACTTTGAATATTCAATTGTCCTTTATCAATAGTCCTTTTTGGTTGATAATTAGTGTAAATTTTTGGATACAGAAAGTGTATTGATGTTTTCAAACAAGAATCTTTGCTCAAGATTAACATTACCACTCTTCCTCATCAGCATTGTCTTGCTGTTTAGAAGCACCATTGTCTTCATTGGCAGAAGCACCCTGTTGATGACACAAATAAAAAAAATTAAGACATTAGTTAATTATAATATTAATAAATTTGGTCAAAGTGTTCAAAAATGTATTATCATTCGGTAAGTTACTTACTCCTCTATAGTCGACGTTTCCTCCAAATCCAAAACCATTATCATTTGAGCCTTCGGAAGTATCTTTAAGCCAATCAGGAACAGGTTGTGAGGCACTTTCGATAACTTCTACGATTTTGGAAGCTAAAGCTTTGTCAGCATCAGGATCATAGAAACTTGTTGCTTTACCCTTATTTCCGACTCGACCTGTACGACCGATTCTATGGACATAGTCATCAATATCTTTAGGCAAATCATAGTTTATTACATGCCTAACATCTGCGATATCCAAACCTCTTGCTGCAACTGATGTAGCAACCAAGATAGGAAATTTGCCACTTTTCAAATCAGCAAGTGCCTTTTCTCTCTGGTGTTGAAAACGATCTCCGTGGATACTAGTCGCTTTGAATGAGTTCTGAGATAAGAATGATGCTAAGAAATCGGCTGTTTTCTTTGCTTCAACAAAGACCATTGTTTTGTCATTATCATCGGAACTTTTAAGTATCTCGGCTAATTTTTCACGCTTGGAGAATTTGTCAACTTTTATGATGTTTTGTTCAACATCAGAATTTGCAGCACCAAGAATACCAACGGTAAGGAAAAGGTAATTTGGAACCAAAAATTCTCCAGCAACTCTTTGAATTTCTTCAGCAAAGGTGGCACTAAACATGAGAGTTTGTCTAGCCTCTTTTGGTGGCATTGTTGGATGAGCCATCATTTTTCGTACATCTGGGAGAAAACCTTGGTCAATCATTCGATCAGCTTCGTCCAAAACAAAATATTTTAAATTAGAAAAATTAAAAACATCTCGATCCAAGAAATCGAGTATTCGTCCAACTGTACCAACAAGAATGTGTACACCTTCTGAAAGTTTAGCTCTTTGATGACCAACTGAAGTTCCACCGTAAATAATTTGACTTTTAACAATACTTCCTTTGCTATACTTATATAATTCTCTATATATTTGAACTGCTAATTCACGGGTTGGAGTGACAATTACAGCACTTGGTGTCTGAGGTGTTTGACCATAATTAGTCTGTAGACTCTTATCATTGAACAAATCTTGTAGAATGGGTAAAATAAAAGCTAATGTTTTACCAGATCCAGTTTGAGCACAAGCCATTAAGTCTCTACCGGCCATAACAATTCTCATACCATATTTCTGGATAGGAGTTGGTTTTAGAATCTTTGTTTGCTTAAGACCATTCAAAATTGTTTCACTAGTGAAGGCCTCTTCAAAGGTTTCATATCTCTCTGGTTCTTTAGGCACGTCTTGTCCACTTACATTACATGGAATTGAATCGAATCGACTAAAGTTTTCTCCAGTTGAAACTGAATCAAATAGAGAGTCATCTTCTTCGATATCAGGAGGTTTGTAGAGTGGAGGTCTTGGCTTTCCATCAGCATCTAAAGAAGGCTCAGTACAATCTCTAGCCATATGACCTTCTTTATTACATTTATGGCAACCTTTGCTTCGATTTTCATTTCCTTCACCTTCTTGAGGACAGTCACGAGACATGTGTCCATCCTCACCGCACTTGAAGCAACCTTTTGAGCCGCCTCCACCTCCATTCGATGATCCTCCTGTTGGACATTCACGAGACATATGTCCGTCTTCACCGCACTTGAAGCAGCCTTTGCTACCACCACCACCTCTAGGTGATCCACCTCCGGTAGGACATTCACGAGACATGTGCCCGTCTTCACCACATTTGAAACAACCTTTTCCGCCGCCTCCTCTGGACGATCCACCTCCTGTTGGACATTCACGAGACATATGTCCATCTTCACCGCACTTGAAGCAACCTTTGCCACCACCACCTCTAGATGATCCTCGGTCATTAGACCCACTCTGTGAGCCCCAAGTATCAGTTGTAGATTCAGTTGTAGTTGTATTTTCAGCCCATGAGCCACCATCATCATCTCCACCAGAAGGCCAAGAATCGCCGGAATCTTGTTTCGAGCCATTGGATTTATGTTTGGTTTCACTTGGACTAGGATCTCCCCATCCTCCTCCAGAAGATGCATCATCGAAGAAACCAGAACTGCTTGAAGAATCGTGAGGCATGTTGAAATATTTGTTGCGCACAAAAAAATGGAAATTAAAGCTCAAAGCTAACAAGGGTAACTGTTAAATTAGTCAAGAGAAGATTAACTGAAGTTCGCAACAATAAAACCGCTAGTTTTTATTCTAAACCTTTTACCGCTACTTTTAATCACAGCGCCATCTCGTTAACATAATTTACACTTTAAAAGAAAAAAATAAATATTCGATAGAGAAAGCCTTTTAAAAAGAATCTGTTATTGAATTTTAAAATCCCGATGATGAGAGATAAATATTCCTTAATAAATATTTCTCGATTGCGGTCTCAATACAATGCACAAAATACAATAATACAATTAGTTAATCAAAAGATACATAGATGATGTTTGAAATAGCATTTTGCTCGGGTTGATTACAAACATCATTATTGACATTCATCCTCTCGAAACTTGCCGAGATGCTTGTGTATATGAGAAGATATAAAGATTAAAGTTGAGAATGATTTGAGGATAATCAAACAATACAAATTAATACATTAATATTTAACATCTAAACAATGATCAACTTGAAAAATTAGCTTTTTTACTTGGTAATGCTATTTGAAGAGCAATTTCTGTTAGCATAATGCTCTTCAACCTAAAAATTCAAGACCTGAAGTTCAAGACTTGAACTTATACTCAATGAAGCCTAGTAATTAGGTTCTTGCAGCTTTATCATTAATTGTATCAACTTTAGACAGGCTAATTAATGCGATGGTGACTTAGAGTTTGTATTAATCTAAAGCACATAAAGCTCAGTATAATAGATCTGGGGACATACATTTAGATTAAAATGAAAATGAGAAAGTGTCAAAAAAAAGATCTGAATTGTTTATTGTAATTGTCAATTAATCAATAATCGTTAAACAATTTGGTTTCGGAAAGAGTGGACAAAAAATCCAATATTTAATAATTAAAAAAAGTTTGGTCCAACGAAGAAAAAAAAACGTTCATTAACGGTGGCTATTTTTTGGTTGTCATTTGTTGATAAGTCTATAGTTTGATCCCCTTGTTTGATTTAAGTTGTTTATTGCATTTGATTAAATTTCGATGTTGTTTTTTGGTCGAGGATGGTAATTGAGAAATGGTTAATCATTGCGATAGTTGTGAGTTTACACCAATAAAAATACTTTAAATATTCAATTGTCCTCTTTCAATAGTCCTTTTTGGTTGATAATTAGCGTTTTGACAAAATTTTTGGATACAGAAAGTGTATTGATGTTTTCAAACAAGAATCTTTGCTCAAGATTAACTTTTCTGTGATTTCAAGTTCACTTTTAACTGAGCAAACATTTTTGCTTCATTTTCTTTTGTTTATTTTTATTTTCATATTTTTTCATATTCTTAAGCTTTTATAATAAATTTTTACTATCTTAATAATTAATTAACTTAAAAGATATCTTCTTCATGAGATGGCTTGTAAATCAGTTGCTGTTGATGATTTTTCACTCGCTAAAGCTTCTGAACCTTTGTCACCAGTCAATACAGCTGACTTACGCCGACTTGCAGATAAATTATTGAAAACTGAAGATGAACCTGAAAAGTGATTAAAACCTTGGAATCCCAAGATACCCGGACTACCAGCTGAGAAAAATTCATCCTCTAAAGGAGAAAATACAGATGATTTATCATCATCTGAGTTATTATTATTACTATTATTATTAGAATCATCGTCGTCAGAATAACCTGAATCATCTTTTTCTTTATCATTGACATTGGCCATTGATGAATGGGGCCTTAAATTACGCTTTCCAGGTAAAATTCCTCCTCTAATAACTTCAAAGTTACCTGATCCCATGATACCAACACCTCGATTTTCAACTGAACTTAAATAACCTGGACCAGAATATCTTCGAGATCCTCGTCTACGTCCTTCACTATTTGGGAATCTCATTCGTCCTGAAGCTGGCATGAAATAATTTCCTGGAAATGGATAATAATTTTCAGCAGTTTCTGTATCATTTTGATTGGCAGCATCGGTTGATGTTTCTGAGGCTAAGATTTGTGTATTTGATTTATCAGTTGATGATTGAACTGATCGTCGAGCACGTCTGTGATGAAAGGCAGGATGATCGTATGAATAAAGGGTGTATTGTGGTCCTACTTGATGGAATGGATAACGGCCAAATCTTTGCTGTCCTTGAGCTGAGTAATATTCAGAAACTACTGATGATCGTTTTTCTGCTTCAGCGACAGAGGGTTCAGTTGATGTAGATCCTGCATTGTTTCCTCGGATTCTGAATCTTCGGAATAGATTGAGTGGGTTAAGTCGACTGAAGAAACGATTCCTTGATTGTGAAGAAGAGCTTGTACTTGGTGATGTTGAAGCTGAAGCTGTTCCAGCATTAGCTGATGCTGGACTACTTGTTGTGGCTGCAGTTTGTGCTGCTTGTCCGACTTGGCCCATAGCTCCACCAAGAAGTGCTTGAAGTGCTTGGTTCTGTCCAGCAGCACCAGGTCCAAAAGCCATTGGGTTAAATGGATACTTCATTCCTTGTTGTCCATTGAATCCACCTTGATTCATACCTTGACCCATACCTTGACCCATTCCTTGGCCCATTCCTTGTCCCATTCCTTGACCCATTCCTTGGCTCATACCTTGTGCCATCATTTGTGCCATAGCTTGAGCTTGAGGGCTACCACCCATTCCGCCACCCATATTGCTCATTCCAGGTCCACCACCCATTGATTGACCGCCGCCATTGTTACCCATATTTTGAGCCATTAAAGCCATTGGATTAACCATTGAAGAAGAAACTTGTGGATTCATCATTGGTGGTGATGGATTTGTCATGGTTACATAACCAGCGAGTTTCATTCCTGGTGGAGGAGCTGAACCAGGAGCTCCTACAATTGCGCCAGCAGGTACACCTGCAGGACTTCGAGGTAGAGAATTAGCGGCTGCTAATGCATATGGAGTAATCATTGAAGGAAGAGAAGAAGCTGAAGTAGCTAAACCCTGACCGCCGAGGGAAGATAGTCCACCAAGGGAAGAGAAACCTCTAAGACCACCGGCACCACCGTTAGGTCCATTACCTCCTCCGAGAGCTGAGTATTCGTTGAGGGATGAGAATGAATTTGGGTTGAGTGAGAGACCGGATGATAAATATTCTGAAGCGGAAGATGAGCCTGGATGGTTCGAATGTAAATCAGACATAGCAGCTAACTGTTGTGCTAAATCAGATTCACTAGGAGCAGGTGATTCAGCTGAAAGTCCTGATTCCATAAGTGCATTGGCTGCATATTCATTTTCTCGTTGTTTTTGAAGTAAATGCTTTGTAACTGCAGGGTCGAATATGTGTTGTTCTTCAACAACTCGTTCAGCGTAAAGTGGCTTTCGTCGTCCAAGGTTATGTGAGCTTGATACCATAGGATTACCATTATCTTGAGGGCCGCCAGCGGTGGGTGCAGAAGCTGATGAGGCAGCAGCTTCAGAAGCAGCTGCTTTAAGGTAGCTTGCAAGATCTGATTCAGCCTGAGAGGAGGACGAAGATCCTGAAACAGGACCGTTATCAAGAGAAGAAAAATCTGAAGCGGAAGATGAAGAGCCAGAAGCAGATGAAGAAGATCCAGACAAACCTGATGAGCTAGATAAACCGTTTGATGAGCGAACACGGCTTGTTAATAAAGCTTTAGTGCGTTCATTTTCACTGCTTGCCAAAGCCAAATCATAGAGACGATTTGAAGTTGCCTCTGATTGCATATCAGGTAAAAGAAAGCCAGCACCTGAAGTTGTATAATCGGCGGGACTTGAACCAGCTGATGAAAGATCTCGTTGGCTGTAGAAGTTGGCTGAACTTGAGTGATGATGGTGATGATGAGGTGATGATGACTGATGATGAAGAGTTAGTCCAGCTGATGAGCCACCGTTCGAAGCTCCGTTACCATGAAAGTCACCAGAGTGTAAACCGAAACCTGATCGAATCATGAATGGCTGTTGTGAATTAGAGGTTGCAGCCATAAGTAAATCATTTCGAGGTGATATTAAACTTGAGCCATAATGTAATGGCGATGATCGTCTTGATTCTTTAATTGAATGACTTGCTGTGGATAACGGTGAAAGTGAATGACTTGAGGCATCATCTGAGTATGCTTGATGTTGAGGAATGTATCTTGGTGATTCGGTTGTTGTGGTGGTTGATGTTATTTGTGGATTTGAGGCTTGACCTAAGGGTACCAAAAGGAAGAGAAAAAAAGAAACAAAAAATTGATCAGTAAAATAATCGAACAATTTTTCTGGCTAAAATGTAAAGAAAAAGAATAACAAAACAACAAAAGACAACAATTAATTATCAATAAAACTAATGAAATGAGCATAAACTAAACCAACAACCATGTCGTAAAAAAGAAGTAATTTAATTGCTAATTTAAATTCAAGAGAGAGGTTGACCAACTTTACCCAAAAATCGTAAACAACCAGAAAAGGCGATAACCACGATCAATTATAGGAAGAGTATTTTAATTCATAATCATTTATTTATAGTATAACTCCTAATCAATATTAAAACATTTCCGTCTTTAAATTTCATCAGTTTCACAATAAATGTTGATCCTTTAGTAATCGTTATCAATATGTGGATCAAAATACGAAGAGATACTCTAGATAAGTAATGGATACTGGTGAGTACATATTGATAGTACTTTTTGGATTCATAATTTTTTCCCAATAATTATCTTTGTTTATCGTTAAAAGTAAACATTTTTATTAATTGTTTTCCTAACTGTGCATTTAATTAACTTGTGTAAGTAAAAATATTGGTGAAGTTATTGTAATAAAGTGATCTACAATCTTGTACGGTTGATGGGTTCACTGAGAAGTGGCCTAAAGTCATAACTAAATGACTATTTAGATGAACCATATTGAAGCCCAATTTTCCGTGAATTTACAGGAATGACATGAAGGTAAGATGATGACGGTGATTATGATGATTAGAGAGGTAAAAGATGACGAACCAGATGAACAAGAAAAAGATTTTTTGGAGGTAAAAAAGTGTATAAATATATATAATAATAAAGATAATATTAGCTTCGTATAAGCGGAAAAGTTGAGCTTCCTTAAAATTGATGTCCTCAGTTAGTAAAACGAGTAACATTGATGCAACATTGATTCTAGGTCATTTCTAATTGAGATGAGTAAGAGGGAAAAAGTAATCACTTTGTTGATGATTACGATGTTGATCAAGAGTTCAGAATGAATATATACGGTCATGTAAATGATATTTACAGTGATTTTTAGACGTTGAAAAAGGGTCCAGAAAAAAAGCCAAAAATATTATCCTACAGACATTTTAACCAAGATGAGATTCAGTTATTACAATCTAGTGTTGCTTTTTGTCATCTCTTGAGTCAACCTTTTCTTGTTCAGTCGACCGTTTGTCACCAACTTTACCGTCTTCATCATCTAAAAATATTGCTCTAATCAACCTTTAATCTTGATTAATTTCATTATCAACTTTTCCCTCCCTTTTATTGTGTCCTGATTGAAACCAGAGTTTTTGATTGTAAGCTTATTAAGAGGCTCGTTCCTCTATTACGCTTAATTGGTCAACCCTTCAATTTTAATTAGTTTACAGTCTTTCAATTTGTTATTAATAAATTATAACAGTAACATTCAGTTTTAATGTGAAAATTAAGGGAAAGGTGATGAAAAAAATAGATTGAACTTGATGAAAACAGGACTTAAAGATGAAACCCAATTGAGGACTCAATTAGGGACACTTTTTGTGTCATTCATCGATTGTGTTAACCAAAAAATTGTATTAATAACAATTCATTTCTAAATCATATTATGTTTCAATGAATGTTAAAATTTGTAATTTAGGTTCGACTCCAGATTCTTGTCCAAATCAATCAAATACCAGAGTAATTTACTCAGCAATTGAATCAACAATCATTTCAATAGTAGTTGTAATGAAGCAATCAAAAGTCAACTAATTGGTTGAATCTTTAATACAATTTGAGTTAATCACTTTGCCTGAAGACAATGTTATTATAGCTTTTAATCTTCTTCATTATATTGTTACAAATGATTTTAATTTAACCAGCCTTGCAATTAAAAGTTAAAAGGTTAATCTTGTAATTGATTAGCAATTGAAATTACAATTGAAACTGTAAACACTAAAATTGAATAGTCTTTGACTAAATTTGGGTTAACCTAAAATTGAAGCTCAATCCAAATCTGGTTAAAGGTTTGATATTGAAATGACCAGAATATTTGATTCCATTTTTCAGTGTCATTGACATTATTAACAAATCAAGAGGCTAATTAGAAAATCTTAATTCATAATTAGATAACCATGTTTAATAAAACTGTTAATTGTAATAGATTCACTTTTAGAAACCCATTTTCACCATTTCTTAACCACTAATTATAACAGTTAACAATAGCTATTTATTCATTCATGCAAATTTACCATCAAAATAAAAGTGTAAATTAATACGAAATGGTTGATAATTTATTTGAAACTGAAATGATAATTAACTCATTTTGTGTAACAATTACAACAATTTACCGATCATTTGATTGCTATTGTAAATCATATTGTAATTGATGAAGCGAAGTGGACAAAAATGTAAATTTTAAAATGAATTGCAAATTGTAATTGAAGATCTGAAGATGAACTCAAAGTGAACATTTAAATCTGATAATCTTAACCAAAATTGTCGTAAACCTGAAATAAGCTCAACAATTAGCTGTTGATTTTTCTTGAAAACTGTAACTTTGATAAAATGTGTTAAATTGCGAATGAACGACAGTTTGATCAAAGTGAATCTATCAAATCTGATTATGAAAACATTAATCTTTATGAGTTTCAATAATGATTAGCTTTCGATCTTTACTCTTCTTGATGATCATCGTCTTTACTGTCACCACTGTTGATCCGCTTTGAGAAATAATTTTAATCATCGTCATAATCAGATTGGAATGATTGTTCAGCCATGACAATAAGTGTGTGTATTTGTCTGAATCATGAATGAGAGCAAAGCTGGATGTTGATCGTCAACATCGTCTTCATTTTTGTCCTCAGTAATACTGATGAAGACAATAACAATTTAAAGATATGACACAAAACACGCACAGTTAGATATTCATAATCATCTCAATAATCATCATAATCATCATCATAATTATCATCACAATCATCTCAATAATCATCAACATAACAATGATAATTGGTAAATTGATGCAACATTAGCAAACCAACAGTTGATTAACCCAATGCCAGCTAATTACAAGATATCTTTCAATTTCTCATGAATATTATTCCAATTGTTTTAACCAGAAAAAAATCCATTGAAAACAATTTCTTTTCCCAATTTCAAGTTTAAAACCTAACATTGATATTTTCATTGTCTTTTCAGGCCTTTTCACTGATTAGTTGATTGTTAATTTTGATCTTGAATTTCACTGAATGTTAATCTATTAAATCACAATTTAACACTTCTTCGTTTCATTGTAAACTGTTAATGGAAAGTAAATTGAATGGAAATGATGTTTTTTGCTTCAATTGACCGGATCAACTTGATCAAACAATCAACTTTAACAGTGAAAAGGATGAAAATGAAAACATTTGCATTTTGAAATTGTTTCAATTGATTTACTGGTAAAATTGATTACAATAGCAATTTGTATTGGATTGATTGGAAGAGTAAAAAAAGTTAACCAAAATGATTAGAGTTTATAAAAAATGGTTCAATCTGGTTTTGTTTGACTTTATGTTGACAAATGTCAACTAATAAGGTTTTCAGTTTTTGCTCAATTATTGGATGTTTCATCATGCTTGTTGAAACATCATCTTAATCAACTGATTATTGACAAATGTATCAAACAAATGTATCAAAAAATTGGTGAAAAAAAAAGGATTCTTACCTTGAATTTGGCTGAAATTATTTGAACAAATGACCAGACTCTTTTGGTTATTGATTAACAGTACCAATAGAAGTGTTAATAAGGATGAGTTTAATTGCCTTGAAAACATGTTGATTTACGGTTAATTTGATGACAATAAAGGACAATCTTGAAGGTTGTTATTAGTAAATGAATATATTTAAATCAGCTTTAAAGTATTTCTTTTTTTTATTCTGTAAAATGAAACGAACAATTGATTTGATTTGGATTAGCATTTGAAGACTGTTGGGTGATTGCGATGGTTAAAGGTGAAAATTGGTTGAACAAAATTAATAAATTACCTGATTATTATGGTGAGGGTTAATGTTGTTTGCCGTTAAGTTAACAAACAACAGTTGGTCAAGTTGATTTGGTAGGTTAGTGTGGATCCATGTTGGTGATCAACATTGATGTCAATTGTTGCAACGATAAATCAATGGATATTAAAGATTGTTGATTGTTGTCAAATTGTTGTTGCAGATGAAACAATTTGAATTGAACACCATCCAAATGAGTGGAAGCACAATTAATAACAAATGTGAAAATGAAGTGAAAAAAAAAGATGATTAAGTAAACAAGAGATTTAACAAACAAAATAAAACAATGCCAAACAAGAAGTGACAATCAGTTTTCAACAGCAAAATGATCAAAGTGTTGCTGCAGTTTCCGATGGCAGTTAATGATAATAATAGAGAAGACGGTGAAGATGAAGATGATGATGAAAATGATGATGTTGTTTGCTGCTGATGATCATCTGATTGTCAGATCTAACTGTAAGGAAAGAGGCAAGAAGAGGAAGGAAGAAATGATAATGTTTGAAGGGAGGGTAAAAAGGAGGGTTTGGTGGGTGGAAAGTTGATGGTGAAGATGAATATGATGAGAATGATGATGATGGTGATGATGGGGAAAGAAGAGGAAAAATTGAAGATGATGATAAATTTTAGGTGCTTTCAATTGCTTTACTTGTATGGTTTTGGTCAATGTGGAGACTCACCTTAAAAAAAGATAGCTTCTTCATCTTGGATGATACTATTCGTGACATGATTTCGGATGATGATTTTTGGATGATGATGATCATCATGATGATGATAGATGTTAGATGATCCAACCCATGAAGAGAATCGCCCACCAAAAATGATTCCTCATCTTAAAACTGAAACGGTTCAACTGAACAGGTTACTGAACCAATAAGCATAACACTCATCTTTTATCATCATTTTCACCATCTTAATCTTTAATATAATTATCATCTCACTGATTCTCTTTCATTTAGAGCAAATTTCGTTGAAACAATTTTCACATTCAATGGTCAGTTTATAGTTTTACTCTCACTTATTACGTCTAATCAATGTCCGATCAAGTTAAACAAGCATTTAGAGATTAAATAAAAAGTCATTTAAAAGCTACGCGAAAGTTACCCTCCTTGTTATGGCAAATGGTAACCTGAAGGTTGCACTCTTTAGGTTACATTAAAACAGTATCTCGAGGGTCAACTAAAGTCACATTGAAAACCAATTTTTAGACTTGAAATAAATATTGATTGACTTTATTTGAAGGTTAAAATTAATTGTATTTCTTTCAATTAATAAATCATTTCAAGATTGTGTTGTAAGGCATTTTGATTGAATCACTTGATGTTAAATTGTGAATCTTGATTGTTGGTGAAACAGATCAACAAATCCATTTAGATTGATAATTATTTGTTGTAGTGAACAAAATAATAATGGCGACCATTTTTGCCAATATTCAACTTGAATGGGTTAAAAAATTGTCAACTCTATTTACATATTGTGCTGTGTCAAGCAAAACAATTAAATGATTCAATCATCCAATAATCAACCCAAATTCAAGATTACTATTCATCCACCCATCAAGGTTACTTTTTCCCCCCTTTTCCTCTTGATATTCATCTTCATCCTCATCATCCTGCTATTATTTGTTTACTTCAGCCGATGTTGATTCCTTGTTATCCTTTGAACCACAGTTGATGGTTTGAATTGTAAAAACTCACGATATTAGGCTTGTTAATCGTGCGAATCAACATTTAATTGTGAATAAACATTTTTGACCGATAATTACAATTGACATTCTGATCATCCGCCATTGTCTTTACTGCATTTCAATACGTGTGTTACTTGATTAAATAATTGGCAATGAAAAATGCTGCCAAGGTTAACATTTAACTGTAAATTTAAACCCAATTTTGATTATTGTTCAATAAACTTTGACCATTCTGGTCATTTATTTATACCTTAACTTGATTGAACTTGTTACAGTTAATTTTTGATATGCTATTTACATCGATTCATGAAAATTATATTGTGTTGTAAACTGAGAAGATGATTAGCTTTAATCATAATTAGTTTTCTTCCTGATTGTTTGACCAAAATAAGAAAGAAATTGTATTCAAAAACCCCGCTGATTTCAATTAACCAATCAAGAGCACTTTACTTTCAACGGTTTTTGTTCTGATGCCAATGAAGTTAAAAATATTAACTTTCATCTAAATTTGTTTCTCTTTATCTTGAATTTATTAATATTTAACAATTAAATTTTAACCCTAAAAATGAGAAGTTAATTATTAGGTAAGTCAAATTTATACATATTTATGATCAACTGATTTATAAGTTATTAGACAACATTGTATTACCATCAGTATAAACCATTGAAACCTACACATAAGATCAACGGGAATGGACTAGAGGTAAGCTCAATCTGTTGTAACAACCTTTAATTGTAACACACAATTAGATTGTTTATATTTTATTATTGATATTTTATCTGGTGAAAGTATATTGAAATTGAGATTAAGATTGCTTTAATGAATGTTACTTGGAACGATCTTGAAGATTTATTGGGAAATAATCCATTCTTGGAAGATGATTAAAACAAAAACAGGTTGGTAATGTTAATATTTAACTAATTATACATGAACTGTTAAGGCTTTTAAGGGTTAAATCTGTCTTTCTTTTGTATTAATTATTCATTACAGTTGGCTAATTGTTGCTGAATCAGGAAATTCAACTTGCCTGTACTTTTGGTTTCTAATGTTCAACAATGCTGTTAAAATGGTGAAAGGAAAATGAAGCCTTCAGAAGTATTACAATCAAACTGTTGGTGTCAATTGTCTGGTGATGAATGATGGAAACCTTGACTTATATTGAAAGTTATTAATAGACAATGTGATTAATCTTAATCTTGATTGTTTCAGGCTTTATGCAAGTATTATAAAAGCCTCACATTTCAATCTGTATCAGTGTTTTGTGCTTAACCCGATGCTAAATATGCAGACATCAGATGATCCATCAATTTGTTTGATGTGTTTGCCTTTTATTGAGACAATTAAATGTTAAACTGGTTAAACATTCAAGTGAAAGTGATTAATTTGTTGATTAGGTTAAATCATCATTTGATTTTGTAGTTTCATCTGTTATAAAAAGCAACTTTGTTTACGGTTAACGTTTGATTTGTTATGCATAATCAATTTTAGGTGAGATTTATTCATCTATCTATCAACAATCAGTAAACATTTAACAGGTTGGCTAATCAACAATCGACTCATTCAATTCAATTTGTATTGAAACAAAAGATTTTAGCTTTGATCCAGGATTAACTGATTAAGACTTGAGATGTGCGAAAATTGATGATAAACTAACCAAGAATTTAAATAATCAATTAGCTGATTATGAAGCGAAAAGGGTTAAAACAATGATAACATTAACCCAATTAAAGTGACTCCAATCAGTTATAAGCGATAATTTTGTTTAATCAGAGCTTCCAATTCACAGCTGAATCATCAATATTTGCAATATTACGAAAGTTAACAGTTACAATCATAAGCATAACACCATTAAAATAATGGTAATCATTACTGTTGTCATTATTTTAATCATGCAAACCTCACAGGATCTTGAGTTGATTTTTTCATTTCTGTTCCTCATTGTAAAGCACAGCAAAGATGAGCATTTGTTGTTCAGCTTCAACGGTTACTCTTGACAATAATTATAATAATAATAATAACGTTTACTATTAAAAAGATCACTTTTTATCGTCATTTTTATCATTCACTTTTATGGTGCAAAGCCTTAAATAACCATTAATAACCAAAGGTGTTTTCATTTACTTCCCATGACGCTGGTTTTGACACGAAAACTTAATGCAAATCTTCATCTCTAATCATTTGAGATCACAAAAATGGCAGCTCAACTTAAAACAGTTGATAAATATCATCAGAATCTTGATCATCATCATGATCATCAACAATAACTGTAGAATAATAAATAAACTAAAGATAATGTAAAAAATGAAAATTACCTTCTTTTAAAGGAATCTCGCAAAACTAAACAAAACTACAAAACAATCTTATAATTAATGCTAGTCTAATCAAATTAGATCTCTTTAATAGTTCCAATTCTTTTGTTTTAGCTTTGATTGTTCCACAATTGGAAACAATTTAGGCAATTATAAATCCATGTGTTGAAAGGTTAACAAACTTGAAATCACAAAGACAAGTAAAACAAAACTGGTTCAACGTATCAACAATCGGTTGCATTAATTAGTAAATTCGTTGGATAATTTGGCACTTCTATTAGATTTAATCATTAAACTGGAATATTTGACAGTTAAATAAACTGTCATTTGTTGGATTGTAATAATAAACTGATTAAAAGCAAGTGATATTCAGGATTTTGTTACACTGTTTGTAATTGAATGTCATCCATAAAATTTACCATTGAAATCTATACACAATGTTTATGCTAAAGGCGCCTCATTTGAATATGGAAAGGTTAACATTTTAGTTTTATTTTAACAAATAAATTGGATTTAACAATCGATATTTATTATACAATTTTACAAATATGATGAATATATTATTGAGTTGAAATAGATTATCATTATTTACCAAAAAGTCTACCCAAAAATAGGTTAACAGCACGCAAAGAGTTGTTACCTTTTTTAACCTGAAGGCTTAAACCTTCAGCCTTTATTGGGAATAAGATGGTGATGATGAAAATGACGGCGTAAATACAAAAACAATCTCATCCATAACACTTTGGTTAAGATTGTAATTAGCATACTCCATTGATTATGAGTTTATCCTTATCAAGTGAATCCAATAACCATGAACAATTTAAAGAATAGTGAAGATAAATGATGAAAAGGATGAATAAAAAATGCGACAAAATCAAAATTGTTGTCAACCCAATTATCATGAATTACAGAGTCTACAAGTTGACTTTTCTTGAAATTCAATTTACTCTGTTTTAATTTCTTCCTCCTTTTGTCTCATTATGTATTATCAATCATAATCATCCTAACCTTTCAATATATCTATATGTGTGAGTGTTTGTATTAATTGTTTACTATTAACCATGTTGATGGTGTTGAACATGAAGATGATGAGAGCAATGAACGTTATATTGATTGAACTTGTTTTGTTTTGTAACAGAGTCACGTTCATCGAAGGTAAAGGTTGATTAACAGGGCTGATTGCTTTTATATTGTTTTGTAATTCATTTTATATCTAATTCATTTTGTTTAATCCTTCATTCAAATGTTATTGAATAGTTAGTTACAGAATGAACGATCAACTGGTAAGGACAAAATCATCTTATTTCAAGGAAACAAAAGGCTTTTGGTTCAGTGAAATTTATTCAGTGTGGTTGAGCTAAAAAATCAATATTCATCTTGAATTGTTTAAAAGGTATTGGTTTAAGATCATCTTTAACGTTTACAATCAAGATATTGAATGACAATTTGATCGAGATGGTTAAAAGTGTTGCAAAAGGTGTGATCTTGAATTGCATATCAACTTAAATTTGATTTTAAGATATTCTCTTGAAATTAAACTCACATTACAATGGTTAATTCATGAGTTACAATATTTATTGTTAATGTTATACTCACTTTTGATATAACCATTTGTGATAAATTTGTGAGGTTTATAAACAATTTATAGATAAGTTAGTTTACTAAATAATTAGTTTTTTTAGATAATATTCTGGTAACAAAAAAGGAGAAATAATGATCCAATATCATGAATGGCTCAAAATGTTATTGTTTCCTAAATGTTGATGATACATTTTACTCCTTGAGATCCTTGGAAGACAAAGAACAGTTCAGCGAGTAACAGGTCTTTAGTGATGCTAAGTTGAGACTTTGTATGATGAATAGAGGGAAAAGGGCGATTTACAGAATGATTAAGCTACAGTTGATGATGTAAAAATTTGTTGCCGAGTGACTGGTTTTGGTCATTGGGTCTAATGTGGACAAAATTTGATTTGGATAAACCAACACAAGTTCAATTGAAATGGTGAATGAAAAGGAGAAAATTATGCTTAAGGTTAAGATATTCAAAAGCCTTGAAATTGCTTTGCCTCCATTTTAGCCTTTATATATTCTAGTTGACGTTTTGCATCTCCGGGTGGAAAATTATCTAAATCATAATAATTTGGTGCTATTCTTATAAGCCTGTTAAATTGAAAAATAAAAGTTAAATTAATAACATTGAAATTTTTGTAGTTGTACAAGTTGCAAATGTTTGGTAAAAAATTTCAATAAAATAATTCTACTTGCCATTCTGGTTTGATATCAGTTACAGTTCTGATATAATTTTTGGTAGTTAATACAAATTCGTTGTAAATAACCCATTCTGGCTTGTGATCAAGACAAGTTGATGGATGAAGTTGAACAACTTGGTTATCTTTAACAGTCAAATAGTGACCTGTTCTTTCTAAATGAGCAGCCTGGAAAGAAAGCGACAAAAATAATTAGAATAGTTTTTTAAAAAATTAAAGACGCAAATAAACATACCTGCATGAAAAATCCTGCAACAATTGCTTTCCTTATGTTCACGTAATATTCTCTATGAGTAAATTCAGTTGAAACCCGTTTCAAATCAAATCTATCCATAATTCTAGAGAGCTGTTGGCGGACATTATCTGCGCTTTTTAATGATCGGTAGTTTATAAAGTTTTCGTAACACCATTGAGGATCATCATGGTCTGTGAATAGATTTAGTTAAGATAAATGAATGGTTCTGATTGAAGAGACAAGTCAAACTTACGTTGTTTGAAGGCATGATAAACATTAAGAAGTGTTAAATGATCACCATCGATATGAGCAAAACGCATTTTTGCCTCGTCAGCAGCCTTTTTAAGATCGTTTGGTCGCACAAAACATTGAGCCACTGTAAAAATTTGAATCGGTTGATTTAAAATTTTTGTTAACAAATGAATAAATATCATGAAAATTATAACAAATTAAACAAACCTGAAAGCATGGCAGTTATCGATAAAGCCTCATTGGAACAATTAAAATCACAAGAAGCAATCAACATTTTTGCTAGTTGGGGATCTAGTGGAAATTCAGCCATTATTGAACCTAATTCAGTCAATTCTCCTTCATCATCTAAAGCACCAACATAGTTGAGAAGCTCCAATGCACGCATCAAAGTTTCTGGAGCTGGTGGATCCATAAAATCAAAATGTACAAGATCATGAATTCCAAGTTTTTTTAATTGTAATACCACAGAGCCCAAATTTGAACGTAAAATTTCTGGATACGTGTTTTCCTGCATTTCTGTTTTATAAGCCTTTTCCGTATATAAGCGGAAACATTTTCCCGGTTTTGTTCGACCTGCTCGACCAGCTCGTTGTTGAGCAGAAGCTTTTGAAATTGGTGACACCAATAGTGACTCAACACGAATTCTTGGATTGTATACTTTTTGTTTGGCAAATCCAGGATCAATAACGAATACAACTCCGTCAATGGTAAGAGAAGTTTCAGCAACATTTGTCGACACTACAACCTTACGGCCAATTAATCCATTAGGTTTATTAGGAGGAGCTGCTTCAAAAATACGCTGTTGCATTGCTGGAGGAAGATTTGAATATAAAGGAATGCATTTTATTTCACCGACATCTGGTCCAAGATTTTCGACTTCGCGTTTGATTCTTTTACACGCTTCTTCGATTTCCTAAATAATTGGTAAAGAAAATCATGGTAAAAATACAGGCAAGTTAAAGAAAAATTGAAGAAACGAAAAAGAGCGAAAATTACCTCTTGTCCTGTAAGGAAAACCAGAATATCGCCTTCTGTTTCTTCTGATACATGAATTTGAATAGTTGTTCTTATAGCAGCCTCTAAATAGTCTCTTTCTGGTTCGGGTGTATAAAATATTTCCACAGGATGAGTCCTTCCAGGTACATTGAGCAGAGGAGCATTATCAAAATAATTTTGGAATTTGCTGGCATCTAAGGTGGCACTCATAACAGCAATTTTCAAATCATCTCGTTTGGTGATGACTTGTTTGAGAACACCCATTAAAATATCAGTTGCTAATGTTCTTTCATGAGCCTCATCAAGAAGAATTATACTGTAATTTTCTAATAAAGGATCTGACATAGCTTCTCTCAAAAGCATACCATCTGTCATGTATTTAAGAACAGTACTTTTGCTAGTGCAATCTTCAAATCGAACGCTGTAACCAACTTCTGATCCCAAGACGACATCCATTTCTTCAGAAACTCTCGTAGCAACGCTCATTGCTGCTACTCTTCTTGGTTGTGTACATGCGACTCCTTAAAAGTAAAAAATAGGCACAAATATTAATTCCATGAGAGTAGAATGCATAAAATTTTTGTTAATCAACTCAACAGAAAGAGAGAATAATGATATTTATAATGATAACTTAAATAGGTAATATTTGATTGAATAGATAGAGTTATGCAAGAGATTAGAAGTGAACTATTGACAGCTATCCTCTACTCTAAATGTTGTGATAATGCATGCAGTGAAATTCTCATGACATCCAATCCCGCTATAACAATAAAATATTTCAAAAAACGAACCTGATTTTTTATTTTTCTCGCGAAGATGTTCAACACACCATTGAGGTATCTGAGTAGTTTTTCCAGAACCAGTTTCTCCCACTAAAACTAATATTTGATTTTTATCGAGAAGGTCGAAAAACTTCTCTCGATATTCCCATACAGGAAGTTGAATCCTTTTACGGAACAATTCAAAATATTTTTGAGAATATGGTAATTTAGTTAAAGGGTTGATTCCAGCAGTTTTGGTCGAAGATGCCACATTTGTTGACGTTGATGCTATCGGTGAAGATAAACCTTGTCCAGGTGCATCTCCGCTGGCCCAAGAAGTACTTGGATTAGAATCGCTTTTGTACGCGGATGGGTCATCATCGGCCTCAAATCTCCTTAAATAAATAAAGTAAAAAAAAATATGAGAAACATAAATAATGATATAAAATTGATGATTATTATTAGAATCAAATACTTGCATCAAATTGAAAAAATGGCATTTTATCTTACCTAGTCTTGGGTCTATCACCTAAATCTACCCTATGACGTTTTGACATGACTTTATGCTAAATTGGTCAAACAGTCAAAACAGCTAATTAGTTAGTAATGGTTTAAAAATAATTAACTAGACTAAATTAAGTGACAATATAAAATTGGAACAGATCATTCAGACAGTCTGGTAAAAACTAAGTTTTTTGTTTACAGATGTGTAGTTACCAACAAACTGACTGTTTCTATGCTAACCGGTTAAAATATTTTTTGCGGTAAATTTAATCACTCTCTGTACATGTTTTGAAATTAAATTAATAAATTATCCAATTTAACCAATCAATCAGCTCGAAGCATTTAAAAATTATGAGAATACTTACAAAGAATCATTTACTCAGCAGCAAACACTAAAATTTTGGTCAAGAATACCATTTTATAGCAAACAACAAAGTATCAGCAATTAAGATGAACATTTTTAAGCTACATGTCTCAAAATCTGAATATGTTTTATCAATAATAAGTTATAAAGAAGGAATTCAATATTTATAATCTGGATCAGTTAAATTCCTCACCAATAAATCAAGAATAAATAAGCTTAGAACTGCTTAAACATGCTTAAATTACAAAAGCTAATTCTGAATCGAACACCTATTAATGAAATCTTCAATGTTGCTGCTCATTCTTGAATCATCATTGGTTTTCCTCTCCTCCCTCGAAATCACGATTATGCGAAGATGAGAAAGGGTGAATTGACTAAATATGCATGTAACGAAACTGAAAGTTTCATTTTGAAAGCTGTTTCAAAATGTTGCAACTTTTCTAGTTGCTTTATTTGAACTTGCAATGTCTCCAACAATTTCAATCAAAATGGTTGATTTTCAAAGATTTATTTTATTGTTTTTATTTATATCTCTATTTTCAATACAATTAAGTGACCAGGAGGTTCTTAATCCACCTTATTATAATATTGCTGAAGGACGTAAAGTCCATGCGACAGGTACGTGTGGTGAAGGAGTTGGTAAAGAGCCATTTTGCAAAATCGTTGGTTCTACGTGGCCGGACTTAGAAATAGATTACAATTACACTGTAGTCCGTGGGCAAGCTTGTGATGTTTGTGATCCAAATAACCCCAAGAAAACTCATTCAGCAAATTATGTTACTGATGGCACATCTAAATGGTGGCAATCACCTCCATTATCTCGAGGTCCTGAAGCCGCTCAAGTCAACTTGACAATTGATTTAGGACAAGTAAGTAAATCTCACTTTAAATTGTCAATAGTTTTAGTAGTCATATAAAGTTCTCTTCGAGGACGACTTGGTTTTTCTGGGACAGTCCGCTTCTGGGTTAAAACTATTTCATTCATGGGTTAAATCATGTAACTGTTGCTGTAAACTTAAACTAATTTGACCGGTTAATATAAATCTAGATGCTTTAAAGACAGGTTGTTACGAAAAAGAAACAATCAACACAATTGTCACATTTATGCACAAATTGACAAGAATTGAACCAAATGAGTATAAACGGGTAAAAATTAATTTATTGCGAATTCAGACTATGTTAGTTTGTAGTGACACAAAAACTGAGTCCACTTGTGCAATTTCAAAGTTTCTGTGACCAGTAGTTTTTGACAAAATCGAGTTCAAAGTTGAAACTTCGATCGCAATTATGGAAGAAGATTTTTCAACTAAACTCATTTTGCTGATGTAAGTTTTAATGATCAACTAGAAAATGCTCTTATTTTGAAGAATAAAATTTTCTGATTTCTGTAAAACAGATAACAGATCGATTTTCAGTCAAACCGATCGTTTTCTATGACCGTAATAGTTAACAAGCTGAAACTTAATATTCGTTCATTAAAATGTTGCTTCAAATCATAGACTGGACATTTTAATCAATTTATAAACAGTTCTCAAGTTTTGGCCATTAGCCTTAAAATTTCGATATTTCGAAACTGGCATCATCTACAAGCATCATTCTTTCACCAATTTGATTCTTTACTGATTAATAATTCAATGAAATCCAATAATATTCAATTAGCGCTTTTGGGTCATCATTTTTGGTTATAAATGAACACTAAAGCAACTTATCCTACAAACTAAACACATATTAAACCATTTTTCTGGTTAAACTTGCAAATGCAAATGCAAAGAGTACTGCCAAAGTCTGGAACATTTGAGTTAAGAGTTGAGACTTGGTGGGGTTTATAGAGGCATGAAAACTGTATCGATTGGTACTATTAAATAATTCATCCGATGGACAATTTTCTAGAAAATCGAGGTCAAAGTTGAAACTTCGATCGCCTTTTGTTCCGCTATGGAACTAGGTTTTTTCATGAAACTAATTCTGCTGATGCAACTTTTGACAAACAACCATGAAATGGTCTCATTTAGAGAAATAACATTTTCTGTTTCTGTAAAACGGATCAAGTTCGATTTTCAGTTAAACCTGTCGCATTCTGTGACCATAACAGTTAGAGACCTGAAAATTATTACTAGTCCATAAAAATTGTTTGTACACAACAAGTAGTCAATCTTTTTTTCAATTTATCAACGATTCTCTTGATTTCGGCAATTGGCCTTAAAACTTTGAGCCTCGATATTTCGAGACTGACATCTTGTACAAGCATCTTTCTTTCACAAATTTGATTCTTTACTAATCAATAATTCAATAAAATCCAATAACGTTCCACTTGCACATTCGGGCTATCATTTTTGGGTTATAAATGAACAGTGAAGCAACTTATCCAACAAACTAAACACATATTAACTCATATCTTGCTAAATAAACCAATTTTCTGGTTAAACTTACAAATCTAATTCGCAGAGTACTGCCAAAGGCTCGAACATTTGAGTTGAGAGTTGAGACTTGGTGGGGTTTGTAGGGCCATAAAAATTGTATCGATTGGTACTATTAAATAATTCATCCGATGGACAATTTTCTAGATAATCGAGGTCAAAGTTGAAACTTCGGTAGCGTTTTGCTCATTTATGGAAGCAGATTTTTTCACAGGACTTAATTCGCTGATGTATCTTTCGATGCCCAACCAGAAAATGGTCTTATTCTGAGAAATAACTTTTTCTTTTTCTTTAAAACAGATCAAGTTCGATTTTAATTTAAACCTGTCGCATTCAATGACCATAAGAGTTAAACAGCGGAAACTTAATATTTATACGTAAAAGTTGTTTGTCCACATCATGAATTGAATTTTTTTCCCAATGCAACGCCAGTTCTCCTGATTTTGGCCATTGAACTTAAAACTTTGAACCTAAATATGTCGAGAATGGTTGCACCTACGATCATCTTTCTGTGACAAAACATTAAATCTTATTATGGGCCTTAATATGATATGACTGAATACATTTAAAAATGAATATCATTCTAACAATTAAGGTTTGCATTTGAGTAACTGTTTAACTTTATAAATAAAGTGTTAGATCGGACAACACTATTAATACAATGCTATAAGTTTCTACGTAGAATTTTGAATGATTTAATATTTCAACATGTCATAACCCATGATGATACCTAATGTTAGATTACAGAATGATGATTGTAAGTGTAGTCATTCTCGAAATATCGCGGTTCAAAGTTTCAAAGTCCAATGGCCAAAATCAAAAGAAATGTTGATAAATTGAAAAAAGTATTTGTTTCTTGATATGTGCAAACATCTTTTACGTATAAATATTAAGTTTCAGCTGTTTAACTCTTATGGTCATTGAATGCGACAGGTTTAAATTAAAATCGAACTTGATCCGTTTTACAGAAAAAAGAAAAGTTATTTCTCAAAATAAGCCCATTTTCTGGTTGGTCATCAAAAGATACATTAGTGAATCAAGTTTCATGAAAAAACCTGCTTCCATAAATGAACAAAACGCGATCGAAGTTGCAACTTTGGCCTTAATTTTCTAGAAAAATATCCATCGGATGAATAATTTAATAGTACCAATCGATACAGTTTTAATGCTGCTACAAACCCCACTATGTCTCAATTCTGAGCTAAAATGTTCTAGCCTTTGGCAGCATTCTTTGAATTGGGTTTGTAAGTTTAACCAGAAAATTGGTTTATGCAGCAAGATATGAGTTTATATGTGTTTAGTTTGTAGGATAAGTTGCTTTAGTGTTCATTTATAACCAAAAATGATGACCCAAAAGCGCTAATGGAAAGTAGGTAAATTAAATTATTAAATTGCATATTAGTTATTTATTAGCAAAGGATTAAATTAGTGAAAGAATTATGAAGTAGTGCTACCATTCTCGCAATGTTGAGGTTCAAAGTTTTAAAGGCAATGGCCAAAATCAGGAGAATTGTTGATAAATTGAAAAAATGATTCTATCCATGATTTGTACGAGCAATTTCTATGGATAAGTTTCAGCTCGTTAACTACTACAGTGACAGAAATCTGTCGATTCAAACGAAAATCGAACTTATCTGTTTTACAGAAACATAAAACTTTATTTCATGTAATAAAGTGACTTTTCTGGTTTGCCATTAAAATTTAAATACGGAAAATGAGTTTCGTTAAAAAATCTGCTTCCATAATTGTACAAAAAGCTTTGCAAGTTGCAACTGCAAACCCGATTTTCTCGAAACCTGCAGAGAAATCTTTAAATAAACTCAGTTTTTATGTTCGCACAAACCAACAGAGTCTCAATTTGAAAGAAATCAATTTTCGCCAGTTTTTGCCCATTTGTGACAATTGGGTCTTTTTAGTAACAACCTGATCTTCATTTTGTTTAACCTAACCTCAATTTAGTTTACCTAATTTTTGAATTCCACTTACCATAAGTGATGAGTGTCTATGTGGACGGTGTGATTGAATTGCTGATTAATTGACAGTTAGGTTATGTTTGAGTTAATTGTAACTTAAAGTTTGAACTTGAATCTCTATTTGACTTTGAGACGCAGACAAATCAAATTGAGATACATGGTTGTGGTTTTTCAGGCTAATTGCCAAGTTCATCTATTAATTTTATTAGCAAAAGACTTTGCTGAGCTATTACTAAGGAATGATAACTGGTTTCTTCAAAAATTACCAGAATTCGAATAATAAGATCTATTCGGATTTGAGTCATTAATATTGCTAATTTTAGTGAATTATGCAAATCCATTTAATATTTGTCAATGAATTTCAATGTTTCAACTTATGTTCTTGCTTCTGTTTGCACATTATTTAACCAAAACACTCGGTTTCTTTAAATAACTAATGGGTTAATCAATTTTTGCCTACAATTGTTGATATTATTTTATTTCTATCAATGCTGCAGCAATTTAACATTACTACTAAAATAACAAATTGCTCATTTATCTGTTGTACATTAATTATCTTTGGGATTTCGGTTTAATTTAAGGAATATCATGTGGCATATGTTTATGTTACTATGGCTAATTCACCTAGACCAGGAGTTTGGGTTATTGAAAGGTCGGTTGATGGAGGTTCGTCGTTTAAGCCTTGGATGTATTTTGCTGACTCTAAAGAGGAATGCGTAAGACAATTTGGCGAAGAAAGTATTCAACCGTTAACTCGAGACGATCAAGTTATTTGCGAAACAAAATATTCAAAATTAATTCCTCTAGAAGATGGTGAGGTAAGTTGACGACAAAGACGTTGCTAGTTATCGTCAATCCTTATACAAATAATTTGCAAGCTGTTGATTTCAATTGCTTTCATCTTTTTCAATTCTGATTTAGATTATAATATTGCTTTTGAAAAATAGACCCGGTGGAGATAATTTTACCAGTTCAGAGGCTCTACAGGAATTTACCAGAGCTACTAATATTCGTCTTCGATTCATTAGGCCTCTAACTTTCGGTATCAATAATCTATTGAATTTTGAGAAAACATTTCTTTCTCGTGTAAGTTTATTTTTATTTATTCTTGATTTAACAATGTTTCAGGATTCTGAAGTCATTAACTTTGAATGTAATTATGATTTATTTTTGATCTTGATTCATGGAAACTAGTACTTTTATAGCATTCGAGAGATCAAAGTAGGTGCTCGGTGTGTATGTAATGGTCATGCTGAAGCTTGTGATTTTATCGATCCGAACAGTCCAGATAAATCGCATTGTGCCTGTCGACATAACACTACTGGTGTCCAATGTGAAAAATGTAAACCACCTTTTATGCAGAAACGTTGGAGACCAGCGACTCCTAATGACCCATTTGAATGTGAAAAATGTAACTGTAACGGCCACTCAGAGGAATGTATATTTGATGATGAAGTCGAGAAGAATCATCAGTCTATGGATATACACGGTAATTACGAGGGTGGTGGACGGTGTATTAAATGTGATCACAATACCAAAGGAATAAATTGTCATGAATGTAAATTTGGCTTTTATCGACGCAAAGGACTACCTCTCAATGCGACAAATATCTGTGTTAAATGCAGTTGTTTCAAGTCTAGTCAAACTGGCGGCTGTGATGCAGAAACAGGACTCTGTCAGTGTAAAAACAACTTTACCAACGCACCAGCCTGTGATAAATGTGCTTATGGTTATTATAAGGAACCAGATTGTCCTAGATGTCCATGTTATCGTAATGGTACTTTGGACGATATTTGCGCTCCAAGTAGAGGTCAATGCATTTGTAAAAAGTCTTATTCTGGTGCTGATTGTTCATCTTGTGCTGCTAGTTACTGGGGATTTCCTAAATGTCAACCCTGTAACTGTGATTTATCTGGCTCTGTTTCACCCAATTGTGATTCAACCAATGGTAAATGTACTTGCAAAAAACAGTTTTCAGGTAATTTATGTAGTTCTTGTTCTGTTGGATTTTTCGGTTTTCCTGAATGTCAGGCCTGTGACTGTAACCCACTAGGAACTTTTGAAGACGTTTGTAATTTAACTAACGGAACTTGTAAATGTAAACCTGGTTTCGGTGGGTCAAGATGTGATCAATGTATTCCTGGCTATTACGGTTTCCCCGATTGTAAACCTTGTACTTGTTACTCGGAAGGATCAATTAATGAAAATTGCAGTAAAGATGGCAAGTGTTCATGTCACCCTCGTTATGGTGGTTTAAAATGTAATCAGTGTGCTCCTGGTTACTTTGACTTCCCCAAATGTGAAGCTTGCGGCTGTGATCCAGCAGGATCTTCAGGTACTTCTTGTCTAAATGGTGCTTGTTGGTGTAAAGATAATTTTGAAGGAACCAAGTGTAACAAGTGCAAGAAAAACTATTACAATTATCCAACTTGTGAAAGCTGTAGCTGTAATCCAGCTGGTATTGTTTCTAATTTTTCTAGATGCTCTGAAATCCCATCTCAAAAATTTTGCAACTGTAAAGAAAGAGTAGTTGGACGTAATTGTGACACTTGTGCTCCTCATTTTAAAAATTTACGCGCTATAAATCCTTTGGGCTGTGATCCTTGTCGGTGTAATCGAGCTGGTTCCATCAATGGTCTGGATTATTGTGATGGCGACTCTGGTCAATGTATATGTAAAGAATCTGTTACTGGGTTAACCTGCGATCGTTGTTCTTATGGTACTTATGCTCTATCAAGTGGTAATTATCTTGGCTGTGTCCCATGTGATTGTGATGTTGGTGGCTCATGGCGTAGTGTTTGTGACAAAATAACTGGTGCATGCCAATGTAAATTCAGGATTGAAGGTCGTCGATGTGATCGCCCTCAGATAGCTCATTATTTTTACACGACTTATCAATACCTATATGAATTAGAAGATGGTCGAGGTGAATATCATAGTATACGTTACGACTACAATGAGACTGTTTTCCCTGGATTCTCATGGAAAGGTTACGCTAAATTTTCCGAGATTCAAAAGAAAGTTACCATTGATTTTTTCATAATTAGATCGTCATTTTATCGAGTTATCTTTCACTACCATAATCCAGGAACTGAACCCATTGTTGGTAACCTGACCTTAACAAATGAAAATGAGCCTCCTCAATATTTGAAAGTCACTTTTGCACCAACATTAAAACCAAAGAAATATCTGGTTCCAATGGATAAAGCAACTCCGTTTCACCTTTTTGTCACAAGACGCCCATGGAGTGCTTCTTTAACAGCGGATGAACCTTTATTAGTCGATTACATTGTTTTCCTTCCTCAAGCTTACTTTGAGGCTACGATTCTTCGAGAAAATGTGACTGGAGCTTGCACCGTATCGACTCCTACCTATCAACTCTGTCGACATTATGGTTATACTAAATTTCCACCTTCATCGATTAGTTATCCAAAAGGCTTCGCAAATGCCAATGTTGACATTCCGGCAGATGCACGCGATTCATTCTTGATCAATGCTGTCTCATTGTCTGATCAAGAGCGTGAACACGTCTTTGATTTGGATGTTGATAAAGAGTCGAAATATGTTCTAATTTTATCCTATGTTTATCGTGTCACCAATCCACCGCCAAAAGGCCAAATAGCTAGATTAACAGTCGAAGTTAATACTTTAAACAAAATAAAAATGAATATTCCCTTTCAAGTACCAATATGCCAAAACACTTTTCCCTGTCGTCATGTTATTGTTGATAATAAGGGCGCACCAGTTAAGTTTCATCTCGCAAACGGACCATCTACAGTTATTGTTAAACTGGATAATGAAATCGGCGAAGCTACTTTTAGCATATTGGGCTTGATATTTTTACCGATTCGTGACTGGCATATTGATCATGTTAAACCTTCTTTAATTTGTATAATGCGTAATCTGGAATGTTTAGATTTACCATTTGACGAAATGTCCGAATCCATGAAAATACCCTTTAATGGTCAGAGTACATCAAGTGTTTCATCAAACATTATTGATGAATCAATGGGAATGATTCAGCTTTCTGGAGTTGCACCTGTAACTCAAAATTATATACTGGTTGTTCACTATTACCAACCAGATTATCCAGAATTTGGAATTGAGATAACTTTCCTTAAATCAATGCAATCAGCAACAGAACAGGCCACTCTGAAAATTTCTCACTGTCCTAATAAAAATGGCTGCAGATCCATGATCCAATTCAAAAAGCCTTTGGGAGTTTTGGAAGCTGGCAAAGAGTTTATGCTAATAATGAATTTACCAAAAGATCGTTTTGCTAATTTTGAAAATTTACTTTTAATCAGTGAAAAAAATTTCTCACCAACCCAATTGAAGTTGCCAATAGTTGATCGATCCACTGAGTTTTTTGCTCAATGTGCTCAAGATGCATTTTATGTAGACGATTCTTCTTCAGAATTTTGTAAACAAGCTGTTTTCACCTTAACCACTGATCACAATAGTGGTGGAGCATTTTGTGGTTGTAATGCTACTGGATCTTATGGATATACATGTAAACCTCTTGGAGGTCAATGTAATTGTAAACCAAATATAATTGGAAGAGAGTGTAAAGCTTGCCGATCAGGTTATTATGGATTCCCTGATTGTAAACCATGCAACTGCCCCAAAACTGTGGACTACTGTGACTCAGTTACTGGTGAATGTGTTTGCCCCAAGAATGTTGTAGGAAATAATTGTGATCGATGTGCTCCGTTGGCTTATGGTTATGACTCTAAAATGGGTTGTGATGAATGTAATTGTCATCCTCTTGGTGTTTTAGATGGTAATTTGAAGTGTGATTCTCGCACTGGTCAATGTAGATGTAAAGCCAAATATGATGGACGTATTTGTAGTCTGTGTAAAATAGGTTACTTTGATTTTCCTGATTGTCGTCGTTGTAATTGTCATTATGATGGTACAACATCTGATGTCTGTGATTCTAAATCAGGTTCCTGTTATTGCAAGGAAAATGTACTCCGTCCTAATTGTGATGTTTGTAAACAAGGAACTTTCAATCTTGATCCAAAGAATCCTGAAGGTTGCACCAAATGTTTCTGTTTTGGAGTCGCCAAAAATTGTCGAAGCTCCGAGCTAAAGCTAACTCCTGTGAAAGCCATTAACTATTCAAATTGGTCTGCGGTTGAAATTGAATTTTCTGAGTCTGAATTAAGTTTCACACCGATAGTGACAACTTCCAAATTAACAGAGACACAATTTAGATTAGAACCCGTTCCAATGGGACAAGTTTATCTTTTATCAAAATCTGATTCCAGGAAAAATTTTTACTTTAAAGTACCAAATGAATTTCTCGGTAATCGCCTAACTTCCTATGGAGGTTTCATTCGCTATCAAACTGTAGAGTTACCTTTGAAAGGCTCCGTTATAAATTCAATTGATACTCCTGTAACTCCAGACTTAATTTTCATTGGACGTAATCACTCGATTGAATTAACAAATGATGAACAGCCTGCTTCACCATTTAGTACACAAAAGTTTGAGATCGAGTTGGTTGAAAGTAAATTCCGTCATTTATATGAATCAACACCAGTTACTCGAGAACAGTTTATGACTTTGCTAACTGATCTGCAGTCTATTTATATTCGTGCTTCATACTTTACACCAGTTGGAGCCGTTTATCTTGCTGACTTTACATTTGATTTAGCTTCCAATGGTTCAATTTTAAATGCTTCATTAGCTCGTCGAGTCGAACAATGTAGCTGTCCAGTAAATTATAAAGGAAGTTCATGTGAAGAATGTGCCAGTGGCTATTATCGAATCTCAGTTGGACCTTACTTGGGTTCGTGTATTCCTTGTAAGTGTCATGGACATTCAAATGAGTGTGATCCGTTAACAGGGAAATGTTTAAACTGCAATCATAACACGACTGGTGATCATTGTGAACTGTGTAAATCAGGTTTTTATGGAAATGCAACTGTTGGAAAACCTGACGATTGTTTGAGCTGTCCTTGTCCATCGCCAAATAATTTTGCTACTTCTTGTAAGATGGATCAAGATACTCGACTAAAATCAGAATGGAGTTGTAACTGTAAACCTGGTTATACCGGTAAACTGTGTAACCTTTGTGCTGTGGGTTACTTTGGTAATCCCTTAATTCCTGGCAACTTCTGTCAACCTTGTAACTGTAATGGTAACATTGATTCAACAGATCCTGATTCTTGTCACTCATTTTCGGGAAACTGTGCGAAATGTCTCAATAATACTGCTGGTAAATCATGTGAACGGTGTGCTGATGGATATTATGGTGATGCTATTAAACTGAAAAACTGTCGGCCTTGTCAGTGTGTTAATTGTGGCACTGCAGTTTGTGACCAATATAGCGGTAATTGTAAATGCCATCCTAATGTTATTGGTAAGTTTATTGATCTTTTTACATGGTTAATGTGTTACGTTGATTTGAGAGTTTAATGTAACTATAGATTTAAATCTGACGAGATATCAATTGATATTCTAGATTTGAATACTTTTGAGTTGACTTTTGAAGTATTAAATAAATGAAGGTAAAGTTAATAACTTTTTCATTTCCAGGTGACTATTGTAATGAGTGTAAACCAAATCATTATGGATTCAATACATGTGCCGGTTGTACGCCTTGTAATTGCTCTGATGCCTCTAAAGGACACGATTGTGATGCAGACTCGGGTCAATGTCGTTGTCAACCTGGTGCCACTGGGAGAACATGTAATGTCTGTGAACCTGGATTCTGGAAATACAGTAAATTGGGTTGTGAATCTTGTGGATGCAGTGAAAAATATTCAAAGGGAGTTGTCTGTAACCAGAAAACTGGAAAGTGTGAATGTTTACCTGGAGTTGTTGGTGAAAAATGTGACAAATGTCCACGGCGTTGGGTATTTGTAGACCAGAAAGGATGTCACCAATGCACTGACTGTCAAGATACTCTACTTGACGATACAGACCTTCTCATGAATGAGATAACTCCAATATTTAATGATCTCAGCAACACAGCAAAAAGTGTCTATACAGCGAAAAAATTTTCGCTATTGATTAGCAACTTAACCAAATTGGAAAATAAAATGTCTATTAACATTAATGCATCAAAATTGATCAATCTCTCTACTCTGGGTAATGAAATGGTAAAAATTATTAAAGGATCAGATAATTTATCGGTATGGCAGGAAAGGTTATCTCACTTGGCTTCAAGTGTTGTCAAATGGAACAAGACTTTATCAAAAGCTGATACGATTCTCCATGAAAGCAAAAAGGTCTCGAATGAGGTAAACAAAACAATTGAACAATTTAAGGCTACTGAACATCTTTACAAAACTGAAGCAGCTGAAGTGAGTTTCCCAGCTATGCTGAGTCAATGTGAAAGCAATACAAACGAGGTTAAAAGAGTGAACAGTTTCATTGACGGTAAAACAAGAGAAGTTGACGATATTTTAAACGAACTCGCATTCAACTTTTGGTCGAAAGTCAAACGCTTATTCAAAGACATTTCTGCCTTGAAGACTGACGCTAATGGATTTAAAGAGCGATTAAATAGAGCTGTAAATATTTTAACCGATGCTAACCTGAAAATTGCTAACTCAACGAGTGTTTCTCTGGATGTTCAGCGTAGTCTGAATATAAGTCACACTTCTCTTAAAGAGCCAATGATTTCCAATATCAATTTGATGAAAAATCTCGATTCTTCAATTGCAACCCATCTGAAGGAAGCCAAAGCTAAAATTAACCAATCTAGTGCAATTTTAATAGCTACTTCAAGCTCACTTGTCACTTTAGTTGAACTATCTTACCCGGTGACTACTAAAAAAGAGCGACTTGTTGGTCTATTGGGCAAACTAAAGAAACTTCAAGAACTTAGATTGACCAATGAGGTAAAAAAGGCTATACAATATTCAAACAATTTGAACAAAACTGCTATTAATCTCGGTTTGACTTTTTCAAGAGTATTTGAAGAAGAGAGCTTAGCCCGCAAAATTAAAGCTGCAAAAGCTTTTGGAATTGTTGAAAAGGCCATTGAATCGGCAGAAAATTTAGTGCGAGATCTTAATATATCGTCTGATAAACCATGGAAGAAGATAAAAGATGAAATATCTTCAGTTCAGCAAGACGTTATGAAAAATAAAGGAAAGGCAAGTGAACTTAAAGCAAATATCTTGACCATTGGAGCCAAAGATCTGTACCAGAAAAATGAAACTATTAATTTGAAAGATGCTATGATTAAACTGCAAAGTCAAAAATTGGATAAATTAATCATAGAACTGGGAAATACCACTGAGAATATTATTGCGTTTAATAAAGACTCTAAGTTGATGGAATCGATTCAGCTCAGTGCCCATATAGCTAATAATGTTTCAACACGTTTTGATCAACTTGTCATTGACATCGATTCCATATCAAATGCAACAAATGAACTTAAACAGGATCAAGAGCAAATATTTATTGATATTAATGAAGGGACTTCATTGTACACTTTATATGATCCAAGAAAAATCCGAGAAAGAGTTCATAATTCAGAGGTTAAAGTTGCTGAAATGATGAACTTGGTTAAATCATCTAAACCTGTAATTGAAAAATTGAAAAGGATGGTTATTCGAGCTCGTAAGATGGCAAGTCATATTGATTTAGCAATGAAATTGGACAAAATTTCTTTTGCTCAATTAAGGCTACCTGAAAATTTATTACGCACCTCTAAAAGCTTGACCAGCTTATCACTCAACTTTGCCAGCATTTATAATGATGGACTATTGTTTTTCATGGGTAATTTAAATAAATCTCAACCTCAACATGTTAAACGTTCAACTGACAAGGATCTCACGAATAGGAATGATTATATTGCTGTTTGTCTCAACAAAGGAAAGGTTAAAGTTGTTTTAGATTTAGGCAGTGGCCCTCAATCCATAGAGACTGACGACACTTTCAATGACGGTGATTGGACTGGATTAGTATTTAACAGAGTTGGTAAAAAAATGAATCTAACAATGTTAAAAGGTGACAAGATGACTGTGACTGTTGGTTACATTGAAGGAAGCTCATTTTTATTTGATCTCAACAACCAATCACAGATATTTGTTGGTTTGATTCCAAGCGATTATATCGTGCCAGATACAATTAACGCCAATATTTTCAATGGTTCTTTGGCTCACATTACTTACAGCGATATTCCCATAAGTCTACACAATTTCAAACGTGGATTTTATTCTGGTGGTGCCTTTTCACCTGATCCGCCTAAATTTAAAGGCTGTTTCAAAGATGAACTTGATAACTCAAAAAGGACTCCAGGAGTAACCTTGGGTTGTGTTGAATCTAGAGTAACTGAAGCTGTTTTTAAAACAAACGTTAGACCAAGTTTCATTGAAATGCCATTGAAGAAAGAAATTGAAAGTTTCCAAATATCATTCAAATTTAAAACTAATTTATCCAAAACTATAATATTTGCTATGCACATGACGCCTGGTGAAAACACAAACATGGCATTTTCTTCAATCTTTATTGAGAAAGGAATACTTAAATTTGTAACTTTTCCTGGTGGAAGTGCATATTCAGATGTTCGTTGCAATGATAGTGAATGGCATTATGTGATGTTAACTAAAAAAGGCAACTCTTATAAACTCAACATAGATGATAAACCTGAAGTCTCCAAAGATTTCCCAGAACAAAATCTACATGAATCTGCCGAATCATATTCTATTGGTGGGTCAGATGAACATATTCGAGGAAATTTTCCAGTTTTTATTGGGTGTGTTGGTGAAATTGTGGTTAATAATGAACTTCAAGATCTAAGAAATGCAGATGATGTTAATGCTGCAACCTTGGTTAATTGTGACCAACAATTGATTAACAGCGATAATGACACATCAACTGAAATTATTCCCAATTTACCTTCACTAACAAATACAAACATCACACCAACCACACCAGCCATCAATCCATCTTTACTAGCCAATTACACAACAGTCCCAAATTGTGCACTTCCAATGGTTCCCATTGAGCCAGGTGTTACCATAGATAGTCATGGTCGTCGATTTGGTACTTCTCGACATTCTCGAGTTGAAATTAAATTGAGTTCCGAATTGATAAAATCGTTTGAAACAGGGTCTAATATTAGCCTTCGATTCTCACCAACTAGAAAAATGTTTGGAGAGGGAAATAGAGCAGGAATTTTATTCTTTGTTTCTGATGCACAATTTGATGAATTTATGTGTCTTTATATCTATGATCAAGTCATGTATCTGGCATGGAATGTTGGAAGTGGTCATAAAATTCTCAAAGGAGATTGGATTATCTCAAAATCTAATGTTAGAATAACATTTGGTCTTAATGGAAATGCTGGTTGGGTTGATTCTTACACTGCAACTTCACCTGGAAACTCGACAAAATTCAACATAGTATCTCCAGCTTATATAGGAGGTTTACCACCGATTGCAGCTCATCGAGTTGGACCACTTATTTGGAACATGAATCATTCATATATTGGTTGTATTCGAGATATTGTCATCAATGGAATACCAATCAGCCTAGAAGAAAAAGAAACAGAAAATGGATATAAATTCGTGAACACGCCAATTTGCACGAATCAAATTGAATCTGGAGTCTATTTAACCGGTCAAAATAGCTATTTATCTTGTTATGATAAATTTAAAGTTGGACTTACAGTTGTAATTGAGTTTCATATTAAACCTCGTATTTTGAATGGTCTTATTTTGGCTACATTTGGTCATCCCAACGAGAAAGGTGAAATCAGTGATTATCTAATCGCTAAGTTGAATAATGGTGCTATTCAATTAACGGTTAATAATGGATTCGGTGAAAAGACTGCAACTCTTGACATGAAAAACGGCTCTGCGGCAATCTGCGATGGAAATTGGCATATGATTACGATTACCAAAATTTCAAACTCTCACATGATTACCGTAAACAAAGAAGAAAGTGAAGCTGTTTTCGGACCTGGAGGCTTTAACGTTGCTGATACATCAACTCCTATTTTTGTTGGTGATGTTCCAGATTATTATCGACGTATACTCCCTGATTTACCTCCTCCTTACATTGGTTGTGTTAGTCACATGAGTGCTTATTCTCCGAAACAAAGAGGATACATAAATTACATAAGTATGGGAAGGTACTGTGATTACATTGGAAATGCGATGGAATATTGTCCGATCTTTTAGTTTTACCTCAATAATGGTATGGATATTCAAATTGTGAAAGCATCTAGAAAGTCACAGATAGTGATTACATGTGCCAAATTAAGTGTGAAGAGGTGATGATTGACTCTTTCTTAATAAAGTCCATTTTTATGTTAATTATTAAAATATACAGATTAAACTAATGACTGTCATTATTTATTCAATAAACTAATTGATTTAATAAAGTGTAACTGCTGTATTAGTCTGAATGATATCACAATTCAAGTTAAAAATAATACCCTAGACCAAAAACTCTTTAGCCATCAAAGTTATTGTTTCAATTGATCGACCAATCATCTTTTTATTTAGCGGGTACAAAGTTAGATAAACCTATTCAAACTTTGAGTATTTCAATCATGAAAAAACTGAAAAGCAGCAATTTAGTTGAAATTTAAAATATTTAAGATCATAATTTTTAATGTTTTTTATTTTTTGATAGAAATGGCAATTTTGATTCAAAGAGTTATATTTGAATGAATTTAAACAATGAAAAGGATAAAGAATAAACTTTTTAAGTACAAAAGTAAAAACCAATGAACAACAGTGGTGAAGCGGGACTTAAATGCTTTCAGCGATCATCTTTACCACTCGAGATCAATACTGCTTTCTTTTTTAGGAGCATCTAGATCTTCATAACTTGCATTTCCACCTTCCTGTAAATGAGAAAATTAAAAAGATGATTAAAATATTAATTATGACACTAGTAAATTTGATCAAGGTGTTTTTTGAAAAGCATTAGTTCGGCAAGTTACTTACTCCTCCTCTATAGTCGACACCTCCAAATGCGATATCACTACCAAATTGACCTTCAGAAGTCTCTTCTGTAAGCCAGTCAGGAACAGGTTGTTGAGCACTTTTGATAACTTCCACGATTTTGGGAGCCAAAGCTTTGTCAGCATCAGGATCATAAAAACTTGTTGCTTTACCCTTATTTCCGACTCGACCTGTACGACCGATCCGATGAATGTAGTCATCAATTTCTTTGGGCAGGTCATAGTTTATTACATGCCTAACATCTTTAATATCCAAACCTCTTGACGCAACTGATGTAGCAACCAAGATAGGAAATTTACCGCTTTTCAAATCGTCAAGAGCTTCTTCTCTTTGACGTTGGTAACGATCGCCATGGATGCTAGTCGCTTTGAAATCAGATTGAGACAGGAAAGATGCGAGGAAATCAGCCGTCTTTTTGCTTTCTACAAAAACCATGGTCCGATCATTATTATTAGATTCCTTAAGGATCTCAAGAAGCTTATTTCTTTTGCTAAACTTTTCAACTTTCAATAAGGTCTGGTGGACATCAGAATTAGCAGCACCAAGAATGCCAACAGTGAGGAAAAGATAATTTGAGACTAAGAATTCAGCGGCAACTTTCTGTACTCTATTTGCAAACGTAGCACTGAACATGAGTGTTTGGCGTTTTTCTTTGGGTGGCATTGTTGGATGAATAATCATTTTGCGTACATCAGGTATAAAACCTTGATCAATCATTCGATCAGCTTCGTCCAAAACGAGGTATTTTAATTCAGAAAAATCATAAAAATTTTTATCTAAGAAATCGAGTAATCGTCCAGCAGTACCAACGAGTATGTGTGCACCTTCGGAAAGTTTAGCTTTTTGGTGACCAACTGAAGTTCCACCATAAATAATTTGAACTTTAACAATGCTTCCTCTACTATACTTATATGTTTCTTTGTAAATCTGGACGGCTAATTCACGAGTTGGAGAGATAATTAGAGCTTTTGGTTTCGCAGGAATCTCACCATAACCACTCCTTAGATCTTTGTCATTGAATAAATCTTGTAGAATGGGTAAAATAAATGCTAATGTTTTACCAGATCCTGTTTGAGCGCAAGCCATTAAGTCTCTACCGGCCATAACAATTCTCATACCATATTTCTGGATAGGAGTTGGTTTGATTATTTTTGAACGCTTTAAACCATTTAGAATAGTTTCACTAGTAAAGGCCTCTTCAAAGGTTTCATATCTCTCAGGATCTTTAGGCACGTCTTCTCCACTGACAGAACATGGCATTCCATCGTAGGAATCAAAGTTTTCACCAGCTGAAGCTGTATCGTAAAGAGATTCATCATTTTCGTTAAGATCAGCAGGTTTGTAAACTGGAGGCCTGGGTTTTCCATCAGCATCTAAAGAGGGCTCAGTACAATCTTTAGCCATATGACCTTCTTTACCACATTTATGGCAACCTTTACCACGAGATCCACTTCCACCTCCTTTAGGACATTCACGAGACATATGCCCTTCTTCACCGCATTTGAAACAGCCTTTTCCCCCAGAACCGCCAGATTTACCACGGTCACTAGTTCCAGAAGATGTACCCCAATCTGAACCTCCACTTTTTTTGGGCGAACTTCCTGAGTCTGCCCATGATGATCCACCTCCAGATCCCCAAGCATCACCGGACTCCTGTTTCGAGTTTGGTTTAGTTTCACTTGGACTAGGATCACCCCAGCCGCCTCCCCAAGTATCGCTGGAATCTTGTTTAGAGTCATTGGACTTGAATTTTGGTTTAGTTTCACTTGGACTAGGATCACCCCAGCCGCCTCCCCAAGTATCGCTGGAATCTTGTTTAGAGTCATTGGACTTGAATTTTGGTTTCGTTTCACTAGGACTAGGATCTCCCCAGCCTCCACCAGATGCTCCCCAGGAATCTTCTTTCGAGTTTTTGGCAGTGGAACCAGACGATGACTCCCAATTACAATTTTTTTTGGCTGGACTTGCAGCACAATCGTCACTTCCCCAGTCTCCACCTGATGATCCCCAAGGAGCACCTTCACTTTTGACAGCACGGCGATCACGTCCTTCTCGGCCACCATTTGGACATTCACGAGACATGTGTCCTTCTTCACCACACTTGAAGCAACCCTTTCCACTACCTCCTCTTGATGATCCACCTCCTGATGGACATTCACGAGACATGTGTCCTTCTTCACCACATTTGAAGCAAGCTCTACCGCCACCTCCTCTTGATGATCCACCTCCTGTTGGACATTCACGAGACATGTGTCCTTCTTCACCGCATTTGAAGCAGCCCTTTCCACGAGAGCCACCTCCACCTCCTGATGGACATTCACGAGACATGTGTCCTTCTTCACCGCATTTGAAGCAACCCTTACCACGGGATCCACTTCCACCTCCTTTAGGACATTCACGAGACATATGCCCTTCTTCACCGCATTTGAAACAGCCTTTCCCCCCAGAACCACCAGATCTACCTCGGTCACTAGTTCCAGAAGGTGCACCCCAATCACTAGTTCCCGAAGATGCGCCCCAATCATCACCTCCACTTTTTTTAGATGAACTTCCTGCATCTGCCCATGATGATCCACCTCCAGAAGACCATTCACCACCAGTTGCCCCCCAGGCATCACCAGACTCTTGTTTCGAGTCATTGGACCTGGAATTTGGTTTAGTTTCACTTGGAGTAGGATTACCCCATCCTCCACTAGATCCCCAGGCATCGTCGGACTGTTGTTTCGGTTTGGTTTTAGGAGGACTAGGATCTCCCCATCCTCCACCAGTTGCACCCCATGCATCGCCCGACTCTTGCTTCGAGTCATCGGATTTGAATTTTGGTTTGGTTTCACTTGGAGTAGGATTACCCCATCCTCCACTAGATCCCCAGGCATCGTCGGACTGTTGTTTCGGTTCATCAGATTTGAATTTTGGTTTGTTTTCAGGCGGACTAGGATCTCCCCAACCTCCATCGCCCATTTTCATATCATCTTCTTTCTTAGGAGTTGGGCTTTCTACTTTTGATTGGTTTAGACCACTCATAATAGTTTCACTAGTAGAGGTCTCTTCAAAAATCTCACATCTCTTTGTATCTTTAGGCACGTCTTCCCCAGAACATGGCATCCCGTTGGATGAATCAAAGTTCGTACCAGCTGAAGCTGTATCAAAAGGAGATTTATCATTTTCGGTAAGATCAGGAAGCTTGTTGATTGAAGGCCTTGGCTTTCCATCAGCGTCTAAAGAAGGCTCAGGATAATCGTTAGCCATTTCACCTTCTGTAACACTTTTAAGGGAATCTTTTGTAACAGAAACACCAGAAACACCAGAATCACAATTATCGTCGGATTCTTGTTTAATTTCACTTAGATCATTTAATACAGCTGGTTCAGACTTAAGTGGTCCAATTTCACCTAGATCAGGCAAATTTGTATCAGCCATAACCAGAGTTTATAAAGTCGTTAATATTAAAGCACGAAATTTAATTTAAACCGTTAATATTTGTGCTGTAAGAAAGAACATGTCTGGAAAAGATAAGCAGTTCAAAGGATACAAGTAAGAGGGAGCTTTTAGCTTTCATAGTTAATTTCTTAATTTTTAATATAGGTAGGTTAATGGATAAAGTGGTTTAAAAAATCAATTTTTGCACTTCCGATCAATTGGCTTTAGATGGAGTGCTGCAGATAATAGTTTCCATGCTGTAAACAAAAGCCTGTGTTTTTTTGGATATGCTTTTCAAGTATCGAGCTGTTGTGAACGTCTGGGGAGGGAAAAACTTCTCCCCTCTTTTGTTGAACGAATGATAAAATTTGAAAAGACCGCGAACCGCATTTCAAGGTTCAATCCACTGGTTATCCATAACCACTTTTAACCATTCAAAACCAAGAAGATGAAGTAAATAAAATATTTTGACCAACAGATGATTAGACTTTCATAGTTGACTTAAAATCTTAATTTTAATATAGGTAGGTTCTTACAATAATTTAGTAAATCATTTTTTTATTCCAGATCAACTGGCTTTAGATCATCTACTGTAAATTGTTTTTATTTTGCAAACAAAATCCTGTGTCCCCTTTTTGATATGCATTTATCAAGTTGTTCATCTGGTAGTTTTTTATCTCTGTGTGTTTTTATTCATTAACAGTGCCTTTTTATTCTTCTACTGAGTGGTTGCTGTAAACTAGGGCCAAATTGCCTATTTTGAGTCATCTTTTTCTTTTGCCAGCAACGTGAATAAACTGTGCTTTCCCTTACGACTTCTACCATGACTGAGGAAGATGATTTGCGGTCTAAACTCGACCAGACTGCCAATACTTTGGCTGATAAAGTTCAAATACTGGATGCGAGGTCTAAGTTTGTTAGATTACACCGTGAACGTCAAACCAATATTGGTAAACATTGCATTTTTTGCTTATTTTTTATGACAATCCTTTACAGGCATGATGGTTTAACCTTTTCTTCATGTTTACTTTTAACAATAGAAACTGCCAAAGCCGTTCTTGGTAATTGTCCTGATATGTGTCCAGAATTTGAGAGATATTTTCGTGAAGAAAATAAACAATTATCTTCTCTGGAAATGCTCAATAATGAACCTGATCCTCATGCTATGGTTAAAGAATATCGTAGAGCTGGAGCGGATCAAGAAGAACCTTTGCCTTGTGAACTAAGATCACCCGAAGTCCTGATTAGGACAATGGACTATCTCATTTGTAACATAGTTGATCGTGTTGAACAAGAGCCGGGTATAGTTGGTGATTGGTATGATTTTGTATGGAGTCGGAGTCGTGCAATTCGTAAAGATATAACTCAGCAACATCTTTGTGACTCTACTAGTGTTTTACTTTTGGAAAAATGTGCCCGATTTCACATTCACTGTGAGCATGCATTGATTGAGGAGGATGCTTCTGTATTTGATTCAAAGATAAACAATGAAAATCTTGTAAAATGTCTTCAATCTTTAAAAGATTTTTACAATGATCTCAACTTGAAAGGAACTCAATCCCCGAATGAATCGGAATTCCGTGGTTATTATTTACTCTTGAATCTTGCTCGACCTGATATTCTACGTGAAGTTAAACTTTTCCATTCTCATGTGCGAAACTCTGAGCCAGTTCAATTTGCTCTCAAATGTCACTATGCTATGACTACAAATAACTATATCAAATTTTTCGATCTTGTTGACAGTACAACTTATCTCAATGCTTGCATACTTCATAGATACTTTTACGATATCAGACTACAAGCTTTCAAGATTATGAGGAAAGCCTACACTATATCAAACCAAATTGAACCTTATCCAATCTCTGGGCTTATAAATCAATTAGGATTCGAGAATGAAGATGAAGTTATAAGTTTTTGCGAAAGCATCGAATTAGAATACGACAATGACTCTGTGTTACTCAAAAGAGGTAAAACTAATGACGGAAGAGCTAGCATACAAGCTGTGCGATCAAGAAGGTTAATCGAACGAAAACGTGTTGATCAACAACTAAGTGAACTAATCAACGGTGGACCATTGCCAGAGAATCCATACAAAAAGTTTCCGCTCCACAATAGTTTTGATTCAAATGGACGTCTTAAGAAAGATTCTTTCATTGGTGCTGATAGAAGAAATAGATTATCAATTGAGCGTTCACAGACATCACCAGTTCATCAAGCTCAACAACCACCTCCTCCTCCATACCAACCGCCACAACCACAGCAGTCTCATCAAGAACTAATTTCTTTAGAAGTGGAACAAAGAGCCGGGCTTCAGGTAGCTCAAGTCATCTTAAACGAATTTGTTACTGACTCAGTTCGTTTTACTGCCAGCAAAATAAGGACACATATTAAAAGACAAATATTTACATATCGAGAAGCTGAACGGATCGCAAATAGTCTTATCAATTATTATGTTAACGAAACAATCAAGATGACATTCAATTCTATTCTCTATCAAATGAGAGCAGCTGAAAATAAAGCAAGAGAAATTCTTGAAACTCTACATAAAGTATCTGGTTTAATATGCAATTCTTTATTGAATCATCATATTTATGTGACAATAAGGAATACTGCAGAATCTATTTTGAATTCTTCGATTGCAGATCATAACGTGAGGAAATGCCGATTTCTCGGAAGTGCTATTTTGAATGAAGTAATTTCCGAGGAGACTGAGCTCATTGTCAAGAGATGCTTCGATGAGTTAAAAACTCAAGAAGAGCTTATCAAATATATGCGATGTAAACGATCTTGGAGATTAGCTGGACAGTCTTTCTGGCATTGGCGACAAATGTGTCTCAAAATTAAGCGATATCGTCGAATAAAATCAACATTCCCAGCTTCTAGTATCGAATATTCCCCTAGAATTGAACCAATGTATTTGAAGAGAAAAATTCTATCACCTGTGGTACTCGAATCATCGAAAGATCAGATTCCACAAAAACTGAAAAAAGAAATAGACTGTGATACAATTCGAAGTGAACCAATGTTAAAGATACTCAAGCCTAAAATTTTTGCAGAACAAGTTAATAATTTGAGCGGTATTCTCGATCCTGTTTGTACTGTCGAAGACCTCTCACCAATTGAAAAATTGCATCGTAAGCTCGACGAAGAAAAAAAATTTGGTCAAACTTTGAGGCGAAGCATAGAAACCTTCAGATACACTCTTAATTTTGATGACGATGGAATAGCAAATGATGAAAGTGATTTAAAGCACTAAATTTTTCTTAATCTATTGCATTTGTACAATTTTCTTATTCCTCTCAATCCTGAAAAATATGACAAATTTTGTGATTTTTCTTGACAAAACAATCTGTTATTTTGCTATGGTGTAAATAAATTAATGGCAAACATTTCAGATTAACATGTTTCTTAATTGAAAATAACAAAAGGTAATGGCTTTAGCTAATTCAATTGTGTATAAAAGGTAAAATACAAGTACAATCAACTAATCAAGATTGTTTGAAAATAAATTTAATAATTCAATTCTACATTTCTTTCAAGTTAATTTTAACTCTAGTTTATCTTATTAATTACATTCAATAATTTTATCCCTTCCATGATGTACTCAACTCTCAAATATTTCATAGTAACGATTTTCTCAAATCAAACTGATTACATTGTAAATACAGCAATTTAGTGATGGTTCCAATCATTGGATTCATAATAATTTGCGCTTTTTAAGCAATTAGGCTATTGTGATCAAAGAGTAAACTCGATCGTGCCCTTGATTTAATGAAAAAAGCTACTAGTAAATCAGTTGGTCTTTACGCTTTCTCAAATTTAATTGGCTGTGATGGAGCTCGTATATGTTTTAACGGAAGAAGCCTTATGGTCCTCAACGGAAAAGTTGTTTCTAAAACAACAACCACCGATACATTTTTGCGAGATGTCGATTTTGCAATCTACAAATTGGACCCTTTAGATATAATTAATTATCGCCAACAATTCAAAGTTCGGAGCCTTTCACATAGAAACGTAGGATCTCGATTAAACTATTACGCAAATCAAAGTAAACTGAGTGAACCAGAGTCAGGATTAGTTGATTACCCAAAGGATCTAACCATTTCTATTTTCAATTTCAATTTATTTCAAAGTCCTTTATCTTCAAATATACCTTGCCAACTTGAATCAATCGCACCTGAACAAGAAATCATTATGTATGGATCTCTTTGGCTCTGAAATTACTTGCGCCGTTGTCATTCATGGTGCAAAGGTTTCATTGTGCCTTTGAGTGGAGGACTGGATTCAGCTTCCGTTGCCTGCTTGGTTTACTGTATGAGCTCTTTTATTTATAAGCATGCTAAAAACCTGCATGCTGGATATTTGACAAAGTATGATTGCTCTTCGGATGATCTTAATCCAATTGGAAGTCTTAGTAAACGTGATCTTTGTAGATTCTTATCCTACATAAAAAATAAAATTTTAACAGAAGACAAAGAAGTTTTGGACTGATTACATTGTAAATACAGCAATTTAGTGAGGTTCCAATCATTGGATTCATAATAGTTTGCGCCTTTTAAGCAATTAGGTTATTGTGATCAAAGAGTAATAGCTCTTATTAATATATCAGAGTTAAACTCTTTGATTGTGATGAAGCTATGATTCAGCTTCCACTACAGTATGCAGTTTGTAGCTCCTCCTTGGCGCGTCTTTTCCCTTCTTCATTTTCAAAACAGCCGGTCTTGAACTTACCGCGTTTTACTTATGTTTATTGACTGATGTTAGTGTTTGTTTATTTGTTGGAAAGATTGTAAATTTCGTTAATTATTTATTTTTGCTTATTCTGTTGTGATTATGACCAGTGAAGATCGAGATTACAAAGTTATCACATTGCCAAGGGCATGTTTGGGCAAAAAGTTGAAAAGCTTTAAATTTGGAAAAGATGGATCTTATCTGTTCGATGCTGAATACTCCAATGTTTACGAAGTTGTTGAGTATAAGGAACAAAATAGGTGAGTGCCTTTAAGCCTTTCTGAAGTAGCTAAAAAAATACTCATTTTGATTAATTTTCATTATTTTTGTTTCTTTTAGATCATGGTTCATGGGAGATATCGTTATCAAAGATGGATCTCTTCTAATGATAACAAGAGTTGATCCATTATTTTTAATTTTACCCTGCCTAATAGAAAACAAGCAAGTCTTCGCGACTCTTCAGGGTATCACTGAAGAGAACACAGGTGCTAGTACCTTGATAAAAGCCTTGATTCCTAACGAAAGAGAAATAATGTCTTCAGTTGCTGAAACAAAGGATTTTGAAGATGAAATATATTACCGTTTGGACGAAAAAAAGCTAATGATCTGGTTAAAAGCTAAAGTTAAAAATGTTGTCAAGTGTCTTAAAGCGATTGGAGTAGACGTAAGCCAAAAATCTAACAAAGTAAATAAATTTGTTTCCGGACGTCAAGAGGAAACCAACGAAAAGGACTACATTATATACGCTTTAAATCTATTAGCCAAATATTTGCATGATGACCACCTGAAAGCTTTACAAGAAACTTATAATGTAAAAATTAACGCTGAACCTGAACCTGAATCAAAAGCGACTCCTAAAGGAACGAAACGGTCTTTTAATGAAACTAAAACCGAAAAATGTGAACCAATCGAAAATTACTATTCAACTGAAACTCATACCAATGGTGAAAGTAAAAAGGTCAAAATGAGCAGATCTCAGAAAGAGCTGCAGCAAGCAGCTAATAAATCAGGAGTCCGGAAAATAAGTCAATTTTTCAAAAAGAAATAGTTCTTGGCTTGCAAAGCAAAATTGTCATTTATGCTATTTTTGTATTTACCTTTGTGATTAAGAATCGTGCGTCTATTATTTCCTATTTTTACTAATATATTAATGCAATTCTCATTTATCAGAAACTTGTAAAGTATTATCTTTACTGCCGCTTACTTCCATAGGCGTCTGAATTGATTAAACTTTGTGATTTACTAAATTAAACTTGAATGGCTCGTTAATTTCAAATCAATAATTTGTAAAAGCCTTAAATAATGTATAAAATAAAAATTTAATAACATTTTAATGAATTCAATAGAGCTCTAAGTTGAAAGATGCGCTTAAAGTACTGCCAACGTCATCTATTAATGCCGAAAAGATTTAATATTTTTTGTTTTGAAATATCTTGTTTGAATATTTAATTTCTCACACTTTTTGGAGTTTTTCAAAATTTGAACTAATCATGTCTGACATCTCACGGAATTGCCCTTACCTTGACACAATTAATCGACATTTATTAGATTTTGATTTTGAAAAATTATGTTCTATAAGTTTATCCAAAATTAACGTTTATGCCTGCCTTGTTTGTGGTAAATATTTTCAAGGCAGAGGAATTGGAACTCATGCTTATGTCCATTCAGTGGCAACTGATCATCATGTTTATCTTAATTTAGAAACCCTCAAGTTTTATTGTTTACCTGATAATTACGAAATCAAAGATTCTGCTTTAGGTAAGTTTTGTATTTTTGCTTTAGTTAATGTTGCTTAGTATCTGATGTGTCTTATAACTCAATTTCATTTTTTTTGTTTTACAGATGATATCACATATGTTTTGATGCCCACTTTTAGCTCTAAAGAAATTGAGGAAATCGATAAAAGTTCAAAGTTCTGTAGAGCTTTTGATGGAAGAACTTATCTGCCTGGCATTGTTGGTCTAAATAATATCAAACACAATGACTATTGCAATGTTATCTTGCAAGCTTTATCTCATGTTCCTCCTTTACGGAATTACTTTTTGAGAGAATGCAATTATGAAAAACTGGCTGCAAAACGACCCTCTGGTGATAATTTGTTTCTTCTTGTCCAACGTTTTGGTGAGTTGATGAGGAAACTATGGAATCCGCGGAACTTTAAAGCTCATGTTTCACCTCATGAAATGCTACAAGCTGTTGTTTTATCTTCTCAGAAGAAATTTCAGATTACTGAGCAAGGTGATCCGGTTGAATTCATGTCATGGTTTCTTAATTCTCTCCATATTGCTTTGGGAGGCAAACAAAAAACTAATTCTAGTATAATTTATAAAACATTTCGTGGCTCAATGAAAGTTTATTCTAGAAAAATAATTCCATTGGACAAGTCTATCGATGAACGCTTACAATTGATGCTACAAGATGAATACAAAGAAGTATGTGCTGATTCAAATTTTCTTTATTTAACTTTGGATTTACCACCTCAACCATTATTCAAAGATGAACTTCGAGAGAACATAATTCCTCAAATTCCACTGTTTAATTTACTTGCAAAGTTTAATGGAGTCACAGAAACGGAAAATAAAACATACAAGGAATCCTTCATGAGAAGATTTGAAATCACACAACTCCCGAAATATCTGATTCTCTACATGAAAAGATTTACAAAAAATACCTTTTATATCGAAAAAAATCCAACCATTGTTAATTTCCCAATCAAGGATGTTGATTTAACCGAACTTTTATCTCCAGCCAAAAGAACTGACAATATTAGGTGTCATTATGATTTAATTGCAAATATTGTACACGAAGGTGAACCAGACCCTGGAAAAGGAGCTTATCGTATTCACGTACTTCACAGGGGCTCAGGAAAATGGTTTGAGATGCAGGATCTTCATGTTACTGAAATTTTACCTCAAATGATAACCCTTTCTGAGTCATATATTCAAATATGGGAAAAAGTATTGGATGGACCAGAAATGGAAGGACAAAGTTCGTGATTGGTTTTATTCAGAAATTTGAAACAGATCGACTTGATGGATCTGACTGATCGATATAAACCGATTTTGTGATTTAGACGTAACTGGACGCTTTATCAACTGTAAGGTTTACAAACAGATTAAGGATCAATTAAAAACATTGCTGTATTTTGGTTGAAACTTGAAATTGAAAAAACTGTGTCAATTATTGATGCATGAAAAAAACCGCTGAATCAATCCAAACGTTTATTTGCAAAGAGCTGAAAATAAGATGAGGTTATCTTTCAATTGCAAACTTTCACTTAATAATCTAAGAATCTTAAGTTTAATCACCTCATAATTATGTTAACTTTAAGTATTTTGGCTAAAATACTCGTAATTATGGATGAATAGTCTGAATTTTGTCCAAAACGAAAGTCATAATTAAATATTTATTGCATAAAAATTAATAAACCAATTATCAAAAGCATTTGTGATTGTCAATTCATGATTATCGGTTTGTCATCAATTCACGTATGGAATAATTCAAGAATACTAAGATCAGAGTCTAACTTGAGAACTATTCAAATCCTATCGATTGTGTTGCTAAAAAATCACCATTTCCAATTCTTCAGCCACAAATTAAAATTTGCTTTAATTTCATAGTTTCTTTGTCAACTTTTTCAGCTATTGACGAAGCAAAGTAAATGTTCATTCTTTTGATGATTTGTCTTTCGGTAGAAGCGCATAATATCCCCAAGCTGCGTAAGGTTTGATTCCAGCCGTTTTGTTTGGTCCTCTGTAAACTTTGATACTGACTCTACCCAATGACTTGGTTGAACACTGATGATTAAACAAACACAACACAATTATTAAAACATACATTGCATTGTAATTCATTTTTATTGTTTAACTTCGGGTAATACTTCAAACACAGTCAAATTCAATATTGACTTTGGTGACTTCAATAAACTTTTCACTTGAATGTTAAATAATCAATTGACAAATCGCTACTAAACTTGACTACAATTTAAAGAGATTTTGCTATCCGCTTGAATTGAGCCAACTATCCTTTCAATTTTGGCATCAAAGTTTGGCAAATTTAAGACGATCACAATCAACGATCATCAAAATGCAGCAGAATAATTATCTTCAAGTAGGAAATAAGTTTTCTAAATTTAAAAAAAAATCAACAAATAATCGGAAATTTCAAAGTTTTGCCAGAAATTGCAAATTAAACAAAACCAGTTGTAAATTGAGTGCTAAACCTAAAGATGTGTGGTTAATTTAACTCAACTTTTTAGTGACCAAGTGTTATGAAATTATATTCATTGATTGCAAAGTGTGTTTCAATTAAACAATATTCTGGCGAAATCAAAAAAATTATTTCGCTAAACGCTATTTTTTATCAGGCAACCATAATTTGTGTCATCTGATTTGCATTATCTGATTTGTTAATCTTATGCTTTGACATTTATTTTAAAGATACACTGAAGATCAACTTTGAAATGGATTACTGAACATTTAAAAAGCTGTTGATTAGCTCAGTCGACTGAAATTTCTTGAGATGAAATCGAGAAATGATTAGATTATCAAAATCTAATGCATACTGAGCAATAAGAAATATAATAGCTAAATATACATCAATATTGTAAGAAGCAGGGTGTAACAATGTTAGCACGTGAGGGAATACGCCATGAAAGCGAAATTTTGATATTTTAATCATTAATCCAAAGATTAATTTGGATTAATTTACTAGCATATTACTGATTAAAATTATGCTACCAATAACATTTCCCTCTTGATACCAATGACAAATGTTCTAGAAGATGCAACAGATTATTACAACAATGTATCCATGCATTCGATAAATATTTTACGTGATTGCGTTTCTAATTCCTTGATGAAGTTTCCGCCTAAAAACCAGGCAAATATTAGTTTTATGATTTGATAAATCACATGATTGATAATTGTGTAACAAAACAAATAACAAGGGAGAAAGTAACCTTGAGAAATGTAATGTACATAAAGAGGAAAATTGCGGCTTGATAACTCATTGACGTTTATTCAACTGAATTATACAATTTGATTGGAAAAGTTAATTCCACTTTTACATTTTCTTTATTCTAAATATCTAAATAACAACAACGAAACAAAATGGTTGAAACAAAAAATGAAACCCCATTGAAGATCCTGATGACTGCTAGTAGAGGGTAAGTTGTATTTTTATATAAATGAACGTAACTAATCCATTAGGTTTTGTAAACTTGACGGACACGCAGTTTCTGGTTGACTTGGTTACATTTTTGGTTATGATTCTGGCCTCTATCATGGCGATTCGTTACAATTATTCCTTAAAGCCATAAACTAACTGTAAGAAATTTACTTGGGTAAATAGACATTTCTGCCTTTATGATGATTTTTAATTCTTGTCTTTGTTTCCTTTCAACTCGATAATTGACAGAGTTGGCCATGTTAATGCTAGCATGGGCATTGGTAAACTTTTGGCTCAAAAAGGACACGATGTGATGTTTATCCATTTCCCTGAGCATCAGGAACTTGTTGAAAGGCAAGGCGTCAAATTCATATCACTTTGGGATTACAAAGGTGCGAATGAGATTCCAACTGAGGGATTCCTACATGACTCAACAATGAAAGATACGTTTGACAGTTCAAAAAAATATACACCGCAAGATATAATGAGCAATCGTGGTGGCCGAGGTGGAAGAGGTGGCCGTGGACGAGGAGGAGGAGGCAAAGGAGGTATGCCTTCAATCAACGGAGAAAACGATGCTATTATTAACGCAATCAATTCAATAAAGCCAGATGCTGTTTTGGGTGATTATAGATGGCCTATGCCTTTTATGACGAGTAAGTTTCTCAATGAATTATTTTGATGACTATGATGCTAATGTAAAATCCTCATTTATTATTTCAGACTGTCCGGTTCCTTTTATTCCAATCATGTCTAATGCTCCACTTCAGTTGTATAATGGCCCACCCCTTGGCTCGGGCCTTTCTGTTTTTGACTCACCAGAGAAATGGGAGGAATATCGTTCATCAAACAAAGGTTTCGGTCCTCATGGATCATCTGATGGAAACCCATGGGGTTATGCTGAATATTTAGGAATATATATTTACCCAGAAGCTTTAGATTATAAAGAGTTGGGTCCACCAGCTAAAAATTGGGTTCGACTTGATTCATCCATTCGAAAACCAGATTCTGAAGATTTTGAAATTCCGGATAAATTGAAAGATAAACCTGGTAAATTGATTTACGTATCAATGGGAACAAATGCTTCTAATAATCCTCAACTGATAAAAATGTTGGTTGATGCTTGTGCATTAATCCCTCACCGATTTATTGTTGCTACTGGTAAAAACGGAGACTCTATACCATTACCTGATAATGTTTGGGGAGACAAATTTCTTAAGCAAGTAAATATTTTACCCAAAGTTGATTTGGTTGTTACTCATTGTGGATCTAATTCGTTGATCGAAAGCTTGTGCTTTGGTAAACCAATGGTCACTATACCTCAATTTGATGATCAATTGGATAATGGTCAACGAGTTGCTGATTTAAAACTTGGAAAAGTAATAAGTATGTGGCAATTCACTGAGGAAAAGTTTGCAAGCGCAATCGAGGAAGTTCTCAATAGTGCTGAGATTCATGAAAACGTTGAAAAAATATCTAAAGAAATGAGCCAATCTTCGGCTCCTGATAAAGTTGTTGAACTGATTGAATACGTGGCCAGGAATCGTAAATCACCATTTGAATGATCAATAATTCTTTAAACCAATTGTTCTCTTTGCTATTTTTCATCTTTTACAAGTTGAACGAAATTTAAATATGAAATGCTGTTATGAATACTAATCAAGATGAATAGAATAAAACAGAGAAAATTTAATAATTTTTTTTGATAACTCTACTGAATTGATGTAACCATTAAAAATTTCTCAATAAATAATTTTTACTGAACTTGGCGTCAAATTTCTCTTTGAGATAGAACTTTCTGCTTTTTCTTACGGAATAAATTTAAATACGAATGGATGAATGAATGTAAATTACAGTTCTAGCGATGAATTTTTATTAGATTTTAAAAATCTTTTAATAATGCAAATATTCAACATTTTGTGTTGATCAAACAGATTCATCTCCAACTTGTTGTAAAGTAAATTTACTTCTACCATTCGTCGAGAAAAAGCAGTGTCGGAGTTGAATTGATAACACACTGTACAATATAAATACAACTGAAAAATTATCAATTTATCAGTTTTACATAGTTTTACTCATCTCATCCTAGTTGATAAGCTTCAAGTTATGAATTAGTTCTAATGAAAATTAATCTTAAAGTAATTATGATCATTCGAGTGCAGATTTTTGATTACTTTCAGCAGCAATTCGGTTGTATATTTCTTCTTTTGCAGCTTTACCTTTGAGAATAGCTTGTTTGAAGAGGTCACAATAGAGATGTATTGCCGATGGAGTGTCATCATTACCAGGAACAGGATAAGTAACCAAACGTGGATCACTATTTGTGTCGCAGATAGCAATAGATGGGATAAACAACTTAGCACAATCTCTAACACCATCATGCTCAAGAAACACATTATTAAATGTGCTCAAAAAAATACAAAGATCCGGTAGCCTCATAACTTTACCGAAAAATACTTCAGAAGCGGTAAAAGTAGCTGATTGATAATGACGACAGTGAGCATATTCTCCACATTCTTTTGCTATTTTTTCGACATATTGTCCAGTCTGTACAAAAAAGTGAAAAAAACTCGTATGAAAATCTTATATTTACCTTGCATCAATGTCTTACCTCTTTGTGATTTGAAACAAACAAAATGACACCTCCTCTAAATGCTATATGAGCAGTAAAATTTAATGCATCTTTCAGACGAGCAACTGTTTGATTGAGGTCTATTATGCAAACTCCTAATCGTGAACCATATAGATAAGGAACCATATATTCATTTAAGGATCCTTCTTTATGTCCAAAATGCACTCGATTATCAAAAAGTTGTTTTAATGACACAAGCTGATGTACACCAAAATAATCTGGAACATCAAGAGGGTTAATTATCACTGGTTCATCACTAGAGCTAACTTTTTCTGGATCTTCGGCGATCTTCACACTTTGCGATCCAAGAGATGAAAAGCGAACTGCTTTTGATGACAAATTTGGAAGTTTAGCAAAGCAGTCTGTAAAAAAGTAAAGAAAGATAACCAAGTTAACATTTTGAACATCATAGAGTAAATATTATCTTACTATGCAAAGCCAGAGGACGCAAAAAAGAGAACATTATCCAATAAATTCCAACGAACAATTAAACTGGTCGATATTGATAAATTTGTGACATTAAGTAACACTAATTAATGATAAAAAAGCTGAAAATCTTTCAAAACATGCTTATACAACAATAATTTTAAAAATCACATGTTAATGTAGGCAATTTTATTTCTGTTTTGCTCGAGGGGTCATTACCTCATTAAAATCCATTTGTTAAATTCATCAATTTTTTAATTGCTTTTTTATTTAACCGAATTGAGATTTGTAATTTATGTTCTAGTGTTTAATTTTTTGACTATCAAACAATTTGAAAACCGATTTTTTCTCAAACGCGAAAATGTTTATACTATGATGTATTGAAAAAAGTTCCCCGTTAAAAAGATTATTGTGATGAAGGCGTTCAATTTTTTATTAAATTTTCAATTAAGATGACAAGAGATGAATTTAATAAACACTATCTCCTCATTATATGTTTTGTATGTTAAAGTTGATGAGAGATGAACAGAAAAAAAAGATTACAACAAAAATTCTGAAAACGATAATGCAAAAGTTAATGACAACGTTCACATTAATCTTCGCTCTTTGATTTTAATTAAATTGGTTCTTTATTTGCTGAAAAGTCCGTTATTTTGAGGAATCCAGCATAAATTTGAGGTTATATTTCATTGAGGACAACATTTAATTTTTCAATGAATTCTTGTGAGCTCTTCAACAATCTTGACTAAATCATCAACAACACAATCCCTTTTCATTCCACTTCCATCGTCGATCTAAAAGAAACAAATTGAAAATATAAGATGAATGAACATAATTAATAAATATGGATAATTCAATACATCAGATGCACAAATGTAATGAAAAGTCCGTATACTTACACTCAGTCCTAGGACAACTTCTGCCATTTTGTCTCGACTCAAATCAAGAAAACTCTCAATTAGATCTCCATCGATAAACCCAAATGCAAGTTCAGTTACTCTATCAGTATGGAAAGATCGCCATGCTGAGTGATCAATTTTTCCAACTGACTTGATAATTTTGGCTAGTTTTGTTTGGACTTCTAGAAGGAAGTCAAAGAATTCTTGAGGCAGCTGTGCAACCAACCCTAGAAAGTAATTCAAGTTAAAAATTAATTAGTTCATGATTGAAGTTCAATGAGAGTTTTTTAATTAATAGAGAGTATAATTTACTTACCAATTGCTCCAGAAACAGTTCCGAATAGAACAGAACCTTGGATAGGGGTGGTATTTTCTCCAGGATGCTGCATGACCAGAGACCCATGTCTAAAAACATTAACATACTCGCCGATGTGAATTTGTCCAACATTTTGCAACTGTAATCGCTCATCGTCAGTTGTAGCGGCACTGAAAATTAAAACATAAATTTTAGTGAAATGCCCAAATATACTGGATCGCTATAAATTAGAAACTTACCTATCTTTTTGACGAACAAATAGATTGAAGTTGTTTTCTGCTCCTAAGAAGGTGTCATCGTCAAGAATTTCTATAGCCGTCATCCAATTAGGCTCAAAATCTTTGGCAATCTCTTCGACGTTACCTTCCATTTGTTTATATACTAAAAGACTAATAGATCTCATCAAATCACCGACAAGAATAAAATCACCTTTGGTTTTCAGGTATAAGGCGAGTATAGTATTGAAATAATTACACTCATTGTGTAAATCTTTTTGGGCACCATCAAACAAGCGAACAGTACTATTAATACTAGCCAACAGTTTACCGTTGAATTCGCACAAAGAATATGGTGCACCTTTAATTTCTTTTTCTGCGATAATTTGTAATTTATTATCAGCCCAATGGAAAACAAATATTCTACCCAATTTAGGTTCTGGTTCTTCGGGATGAACAAAACAAGTACCAACAATATAGTAAGCATTTGGATCATCTCCCAGTCGAGCAGAAACAATACTAAGCGCACATTCGGCAGGAGTAAATTGAAAGGCATGAAGAACTTCAAAGGTGTGTTGATCAATGATAAGAAGACTGAAGACTTCGATTTCGTGACCAAGTTGATCACCTGCATTGCTTGATAAACTGCTGCCTGGCTTTATAGCCGAGGCCATATTAGGTGCATGGGAAGTGTTTTGAGCTGTTGTACTTGCGCTTTGACGAGCAGGGACATAGCCTTCAATATCTTGTATATCATGTCGCATAGTTATGACACCAAAAGTTTGAGTTTGCTCCTGATATGCGATTCTTCTGGGTGACTCACCAAGATTAATAGTTCGAATATGAAGCTTTTGAATCTCATCAATTGTACCAATGATGAGACTATTGTCATTGGCAAGAGCTAAACTATCAGGATATGCTGTTGAATTTAAGGGACACATATAATTGACTTCTTTAAGGTTAACATTAGAAAAAACAAGTTTGTGATTAGCGCTATAAATAACAGTTGGTCGATCAGAGCAAGCGAATACGTTGACAGTAACATTGGATCGGAAAGTTTGAAGAACAGTGGGTTGGGTTCCAAGAGTAACCTTTTTCTTATCGGTAACGTAACAAAGATTCTGTTCAGGTCGAATTTGGAGGGTGAAATAAAACAATGAACCATCACCAAGAGCACAAAGAAGGTACTTGGTTCCTTCAAATGTCACAGCGATTATCGAACGTGGTATAATCTCTCCACCGAGCATTTCTTTGTGTAGTTCTTCAAGCTTTGGAAGTTGAAGTATACGGATAGAAATGTCATTCCATAAACCAACGCAACAGTACTCGGTAGAATCAGAATCTTCATTTAAAGGACTAATGTCGATACAAGCAATCTCGTGCTCTAAGGTAGTGTCACTGATCTGAACTAAAGAACCTTCCTTGATTTGTATGTAAAAAAGTTTATTTCTCACTGCACAGACAATTTGAGTTGCATTGCATGATACAACTGAAATCGTTTGTCCTGATGGGGGACTCCATGAGTTGAGTGATTTTTTAGTTTCTGCATTCACGAGAACAATTGAATTTGGTGTTACTTGAATAACTTGATGAAAAGAAACATTTTGACACGCTAAAGTTTGTTGAGTATTGTCAAAACCATATATCTCGGTTTCTTCAACTTCCTCTCCATTCAAAAGTAGAGTACGAGTTTGACCAACGAATGATAAGACCAAAACGTTGTCATATTTACTGTCAGCAGATCCGATTTTGAGGGGCCAGATACCTTTGATACCAGGTAGATCTATAGAAGCATGCTCTTGGATTCCGATACCGTTACGAATAATTCGTAAAGTTCCTTCCTTAAAAGCTCCTGAACAAGTCACTAATTGACCTTGACCCTGACGCTCTAAGTCAACAACGCACATATCTACAATTGGTCCAAGGTTAGTGAAACTTTCCATAATTTCGAGATAGGATCCTTGCTCGTTAGGTTCCAGTATTAATTTTACAAGCTGTGAATCTCCTAAACGAGATCCAACGTAGACAACTCCATTATCAAGATACGTAAGACATTCAGGTATGGTACATTCCCCTAAGGTTTCGAGCTTTAAACTTTTAACATTTGCTCCTCCATCAGGTTTATCTTCTTTTTCAAGGTAAAGGAGGAATAGTCTTCCTGACATATCACCAAGAAGATAACGAGACCCATTGCTATCAATTAAACCATAACAAACAACCGTGCTGTGGCGTAAAGCTGGGGGTGCGATTGCAACATATGCATCGCCATTAAGATAGGTAATAGATTCTTGGCCAATAACTAAAGCACCGCCAAAGGGTTTAGGCACTGCAATTAAAATGGATGCTTCACTTTCAACATTATCTTGCTTCCAGGGGCCTTTGATGAATTCTTTATCTTTGAGTGAAATTTCTAATGTTTTGACATGTCGAGCTGTATTTTCTTGTGAAATGTATGCCAGTGTTGGAGCAGAGCACCCATGAAGAAATTGAATGTCTTGAATCAAAATATCTTCCATTCGAATATTAAAGGCTTTCATTTCTCCTTTGTCTAAATCTATTGAATAAAAGACAAGGTTTAGATAAAAGAAGATTGGTGTAAGGGGAAAATCTATTCGAAAATATAGTGTTAATAACTTGCCTAAAGGTATTATTTTGAATAATCCATCGTAAATTCTAAGGCCAATTAATCGACATTCAGGGTCAATTATTCCAATCGAACCTGTTTCAGATGGACGGTTTACAGTGTCAGCAACATCACCATGGGCTTTCGTAATAATATCAAAATTGTCACCATCTCTGACACACTCAAGAATGCAAATGTGATTACGAAATGTGAGAATAAAAAGCCTATCTTGAACCTCCCCTTTAGGTCGATATAATTTCATAATTGTAATTCTGCCGTAAACATTTACTTCCTTAACCGGTCGAAGACCTTCTGGGGTAACCAAATATATCTCGAAACGAGTAGTTTTGGCTACAATTAGATTGAGATCTGTGGGTGATGTGAAGTTGCCTAAAAAGAAAAATGAAAAGACCATAAATGAATACAATATTTTACCTTATCATGATCTTATATTGGGGTATTAAAATTTATCGATAGCTAGTAATCTGAATTCCAAGAACCATGCTGTCAATACCAATAAAGCTACTAAACGAGGTAAACCTGTTTAAAACACACGATAAAAAACACTTACCGGTACAACATGCTGATACTGTAGATGATTTATGAGCAGTTACCACGTAATTGTGTGACATTTTTGGTCACTGTTAGATTCAGACGATAAAATCAATAAGAAAACAAATTAAGAAAAAGATATGATACCAGGAGAGAAGACAACAGAGAAGATGAAATGTTACCTGGATTCACTAGGAACAAATTGAAATGATATGATTTTATGTTTTTACACAATATCCCGCCAATGTTAATAACAGTAGATGGCAGCATGTATGCCGCTTCCGATTTTTTTAAATTTTGTTTAAAATTTATTGGTTCTTTTAAATTTTGATTCAATTCAGTTTAATTAATATCGACCAGTTTTATTTTAATGATGATTTAACAGTTTTCAATTCTCTAAAATTGTAAGCATCAAATTATTTCATCACAAGTTTGAATCTTTCATCTCTTTTGTGTTTAAAACCAGAAGATGAAGCTGTTCGAGAATTGTTTAGCCCAAAGAGTTTGGGTTAGCTCCTCTTTAGCTCCAATAAAACGATTAAATTTATTAAAATTGTCAATCCAATCATTCACGGACAATCCGTAACAAAAAACTTCTATTTCTCAGCGGATAACTACTCAAACAACTGATGTCTACTTGTGAATCGTATGTAACTTGGAATTCAAATTTACCAGATTGTGATAATTTTCAATTGATTTCAGCTCGTTTTTTCAATCATAAATTCAAAGAAATCCATATTTTGAAAATAATTTAACCCGAATTACCCAATAATCAAACAAGATCTGGAAGATAGTGATTTGTTAATATGGAGTTTAGTAACGGTTGTTTACCGGTATATTTGCTGATTGTGAAACAATATCCATCACTGTAATTATTTTTACTCAAGTTTACTTCTTTAAACATAATGTTATACAATAACCGAATAATGATTTACTTTTGATTATCCTTTATTATTATAGAGATCATGAAAATGAAACCTACTTTGTCATTAATATTAGATCAAATTACCGATGTTTAAGCTTTCACCTAGGATCTTGGAGCTGATAACTAAAGGTGAAATTATCTGAGATCTTCAAATAGGCAAACAATAATCTACTCATCAGTTTAACTGGTTTTATTCTGAATTATATTATAATAACATAAATATAATTGCTAATAATATTTATAACATTGAAGGCAATCTATCTAGATTGGGTTCCTTTTTATAAGATTTAATACAATCTCTATTGATAAGTTTAATTTAATTTTATAATGATGGCTGACCATGAATGAATTGTGGAAAGCAAAAAAAGTTAATTTGACAAGTTAAATTTTCTCATCATAATAATAGTTATAATTAAGGAGGTAAAGTGAAGTCAATAAATGTAACATGCAACTTAGAATGAACATCATAGGAACGCATTTGATGAACTGATCATTATATGTAAAATTATAATGGTCAGAATTAGTTGTAAATAGAATTGATTGTTTGTTGAATGATTGGTTGAAGTGGGCGAAATAGAGGAACAAAAATGTTTCAAACAATTATTTAAGAAAAATTGAAGTTTAGCCAGCTTTGCTAACTTTTCATGCTCCTTTTAGGCTTGTTAACTAGAAGGGCAAGTGATGAGAGAGTTCCTTGGGCTTTGCTCAGTTCCCACAATTTAATTGGTATTTTTGGGAAGTCAATTCTTTTCTCGATTAGCTCACAGCTATTTGGAAATTCTGACCGATACAAAAGAGTTCCATTAACAAAGGTAACATTGGCAGCTCCATTGTCAGGAACTGTTAGAGTTGCATATCTGAAAGTTGCTTCGCGCTCCATTAGCTGTTGGAAAACACAAGATTTAAGAAAAATTATTATCAAATGATTGAATTTTATAAATGCTAATGAAATTATTACAACTAACTTTAAGTATTTCACGAGCCTCTGGAGTTGAACTTATACACAAAATGTCTGGTCCTGCCATTGACATACATGACTTGAGGTGAACAAGTTTATTTGGAACTCGAATTGGGGTAACTGGATATTCAGGAAATGCAGCAGCTAAAGCTCGGGCACCAGCCTCATTGGTTCGACCAGATATTCCAACAAAAAATTCTTTGCCAGTGAAAAGTACATCGCCTCCATCTAAAGTTGCCTTGGGATCAGCAATTTGAATCACTGGTAAATCAAGCTCTTTTTTAATTATCGCTTTGATTGTATCGGTCTGTAAACGGAAAGAGAAAAAAAAGAACAAGAAAAAGAAAGATAAATAATCAATTGACTGAAATTGATAAAGAAAATAAACCGATGTGTTGTTAACTATTTTTCTGAGTCAACCATTATCGTTTGTAATGACAAGTGTTTTGCATAAGATAAGTATAAGGTTTAGGAATTAATTACTCTACCTTTAACCTACTTAAAAAAATCAGTTTATACAACAGAGAATGATTTGGTTGAAGTAATGATGCTATACAATTAGCTTATTTAAAGTTACTACTTTTGATGAGCATTGTATTACAACTAATTGCTAATTGATCAGGAAATTGCTAACTAATTGCTAAAAAATTAAAAACATAAAAGTAAGGGAAAAGCAGGACAAAATATGAAATTAGTTTACCTCTCTAGCTCTAGCTGGATGACCAGGTCTACAAATCAGAGCAATACCATTATAAACAGCTGCTGTATCTTCAATATAAGGTGAATCTGGGAGACTTTCGTCCGCCGGAAGTTCAATCACATCAACTCCAAGACTCCGTAAGATTTTAGTTAAGTCAAGATGTTCACGACGAGCTTCAGCCAAATTAACACTCTCAGAAAGTCCAATTGCAGAGGAAAATGAATCAGGAATTCTGGAAACTAGAGCATAATTGTAGCGACCAAATGTTTTTGACATTTTGTTTATCACCAAAAATAAAAGTAAAAAAAGCTAAAAAGAAAAACCAAAATACAGAAAACCAAATGTTTACAGTTTGATTACTAGTTACCAAGTAACCAGTTTTTCCTCATCGATAAAAACCAGTAACCAACCCAAATTGATATAAAAACGAAGCTAACATCATCTACCGGTCAATATTAACTAATAGTCTTGATAAGCTTCATAAGGCTTAAAGTTGGGTCATAAAACCCTAATGATCATCAATATTTACAAAGGTAAATGTGTAACAATTGAAGCCATATTGAACCACATATAACAATAAATTAGTTAAATATGAGAGATCATCAAAGTCAACTTTTCCCTCAATCTTGTCTACTTTTATTGATTTAGGATAAAGCCAACTATCATTCTTGTGTCAAATAAAAGAGGATTCAGTTTAGATTCATCTTTCAAACTTATTACCGAATTTTTATATAAATTTCAGATTGTTCCTTGAAAACTGAAACGAAATCTGTTTGGATTTAATTATTGATAGAGATTTTACATGAATTACTTCTTTATCGTGATAATCATGGAGAAAGATGCTCGAAACTGAATCTTGATTCAGCAAAAGATGAAAAGACCAGAAATGAATCCTTCGCTTTTTACCCAGTTTTTGAACAGCTCTATCCATTGTATCTTTGTTTCCTCGAGAAATATCTTTATGAATCTTTTGGTAATCTTCATGATTCAAGAAAATTTGGCATAAAGTGGAATCTACTAAAAGACCAAATGAAGAGTTTAATTACCATTTTACTTTGGATATACATCAGCAAATCAGAGCTGATTCTGTAAATATGGTAAATCTGGAATTATTATTTTACCACCGCTAACTCTTTGGGTTAAACTTCATTTTTTGACTATTGAACAGCTTTCTCAGTTCATCTGCATCGCTTGTACTCTCCAAGTTTTAAAATTTTCATAGTCGTTAGTTAGATCGATTAACAATGTTTTAGGTTAAATCAATAAAATCAATTGGTATACCATGCTAGAGTTATAACGAGCCAAAATCAAGCTGGAAACAGCAAATATCAATAAAGCATAAGTTTCATTCATTTATTTTTTTTATGCATTTATTTTTATCGTTTATCATAGCCCGACTTTATTTTGTTCATTAAACTTTACTAGTTCAACAAAAACTTCAGAACAGTTCCTTACAGTAGTGTTTCAATGTAACTGTTTTATACGATGTATCATTAAAATACTAGTTGAGCTAGCAGTCTCAACTCAACAACATGTATTGCAATGTATTATTTATTTACTCTTAGTTACTGTATTCATCTAGGATTTTCACCAATATGGATTGACTTCAATCAAAGGTCAAAAAAGTGTGCGTAAAACAAACGAAAATTACAGGCCATTATAACATTAGGCCCTTAAAGATGTGAAAAATCTATCAGTATAAAATCAGCAATTAAACTGAATTAATTTAGCAATTTTTTGAATTGCGCGAACTTGAGCATGTGCAGTGCTGGGTCTCTTTCCATTGCTTGTTGTTATGTCAAAGCCCCGAGATTTAATCACTAGTTAATAATAAAACCGTCAATCAGAAATGAAACACTATTATGCTTCCATTCTAGTCTACTTTTTGGTGCAATCAATATAATACTGTTTAAAGATAATGTCTATTGAAATTTTAGATGATTCCTGTTTATTCAGAATATTTCGTGAAATCAATGATAAACAAACTTTGCTTGTCTGCTCACTAGGTAAGTTAAAAATTTATAAAAACTTAAACAGCTGTTGATTGTGATTTCATGTTTTGTATGTCTTATAGTTAATCGAAGATGGTACTCATTAATTTTTCCTAGCTCATTACGGACGAAGAGATTTGGTTATCAAAAAAAGATTGAAACTGAAAGGAAAGGATTGAAGCTTATACACGATGGTGAAATCGTCATTGTCAGTAGTATTAAAATCGAGTCTGACTTTTTTCCTCAACATGGCAGAAAGATCAAACAACTTTGCATTTCAGATTGTACCTTAGACGATTTTAAAAGATTTGTGAGATATCTTCCACGATTAGAACGATTACATATGTCAAGCAGCTCTAGTAAGTTATTCGATTAACATTTTACCTTTTTTGTGCCCATCTTTTTAATCCATTGATTCATACAGGTTCAAAGCCAAGTCAACGTTATGATGGACCTAAACTCGAAAGGCTAGAAATACTTGAAATAAGTACAGAGTCATCTGTGAGGTGTGAACCATACAGGGGGTTAAGTTTGATGGATCGATGTCCACACCTGAAAAGTGCGTTTCATTGTATCAATGGGAGTGACTTTTTTGTTGACACACAAGTGAAAAATTATCATTTAGAGGATTTGGTCATTGAAAATGTAAGCATTTATATCAAAAATACAATCGTAAATAGTTCAAACCTTAGATCTATTATAATATAGAAAATATTTTAAAACTCAAATTACCTTTTTTACAGATGTATAGCTCTGGAACTGTTAATTGGCAAACTTTGAAAAGGATTTTACGAAAATGTCCTAATTTAAAGCACCTGGCTATAAGGCATTCGTGCGACACTGATATTGAAGATGAAAATATACCAGAAATGCTTGAATTATTACCGAAAGTCGTTCTTATTGATTTACGAGTGTCTCCTGGTATTACTGACATATCTGCTGATTATGTAAAGGAATATTGTAAAACTCATAATCGTTCAATATCATTTTATTATACAAATGAACACGAACACGGCATAAAAGCTGATTGGCCTCAATTATTAGATAACATTGGTAGGCGCTGCTTTGGTTTCAGTTTCATGAGGAATTGTTTTCTGAAACCATTCGACGAATTACCTGCATATATGGACCCAACCTTCTTATTGCCTTTACTCAGAGACAATGTCCGCATTAATAAAAAAACCGTGCCTGTAGAACCTGATGTTGATGAAGAGGATTTAGAATTAGGTGGCTTATTCGACTAAGCGGCACTTTTAAAAATTTAATTATGTTATCATACAACATTTTATGAAACAATAATTAAACTTTCGAATTTTGAAATTTACTCTTGAAACTTATAAACTATTTATTTGTTTAATCAAATCTATATATTTAAATGAATTTTTGTATTCTTCCTAATGATGCTTTATATTAAAAAATTATTATTTTTCCATCAAATGACATCTTTTTTAATGAGTCTCAAAGCTGATCAATACGTTAATCGAATCTCTAGCTTTTCTTGATTTTTGGACGGATGAAATTGATTCCTCTAGTGATTAAAAGCTTTCACTGTTTTATCAACTACTGGTTAGGACCTATGGAATCCGTCTAGGATTGAAAGCTATTAATCTTCGACAAACTATTAATAACAACGTTGACATTTATTTTAGTCACAAATTTAACAGTTAATTAAAGACACGATTAACACAATCAGTAAATTTATACAGAAATTGACACGAATGGGCGAAAAACGGGTAAAAATTAATTTCTAAATTAAGACTCTGTTGTCTTGTATAGAAATAAGAATTGAAGCGATTTGCGCGATTTAAAGTTATCTCCGATGAAAAGTTTTGGAGAAAATTGAGGTAAGAGTTGAAACTTCGATAGCCTTTTATTTAACTATGGAACTAGATTTTTTCATAAAACTAATTTAATAAACATAAATTTCAATTACCAACTAGAAAATGCACTTATTTTGATGCATAAAATTTATTGTCTTTTGTAGAACAGATAAGTTCGATTTTCACTTAAAGCGATCGCTTCTTTTGACCCTAGTAGTTAGCTAGATGAAACTTATCATTTGCACATAAAAATTGTTTGTTCATGCCATAGATTTCATCCTTTTTTCAAGTTATCAACAGGTCTCCTGATTTTGGTCATTGGCCTTAAAACTTTGAGTCTCGATATTTCGAGAACAGTATCATCTACAAGAAACATTCTTTCCCCAATTTAATTCTTAACTAATTAATAATTCAGTAAAATTCAATAACATTCCATTAGCGCATTCGGGCCATCATTTTTGGGTTATAAATGAACGATGCAGCAACTCATTCAACAAACAAAACTCATATTAACTCATTTCTTGGTTAATAAACCATTTTTCTGGTTAAACTTGCAAATGCAGATGCAAAGAGTACTGCCAAAGTCTGGAACATTTGAGTTCAGAGTTGAGACATGGTGCGGTTTGTAGGGACATAAAAACTGTATCGATTGGTACTATTAAATAATTCATCCGATGGACAGTTTTCTAGATAATCGAGGTCAAAGTTGAAACTTCGATCGCTTTTTGTTCCGCTATGGAACCAGATTTCTTCACACAACTTGATTCGCTGATGTAACTTTTAATGAAAAACCATGAAATGGTCTTATATAGAGAAAGAACATTTTCTGTTTGTGTAAAACGGATCAAGTTCGATTTTCAGTTAAACCTGTCGCATTCTGTGACCATAACAGTTAGAGACCTGAAAATTATTGCTAGTCCATAAAAATTGTTTGTACACAATATGTAGTCAATCTTTTTTTCAATTTATCAACGATTCTCTTGATTTCGGCCATTGGCCTTAAAACTTTGAGCCTCGATATATCGAGACTGACATCTTCTACAAGCATCTTCTTTCACAAATTTGATCCTTTACTGATTAATAATTCATTAAATCCAATAACGTTCCACTTGCACATTCGGGCTATCATTTTTGGGTTATAAATGAACAGTGAAGCAACTTATCCAACAAACAAACACATATAAACTCATATCTTGCTAAATAAACCAATTTTCTGGTTAAACTTACAAACCTAATTCAAAGAATACTGTCAAAAGCTTGGAACTTTTGAGTTCAGAGTTGAGAATTGGTGGGGTTTATAGAGGCATAAAAACTGTATCGATTGGTACTATTAAATATTCATCCGATGGATATTTTTCTAGAAAATTAAGGCCAAAGTTGAAACTTCGATCGCGTTTTTTTCATTTATGGAAGCAGATTTTTTCACACAACTTGATTCGCTGATGTAGCTTATGATGACCAACCAGAAAATGGTCTCATTTTGAGAAATAACTCTTTCTTTTTCTTTAAAACATACCAAGTTCGATTTTAATTTAAATCTGTCGCATTAAATGGCCATAAGAGTTAGTGAGCCGAAACTTTATATTTATACGTAAAAGTTGTTGTCACACATCATGAATTAAATGCTTTTTTTAATTTATCAATAATTCTCTTAATTTTGGCCATTGAACTTAAAACTTTAAACCTAAATATGTCGAGAATGGTTGCGCCTACGATCATCTTTCTGTGACCAAACATTAAATCTTATTATGGGCCTTAATATGATATGACTAAATACATTTAAAAATGAATATCATTCTAACAATTAAGGTTTGCATTTGAGTAACTGTTTAACTTTATAAATAAAGTGTTAGATCGGACAACATTATTAATACAATACTATAAGTTTCTACGTAGAATTTTGAATGATTTAATATTTCAACATGTCATAACCCATGATGAAATCTAATGTTAGATTAAAGAATGATGGATGTAAGTGAAGTCATTCTCGAAATATCGAGGTGCAAAGTTTTAAGTTTAATAGCCAAAATCAAAAGAAATGTTGATGAATTTAAAAAAGCATTTGTTTCATGATTTGTGCAAACAACTTTTACGTATAAATATTAAGTTTCAGCTGTTTAACTCTAATGGGCATAAAATGCGACAGGTTTAACTAAAAATCGAACTTGATCTATTTTAAAGAAAAAGAAAAAGTTATTTCTCAAAAAAAGACCATTTTCTGGTTGGTCATTAAAAGTTACATCAGCGAATCAAGTTGTGTGAAGAAATCTGGTTCCATAGCGGAACAAAAAGCGATCGAAGTTTCAACTTTGACCTCGATTATCTAGAAAACTGTCCATCGGATGAATTATTTAATAGTACCAATCGATACAGTTTTTATGGCCCTACAAACCACACCAAGTCTCAACTCTGAACTCAAATGTTCCAGACTTTGGCAGCATTCTTTGCATCTGCATTTGCAAGTTTAACCAGAAAAATGGTTTATTAACCAAGAAATAAGTTAAGATGAGTTTTGTTTGTTGAATGAGTTGTTGTACGCACACTTACAGCCCAAATATCATTATTCAAAAGCGCTAATTAAAAGTTATTATTAGCATTGAGCTATCAGTTAGTAAAGGATTGAATTGGTGGAAGATGATGATTGTAAGTGCTACCATACGTCAAATATTGAGGCTAAAAGTTTTAAGACCAATGGTCAAAATCAAGAGAACTGTTGATGAATCGAAAAAAATATTCAATTCATGATGTGTACCAATAACTTTTATCAACGCACAATAAGTTTAAGTTCTCCAACTCTTATGGTCATAAAATGCGACAGGTTTAACTGCAACTCGAACTAATATGTTTTACAGAAAACCAAAAATATTATTTCTCCAAATAGGACCATTTTCTCGTTGGACATCAAAATTTATGTTTATAAAATTAGTTTTATGAAAAAATCTAGTTCCATAGTTAAATAAAAGGCTATCGAAGTTTCAACTTTGACCTAGATTTTCTCGAAAACTTTTCATCGGAGATAACTTTGAATCGCGCAAATCGCTTCAATTCTTATGTTCATACAAGCCAACAGAGTCTGAATTTGAAAGACTTTAATTTTTACCCGTTTTTGACCATTTGTGTCAATTTCTGTATAAATGTGTTAATTGTGTCGTTTTGTTAATATTTTTTCTGTTAATAATAACACCTAAAATAAATGTAAAGTTGTTATAGTTTGTCAAAGATTAATAGCTTTCAATCAAAGACGGATTTCATGGGTCTTAACCAGTAGCTGCTAAGACATTGAAAGCTTTTAAGCATTAGAGAGTTCAATTTCATCCGTCCAAAATCAAGAAAAGCTAGAGATTCGATTGACGTTTAAATCAGCTTTGAGACTCATTAAAAACATTTCATTTGAAGGAAAAACAATGAAATTGAACTCTTCACAAGCCGTTGCAACAAGTGCAATGTTAGCCTTGACAATAACTAAGAAAACATGTTTTTGTGCTGTCAATTTAATTTTATTAATTGTTTAGTCTTGGCGATCTTAATACATTGCTGTTACATGATTTCAAATGTAAAGTTTTGTAAGCCACTGTCGCTATGAATTTTTTGATGAAAAGATTTTGTTTGAAATGAGATTGTCCCAGTCGCATCAATCCATGTGTTTTTCATTCCTTTTTTCTGTCGATAGTTTGCGTTCATTTGAGTTAGCAATTAGCAATTGTGCCATTACTCGATTGTAATCGGGATCTCGACACAAACCAACAACTGTCCAGGATGAAGTAGCCAGTTGCATTTACTCTTCTTGCATGGTTTAGCTTCACGGATCAAATAGCGAACCCACAATGTTGTCTAATGTATAAAACAAGCAAAGAAGTTTTGTAAGTTAAAATAGAGACAAATTTAGCAAAGGCAAACTTACTTTTGGCGATGAGTTAAGTATATTGAAAATGTTGTTGAAAAAATATCGGTTTCCAGACAATATACCATTACCCTGAATTGACTGGTGAGCCCCATTTTCATCAACCAAGAAAGTCCTATCATCTGCACTGACTCCACCACCATAAGGTACCTCAACGTACTTGTCTTTTAACTTTTTGACAAACTTGGCCACAATCACTCTTTCAATAGGAGTTGATAGATTTACAAGTGGAGCTAAAAAAGGAGTCAATGAAGAGTAAGTCTTGGGTTAATCGTGATATAAGAGGTTGATTAACTGAAAATTACTTACTGAAATAGATGGTGAAGTTTGCATTTTCTCCTCGTGTGAATATGCATGAAGAGTTGGTGGATGAAAGGGTACAGGGAACAATATCAACTGAAGTTTTGGTTGATAGCGAGCTTCGACCTTCACCTAAAACCGATCAACAAGAAGATTAGAAAGAGTTTTAAACTTGATAATTTATCAATTCTTACATTGTGTGAATGGAGCTGTGACACAGTTAATGCCCAAAACAGCGGCGAAAATAACGAAAATTTGAATAAACATTTTAGTTTTTACACAAAACAAGAGAAAATATTGAAACAATGAATGTTGCTGAAGCAAAATTGGGCGCAAATAAGAAAGCTATGGAAAGAAAAATGGCTTCTTTAGCTCTCCATAGCGACGTCTCTCTTTAAAGTTCCGAACCAATCACCATTTCATCAAAGTTACAACAAGTTGTATTGTTTCAACTCTTTCAGCTTTAAAATTGTTGAAGGATTGAAGGATCTGTGAACGCTTTCCGCATTTGGCTCTTCTCTCAATCAAACCTCTGATTTGGTTTTATGCATTATTTAGGCTAGTAAAGTTCAAAAATCGATCAATTCAGTCTTCTGTTCATAAGATGCCAAAATGCTTGCCATGAGTTTTCTGGTTTTTGTTTTATGATCAACGTTTCGACTTCAATCAAACTCACTTGGATTAAGATTCTGAAAACCTTAATTAACCTAGAGACTTTGGGACAAGTTTTCTCATTGACTTAGAGCCATAACAAATCATCAAAACTAGACGGGTTATTATTAATGGATTTAGGTGTTTTTGATGAAGGTTTAGTGCAAGGTTAAGTCAGTCAAAAGGAAATACTAAACCAGACTAACAACAAACAGTTCAGGGCTAATATAATTGAAACTGTCTAAAAGTATCCTTTGAGACTAATTAAAATGGGATGCGTAAACGAAATGATTAGAATATTAATTTGGTTAAGTTAAGTAGTAAAAGATATTAAATATTTACATATTTACAACTATTAGCGACCATATTAATCGCTTACTAATTATACTGAACAAGTGACAAACATGATTCATCTTCTAGTTATATTGTTATTAACTATTGGTCAACCGAAAAACGTAGAGAGCGCTTGTGATGGCAACTGTAAAACCAAGACATACCGTCTCTCGTCAGAATTAAACCCAAATTGTACGAATAATTGCCCGTATGAATCGACAATACGAGTATTTGGTAATGATTTCAATGAGCGTCTCAATTTAACTGTAGTTGGACGCAATGTAGAAGAGACAGAAGCACTTACACTTTCCTTACAATTCATAATTGGATCCACGAAAAATTACTACATTTGCTTCAAGTTTACCTCAAATCAAACGGCAGCCGTTATCAGTAGATTCGGTCTAATCAGACCTCTCGGATTGTCTTTTTACAGTAAAATGGACAAGTCAATACATTGTAGTTGGAACATGACCCGAAATCAGCGCGATAATTGGCCTCTCGCTGGTGCTGAAGCAGCTGAATTGACTAAGAATCTAAATTATAATATAACCTTCAGCCACAACTCAACTGATGTTGTGGTCGATGTGAACCCAAGAGGATTACCAATCTACGCGAGACAATATTTAACATGCTGTGGCTATTCATTACTTGGAGACAATAAATACTCTTTGGCCGCAAAGGCAAATCATAATTCAACCGATTTCTTGTTTCAATTTCTAGAAGGAGGACCGAAACCTTACAAGATAGAGCTGAATTTAAATGACAATATTAATATTACCACCGTTTGCAATTTTAATACGAGTAGCATCACTGGTTTTCTTACGCTTAAAGGAAAGGCTAACTCTATTGGTCAATATGGATGGTTCCATGGCAGAATTACTCATAATTATTGTCGATGGGTCATACCAAAAACCGTTAACTACTACTCTGGAAAAGTCGATGTTAGCACGAAATCATTTGGTTTCAAAATTATTGCAGATAATGCTGTTGTTTACAGTAAAGTTGATGTTAATGGAACTTCTTACCTTTCCTATGCTTCCAATCCTTCCAGTTCATTCTTAATCATCATGTCATTGATAATGATGAGTTATCTCTTGATTTAGAATCAATAATTGTACCAAATTCAGTTTTTTTCATCCAATAAATGAAGGTACAAAGCTAAGTGCATTTAAGATTTTAATTTTTCAAATCATTGAAATCGATCAAATTTTATCAGAAAATTCAATTCTATATCAGAAATCTGCATCACCAACTGACAAAATTCAAACTTGAAACTCGAATGATAATGATAATTAAGATGATGAATTTTGTCAGCCAGATTGTCCACCAATTTAATCCTACAAATACACAACATCCATCATTTCCAAAATAAACTCCTAACAATTGGAAAGCTAATACTGGCCATAACCTAATAGCTATGATCAATTTGATGGGAAATGATAAATGGAGTTAAATGGTGGGGAAGGTCCAGTCGGAATCCAAGTTACTAGTTAAATCGCTCATCAATAGCTCCATCCGTAACAATTGTCAAGGTACATTGGAAGGTCATAAGTTGAGGCGACGTCTTAATCAATGGTTACAAAGCCATAATGGATCAGCCATTTGGTTGTTGCATTTGAAGTACGTTAATAGTAACAATGGTGAATGGTTATATGAAAACAAAGCGAGATAATGTACTCGTAATATTACGATTACTGTGATGATAAGAAATCCTACTTCTTCCTGATCAGGTAGATTCATCAGGTAATGTTGACAATTATCCGTTGCTTTGTTTTTATCCTGTAAAGTAAAAAAACAGTGATAGTGATTAAAACATGATCGACCAATTTTTGCATCACGGAAATGATTGCTGATAAATGTTGGAGTCAATTGTTTAAATCAGTCTGAAAAAATGCGGAAAAATTCCACCACCAATTAATAAACATAAGTTGAATGAATAATATTAAAGTTCAATGTTATTCACAATTGAAATTCAAGTCGTTCTTGTTTTTTAAAAATCCTGCGCTTTCTTTTACTTTTAGCTGCTGACATCTATTGTAAAGTTTATTAGTTTATTCGAAAAACATTATTTTTTTTTGCTTTCATTTCTTCTTAAACTCTTTTCACCTGATTTGTGTTCTTATCACTATCATTATCATTATCGTTTACATTTCATTCTCTTTTCAAATTGTTCTTTGTTAGAGTAACCGTCCAAACATTCTTGAAATATCTATCCATGGTAAACTAGATTCTGAATCAATGGCGAGTCTCCATGTTTATAGATTTGGTGAATATTTCCGAATCGAGAAAACATCAACATCAAGTCAACTTTCATTTTCATTATCAGAACAAGATCGTCACCATCACCATCAACATCAACAATATTATTTCAATTGCTCCAATCACTACCATCATCATCACCAACTACTAAATCAACGAAACTATTAACACCAAGTTTTGTATTAGTTAATATTGTAAAACAATGCTGCTAGTCAAGTTTATCCTTATCTAAGATATATAACATACTAACAATAATAATAGTGATAAAGGTAATAAATTTATTATTATTATTTTTATTCCAATTATTATTATTGTATTAGCATAATCGTGATAACATTAAAAGTGATAAACGAGATTGCGGTAATTTAGGTATCAACTTATTAGGTATGAGTGATCAAGGTGAGATTAATCATTGTTCTAGTGCAACCAGTAGACTTCTGTCTGAGTTATTAACTTCTTTACCAATTGAACAACCGACATCAACCGAGACGGGAAACAACATGGTTTTAACATCACAACCTCCAACATCTTCAAACTCTCCACACATACCATGTACACCTGCAATGGCCTCCTTAACGACAGCGTCTAACGTAAAAAGTAAAATATTGAATAATAGCAATGACATGGGGCCGATCAATGTGAAAAAGCAACCCTCGCCATCAACTCCATCCACAGCTATCGACTTTTTCACCTTCAAATGGTTATTCAAGAAAAGAACCGTCCCCTTTCTTAAAAAATCGTCTTCATCCATTTTTCCTGAAGCCTCAGAAACAGGTCACCATCTTTTGACCTCTTCTAATAGTGGAGGAATGAGCACACCAGATGGAAATGGTCTTGGTGGAGCTCGATCCAATAGTCGATCAGCTGGTTCTAGATTAGATTGTCAAAGTATCCCGGGTACTGCTAAACCAAGTAAAATTTGCAATGTGACTCCTGTAATTTCTCGCCTAGCAGAAGAATCGACTCTTAAATCAAATTTAAGAATGAAACTATCCTACAGTTTTGGGGACATTGATGAATTTAGTAAATGGTCAAACACTGACAATGCGGAACAACAGCCATTAAATTTTGACTCTACATTAAACGATGACCATCAATATTTTCATCATTCAAACAAATCTCGTTTAGTTTCTACTAAATGTATTCCAAAAGAAAATAAACTTATCTCATCATCATCATACTCATCTGCATCGGTATCCCACCTTCCAGTGACCCGTCGTTCCAATTTTGGCTCTTATTCTCATCGTGGTTCATTTGGTGGTACCAAAGTTCGTAAAATAGATTCATCACTTAATTTATCTCGCAGTTCAATAGAAAAATGTTTTCTCTGTTTAAATGATGTAAAATCACCTTCAATGCACACAATTTGGTCTTGTGGATGTCGTTTTTGTATAAATTGCCTGCGAACTTATCTCACCATCAACATCAAAGAGAACAATAATGTGTGTAATTTAACCTGCCCTGACTCAAATTGTCCAGAATTAGCAAAATTATTGAAGCAACACCAACCCAATAACCTGATTAGTTCTTCGTCTGGTCGAATGATGAATTCCTTGATAAGAACTATGTCCCCAAATCGCTTTACACCGCAAGAAATTCAATTGCTGGTTTCATCAGAGATATTTGATTTGTACAAAAAATATAAACTGTACCAAGAAGTTGACGAGGATCCAAATCGAACATGGTGTCCCAAACCCAACTGTTGTAACATTTGCATAATCTCAAAACCAAATTCAGTTTCATTGCCAACCTCGTCATCATTTACCTCATCAAAGTCGACCCAATCAACCAAGACAAACATTGTGGAAGATAAAGCTTCGTTTTACTGTCAAAAATGTAAAGAAACCTATTGTAATCTTTGTCGTAAATCTTACCATCCTGGAACATCGTGTTGGCCCTCCGGAGAAGATGATGACCTTGCCCTGTTGCTTAACAATCAAGATAGTTCATCATATTGTGTAAATAATATCAAAAGATGTCCAAGATGTTCAGTTTGGATTGAAAGGGATGACGGATGTGCCCAAATGATGTGCCGTAAATGTAAACATGTGTTCTGTTGGTTTTGCCTTCAGTCCCTCGAAGTAAGTACTTATCTTTTGTTTCTAAAGCAATTCATCTGCTTTTTGCGTCATGTGTTTGTGTTTTAGTGAAAAGCAATCAATAGTTTCTTATAAGAGTTACGCTTTCGTCATTCAAATGCCATTAATGCTATTAAATTAATTACATGAATCATTTACCATTCAAAATTTTTATCTCCTTACCATTATCAGCTTTACCATGGGCTATTTCATCATGAGCTTTAACTCGATTCCAATTTATTCATTTTAACTCAGATTTTATACAAACCAAAGTAAATAGGAATAGAGCATTATCCCAAAATTGAAAGTAATTGATGATGATGATTCTTCCTCTTCTTCTTTCAATATTCCTTTTCTCACGAAAATCGTTTTTTGCTCTTCCTCTCTTTCACCACCATTATCATTGGCAATGAAAGGCAATCAATAACTTAATGTTGTTATCTCACAGTGTCTTTAGGTCAAGCTATCTGTTTCAAAAAGTCATGGGAATTAAATGTTTACCATGAAAATGGTAAAATATAAGTTTAAAAATTGAAAAAAAATGAAATAAAAACAAAAGATAGGGAGGAAATAATATAAGAATAATTGAGAAAGAATCTGATAAATTCATCCTTGACCTGATAAAATAGAGTTGCACACCAAACCCTTTGCTCTTTTACTTAAATACTGTAAGAGTTGTTCATTTTCTAGTTCATCATTCTCATCATTTAAGATCAATTTACTTTGCTTAATTTACGCTCTGTTTGATCACAAAATGACTATCAATCAGGTTCAATCGGATATCCGTTGATTATATTGAAAAATAGTCCAGAAACAAAGCTCAATTGAGATGATTGTTTTTGTTCTCCTTAATTGTTAATTCACTTTTAACCAGACCAATCGTGTTTTTAACAGACATTCAGCTGTATTCAACAATCAATCTAATTTTCTTTTCTTTTTATTTTTTTCCAGGATGACTTTTTACTTCGTCATTATGATAAAGGACCTTGTAAAAATAAGCTGGGTCACTCGCGGCCTTCAGTGATTTGGCATCGAACTCAAGTTATTGCAATTTTTGCGGGTTTTGGTTTACTCCTTCTTCTGGCATCACCGTTATTCCTACTCGCCTCACCCTGTATACTTTGCTGTAATTGTTGCTGTGGTTCATCGTGCAAGTACTTAGACGATGGTGAGCCTCACGAGGAAGAAGACGGTTTCGGTGTAATGAATTTGTAATAGTTCACACAATCGATTATACTGAATCAATCTTCATCACTGTAATTTTCACGTTACGTTCACCAACCTTTCCAATCATCATAATCTCTCCATCTCCATCTCCCTCTTCCTTTCCATCTCTTCCTTTCCCATAAAAAAAGTACATTTTAATGTAAATAATCAACAACTGCCTAGCGGGATTGTTGAACTTCGTTCAGGAACACATTTAAAGTTCTCTTTCCGAACAATGCTCTTCCTTCCTCTTTCCTTGCATTTTACTTCATTATCCCCAATTCAATGGTGTAAAGAGCTGCATTCACCAATGAGACAAACCAAAAAAAAATACTAGAAACAATCTGTTTACAACAGACTCAAAGACATTAACTTTCCAATGTAATTTAGCACGTTGTATGTGTGTATAGTTGATAGTAAAAAAATAATAACAAAAAAGGGTATTCCGATGACGAAATTAATCGTTTCTCTGATTATTTCCTTATCGAGATGGAAATTTTTCCTTTTCTTAAAAAACATTTTGATAGTCAATAAACTCATCGCGTAAATAGATTGAGTGAGTTGAACAAAATGTACTTATACAATTGTCACATTAACTAGATTATATAATAAGTTCATCACTTTTAACTTTTCTGATTTTTATTAGCTTCATAACAAATTACAATCACTGTTAATTAATTAATTGACTGGTTAATTAAATGTTAAAGTGTGGAATCATCAACCAGACTTGAAGGCTGGAAGGATAAAAAGGCCAAGAGAAGGCAGCAATCTTGATTATTATGGATACATCATTATGACGATTACGATTACGATTGTAATGAAAAAGGAAAAAGTCTTGTAAATTGTGTAGAGTATTTTATTTTTGTTATTATCATTATTACCTTCTTCAAATTTACTATCTCATTACAAGTTATACAATAAAAATCAAGTTCGTGCATATTATTTATCCAAAGGTTTTACCATTGATAAGATAGGATTCAAAGATTAACCCGGACCTTGAATCAACCAAGGACAGGAATCGATCTTGAAGTCAGTCAAACTGACAGTTGGAAATGAACTGAGGATGAGTTAAAGATGAGCCAAGAAGCGAGCAAAAAATGTATCAAGCATTGGATAAAGACCTGGATTTCAACTAAACATGAACAAAATGTGGATATAAAGGGATGAAAATGAATCGACCATTAATATCCATTACAATGGTTTAATACTCTGGTTCCACAATTTATATCGCTACTCGGATGATATTCAATCAACTACAGTCTCTTCAAATATTCAAAGTCAAGGAAACTCATTATGCTGCTTATTTACATTATTCACCTATCCGAGTCATCTTCACAATTAAAACTCATCGTGTTCTCAACCTTGCTCAATTAGCCACAAACATTAATTACTGGTCATGATTTAGATTTATCAATGAAGTATGAAACGTCGTAAAAGTATTTTTACCGTGAAAAGCTTTTCACTGCCATCGACTGTTTTCTGGTTACCTTGTTGGCTAAAACATTTGATTGCTGATTTACTCTGGTGTCTATGATTTTTATTAATGCAATCAGTTCGAAGGATTTTATGTGAAAATACTCCAACAATTTAATCAAGCTAGACAATTGGCAAAATGAAATCCATCATTAAATCGGGTTTAACTGTTTCCCTCGGATACAAGCTGATAACTTTGGATGAAAATTTAAATTTATATTTGTATAAAGTATATTTGGCAATAACTGCCATGAATGTTGATCACTATTGAATAAGATTAACTTTTGTTAAGCTAGACAGATTATGGAATCAAATTTAATCACAGTCAATTATGGTGTAATGTGGATTTTGTCAATCAAGATTTGCTTGTTGATTGTTTATGGTGTTGGCTGTTCATTTTAAATTGCCTGAAAAAACCAGAAAATCAAAGAGTTGCTTTTAGAGCATGATGTATTGATTTGAAAAGTTGATTGACTATTGAATTTAAATCCTATTGTTCATGAATTTCGTAATAATTTACATTTTCAACACAACATAAATCAATTTCATGATGATTTCCCATTGAATGATTGTTAAATCATCGAGCAATCCAAATAACTATCACTCAACAGATCTCAATCAGGTTGCAATAATAAATGATTGTTGAGATTTCTTTGGCATAAAGAGAAACTAATTACAATTTACTAAACAAGATATTAGATAATGAGTGCTATCCTATTGAAAACTTAGTATTACTCTGTGTTCATGCGAATAAAGACCTTAATTGATTGCTTTGAACAAGCATGGAACTAATCATTAACCGTCATTTTTAGTGGCTCGGTTGATTGTCTGGTAAAATACATTCAAAGATTAGATTTACTTTTAATTGTTACCAACGAGGAGTAATTTTTGCTACTTTGATCCAACTCTGAATAAATTGATTAATAAAAACTAAATCATTTCCAATCTTGACCTCTATCAGTTTATATTGTTTTTAAGGTTACAATAACATAATAATTGGAACAGAAAACAATTGCGATTGTCATTTTGTTGACTTGAAAAAAAAGGCTGATGCACGTATTTTGAAAAGTGTTTATATTAAATACAAATCTCTGTGTTAAACACTTTAAGATTGTTATTTATTTCAATTAGTATTTGCAATTAAGTATCAAAATAGACGACCAGACGATAAAAGTTGCTTGTATCGCTGAGTAAATTATACAACGTTTTAACATTACTTCAATTTTAAGTTTCCTTGATGTTGGCCTTGTTTGTTTGTGCAATGAAAAATTGAAGAAAATTTGTGTTTCATTTTTCACAGAATCAAAAAATATAATTTTGATAAGGGTTGGCAATAATTATGATGCGGCCATCAGCTCATGATCGACAAATACATGAAGATTTTCCGAGGAATCTGAAGCAGTTGATTCACGGCGTGATTCGTTTGGACCAATAGTTTTTTGCTGATTGGACGCTGCCTTGAAATTATCATAACCTTGGAAACCAAGAACCGGATTATTAGAAAAATATTCTTCCGTTGAATAAGGAACCTTTGAACTGAGGGAACCATCATTGTAATCATCGAAATCACTGTTAGACGATTTAACTGTTTCAGACATTCCTCGTGCATAATGAGTATCACTTCCACTTTTGACTTCATCCTCGGAATATATTCCACCTCTGATTATCTCGAAATTTCCACTTCCTAAAATGCCAAAATTTTGTTTTGTAGTCTGTGCGGTAGCAGGAAAATAGGTTTGTGGCCTTCGTTTTCGTGATCTTCTATCGGACGAAGTAAGCGAGAATGGTGTCTTCATAGGAGATGGTTTATCAAATGAGTTGTCCAAGTTAAATAATGATGCTAGTTCAGGGTCCTCATCGTCAAAGGCAAAGTATCCGGAAGCTTCTGATTTCAATAAATCATTGTCATTTCCATTAGTGTCATTTGAATTTGATGATAGATTTTTTTTCTCGCCATTATCGAGATTTTCTCCTTCAGAATGTTTATTATTATTTTGATCCATCTTCTTATCATCTTCATTGTGTTCTAAAGGTAAAATATTTTCAATTCCTGGTTTTTGTGTTTCTGTTTCACTTTGATCTTCACTATCAGTTGATCTTTTTGACCTTATAGCAGGCATTCCAAAGTGTGTACTGCTGAAAATGGGAGATGCCGGCGTTCGTGCATGATAATCACCCAAATTTGATTTTGCAGCGGCAATATTACCAAAATTAGCTGCCAAATTTGAAGATAGAGTATGCGCTAATAATGGATTTGCATATGTTTCTGATTCTGGTGTGATTCTGATGGTAGGAAGACGTTGATGTGTAAACCCAGGCAACCCTAAAGCACTTTCTTGGTGTTGTGCTGATCGGAGAAGATGTGTTATTAAAGGTGAATTATAATCAATAATAGGAGTTTGACTTTGAAGCAAACTATGCCTTTGATGGGAAGCAGCTTGTTTTGAAATGGCATCCGCGCGTGCCGCTATGCTAGCTAATTTTGATCTTGATTTGGATAAAGTCAAAGATGGAGTTGTGACAATTTGTTGTTGAGCTAACTTTGACAAAGGTTGAGGATTGAAAGTTTTAAGAGCAGATGAAGGTGCTTCCGCGAAAGACGGAGATTGACTCAATATTGGATATGAGTCCTGGTTCGGAGAGTTGTATAATGACAGCCGAGAATGCGATTTATTTGGCAGTGGGTTTCGTAAGCTTGTCCTTGTACCGTAAGCTGGTTTCGGTAGCGATGATGAAGGTGAAGAGGACGAAGATGATGGAGCTGATATAGATGAATCGGAAGATGAAGTAGGAGACGAGAGTGAGGAAGAGGGAGACGACGAAGAAGTACTTTTGACAATAGCTGGCGATTCAAATATGAATCCAGCTCCATCAGCAGCTAAGTCAGCACTATCATGTTGGTGCAACTGGTCCAAGGCAGTTCCATTGGGTGGTGGATAACCTGGTAGATTATCTGGTCCATTTGAAGCGGCTTCCTCTCGAGCACTTATTGATATTGGAGCAAGTCTACTCTCTATGCTGTCATATTCAGCATCATAGTCTGGAACCATTCCAAGATAATCATCAAAATCAACCTTTTTACTTCCAGCCTCTGGTAACATTTCACTCAATGAATTTGAACTTGAACTGGGAGCAACAGATGATGTTGGTATGAATGTCGATGAAGCTGATGAGGCTGACGAGACTGTAACTTGACTATTTTGGTTCTCATCGTTTGCTTCATTTTCAGTAATCGGTATCGTTGAACCATTAACTTCTGATGAACGTGTTACTGTACTTTCATTATCACCACTTAATGAGTTTCGTGAGGTTCCATTTTTTGCTATTACGGTTTTTGGCGATCTTTTGTGACTTGATTCAAGTAATAACGCTTCGAGATCTGATTTTTCTGTAAAAATAAAAGAAAATAATTGGTTGGTAAATATTGGAACAAAGAAAGAAAAGGAAAGTATAGATAATTTAACAAATTATCTTACAAAAAAGTAATACAGTTGATTTAAATTTAGATTCAATGGTCACCGTGTAAGCTGGATTCAAACAATAATAACGGTCATTTATAAGGCACAAACATTTCAAAAAGCATCTTGAATGTCAACAAGTATCATTACAGGTTACAACAAAAGCACTTCACAATAGCAGTTTTAGTTTATAAATCTTTAATAGCACAAGACCGAAAGGTCACCCTCTTTTCAAGGCACTTGAAATTTTAAAAAATCTCATCAATTGTTCATTGTTTATTGGCACTTTATTACTCAAGTAACCGTAAAAGCAACAAGTTTCACTTCATTTTCAACTTGACCAATTTTTAGGAGCACATTTTAGTTAACAAATTAAAATGAAGATGTCACTTGAGTGGTTTTGATTGAAATACAAATTTTAATCAAAAACTAAGCTTGAAAAAATCAATTTCAATTTTTGAATCTTATAAAACAGTGATTACAGAGATTTTCATCTTCACCTATTTTTAAACAAGTGCATCTTGGATTGGTCAAAGATTGAAAATTCAAGTCCATTAAATAGCCATTTCTCCTTGTATCATAAACCCTACACTAACAAACCCAACAAAAGCAACAAAATAAACACTCGACATGAAATTGAAAAAACACCAGAATTTTTGAGTCTAAAATAAAGGTTGTATTGTGAAAATAGAATTAAATTTTCTGGTCAAATGAGATTGGAAGCAAACTGAAGATCAACAGATGATTAAGTGAGAAAGGCCTTTTTTTCTGGTTGCACTTTACCATCATTTTTTGCTTCCATTATTACCTTTATTTGAATTGGTTAGTCAGTGAAAGTCTGTTTAATGTCACTAATGATCAACCCATTTTATCTGTAATTACAGAAACTAATTTCGATGAGAATCATGAAAACTGAACCAAAAAAACAACAAAAAATGAGGTAAATCAAAAAACTAATGAAAACCTTTTTACCAGATTAAATGTTCAACAGTGTTTACTGTGTAACCCAAACCCAAAACCAAGCTACAAAAGCCAAGCAACTTTAAACCAAAAATGAAACAATCTACCAAATTTGACCAGTTTTATAACACTGAGATAATACAAAGGATGAAAACCAAAAGTGTCTTTGAATTGAACCAGGTTTTTACATTTTGAATGTAAAACCATTTGTAAAGCTCACAAGGTTGATTAAATTTGAAATGGATTGACCACAAGTTTTGACAGCTAATAATCAGATATTTGAATCAGGTCATCATCGTTGATTGTCTCTCAATTGATTTACAGTTAAACAATATTTACTCAAACTGAGACCTCGTTTTTTTTGGGTGAATGGATAATAAACAAGCAAACGACCAACCAACCAACAACAGTAGCAATAATAATAATGGATTTTTATATGTAATTCATTATAACGTGATAACAATAATGGATGATTAAACATCAATCCAAATAACGGTAATTCACAGGCTAAAGTGAACCAGTCAAGTGTTGCCTGTTGATAATCAACATGAAAATTGATGTAGATGTAAACAACGTTGAAATGTGAGAAACTGAAAAAAGCATCTGCCTTTTTTGTATAATAATAATGTTGAGACTGTTGATTACGATGATGGCTGTATTTGCAAACAAAAAACAAGTAAAGCAATTAAAATTGGTAACCCAGTTGAACATCAATGAAGATATTTGTTAAGCTTGCCTGATCACGCATTAGCATTATATTTTATTATTGGCATTATTATTGATATTAATGCTATTAAAAGTAATGTTAATTAGCTGGCAACAATTAGTTAATAACAATGAACTTACAGAAAAGTTAAAGAGTAGTTAAAAGTGGCTTAAAAACAAAAACAAAACAAAAAGGAAGACAATTGTTAAGAAAAAATGTATTCTAATAGTGTTATGGCATTCAACCGTTTAGATTGACGTTTATTGTTGCTAACTAATTAGTGATCAATTGATTAAAAGAAAAACTTCCGGACTATATTTAGGTTTACCTTTAATTGTACCTTGAAAAGATGAATACAAATGAGTCAGTGTTACATGTCAAAGTTACTCAAACGGTGCACTAATGAGTGACTTGAGATGAACCTTTGAAGCAACAAAACTTAAACACTTGCAACTCGTGCTGGTTTGAATAGTTGACGTCAATAAGTTATTGGATTAGGTTAGGTAAGGTTAGGTTAGATTAGGTTGGATTAGGTTTAATTTTTGATTTATGTCTTGGCAAATGCACAGTTCAATACAAAGTTCAACAGTGAAAAGATCTAGAAAGTCTCAAAGAAATGTCATCGGTTTATTTTGCATTACTATTGAGTTGAAAAGCTGCATTAAATTGATGAGTAAAAGTTAAAGTCAATCCTATTACTTGAACGGTGAATCAAGTCTTTTGTTTACAAAGATGATACAAAGTTCAAGCTTCTTCGTCTTATTCAAAACTAAAAGTATCATCGGGTTATTTTGCATTATCATGCAAACATTTGGATGAAATAAAAGTAACATTGATGAGTGATTAAACTAAACTCACTTATAGTCTTTGACAAAATGAAATGATAGGTTGGCTGGATACAAAAGTGAAGTGAGTTTTATTTTATTGAATTTCATGTGATTATCGCATAGAGATGAATATTGGTGGTCACCAACTTTCAAAATTCATGCATTTTTTTGCAATTAATTGCAGATAGTCATCAATTTAGTTGATCACCATAGTTATCTGCAATACGGCTTAAGCATCTTCAGATAGGCGACTAACCTTAGTAGTTACTGTGTACATCAGACTATTTGTGGACAGTTTGCAATGCTGACTTTATCAGCATTAAAGCAACTCTATTCGTCTCAATGGCAGATTTGACCCCAATGACCATTTCATTGGAATAACATTTTCCCATTCTTTGTAGTTATTCCGATAGTTCATGTGATGAACATAAACATGTGAAATTGAACTTAGAAAATTATAAATTTGAAATTATTTTCTCATGTAAACTTATCGAACATTTGATTTCAATGTTTCAAATATCACTGATTGATTAACTTGAGCAAGAAATGATGATTTTTTGACGCATTGCGAGTAAAAGTGATAACTTGATTGAAATTCATTCAGATATTAATAGAAAATGCAATTTTCTCCTTGATTATTGCTACAATTATTAAGATTTCGCCAACTCAATACTGAACCATGATTTGTTGAGACAGTTTAAAGCATTTGCTTATCAAAAACCATTATCAACTTGTTCAACTCAAAGTTTCCTGGTTATGAGCTTAAAGTCAATTTACTGACAAGTGTTGATGAATCTGTTTGATCAATTATTGAACAAATCAGATAAATGTTGATAAAAGTTAACCGTTTAAAGTAATCGCGCTAAAGGTCTAATGACTTATAGCGAGCAGGGAAACGTCTTGTCAACATACATTTTTAATAATCGAGTTAAGTGACATTTTTTTTTCTTTTCAATGAAATGTGTCAGTAATTATGATTGTAAAGTGAAAAAAAAATCAACAAATTAACCAACTCATAAGCAAGTCAATAATTTTTGGCAAACAATAAGGAAAGGCGAGTGGAGCAAAAAGTTTGAAGCAAAAAAGCATTAAAATTTAGAGGAAAAAAAGAGGTCAAATCGGTTCAATTTGATTCAGTTTGCTATGAAAAATTAAAATCAAATTGTAATCTGATTAAATGTTGATCAAAGAAATGATGAAAAGACGTTTTACACTCGTTCATTTGGTGTCTCACAATGGGTTACAATGGATTAAACAATTAGCTCAACAAAAGTATAATCAAATTAGTGTTTAGTTTAAAATTGAAGAGTTTACCTAATTCACCATTATTGTTCAACAATAGGGTTCAATCATCAGGGTTAATTTAAAGTAATTGCTGTTTAAGCCTTAAATGATTGGTGAAATGGTAAGCCTAATGAGAGTATTAACTTCCTGGTTTCAAGATTAATATTGATTGACCATCAAAAGCGTAGACCATTTAATGACTCAAGGTTAGACAATTGACAGTTAATCAGTTAAATTGAATTAACTGAATCAAGGAAACACTAAAATTCATTGAACTCTTGATATTACAATATGAAGCTCTAAAGTCAAAAATTGAATCTCAAAATTGGACTTTAAAGTTGAGAAAATATTTAATCTGAGAAAATTGAAAATCTAATTTTGAGTCGATTTGGATGAACTCACCTTTTGCTTTGATTGCAGCAATTGTAGTTATAACGATTCCTGCGGCAACAACAATTAACACTAGGACAACTTCCCAACGACTAGTCAATCTAGATCGAGATTCACGACCAAAGGTTGAATACCTTTCACGACGTTCCCTTGAGTTAGCCAGGTTGGCGAATTGATATTGATATTGGCTTTTAAAATGATTGCCAATATCAACTCAACACTGAATAAGGTGAAACCTGGAAGGCTTTTTTATTGTCAAAGGTCAATGTGAATCCACAAAGAAGCAAATATTTGCAACAAAAAGTGTTTATCCTTTAGTCACTCAATGGATTGAGAGTTGACAATGGCAATGGTCAATCATAGTTGGTAAAAGATGAAATGAAGTTAATCCAAAGGCACATAAACAAGTGTATTAAAGGGTAAATTGTCTTGTAAACTGTAGATGGTTGTTGTTCAATGAAGTCAAGTTTAGTCTTGAAACACCATTGAAACTGTTTGCTCTTTAACATGTAAAAACTGATCAACTGATCAACCATCAACTTGTATGTTCATCATCATCATCATCATAATAATCATAACAATCATCATTATCATCCTAAATCGATGGCAACAACAGCAAGAATACAGATCAAAGTTGTCTGGAAATCGTGCTTGTTGTTGAACAAAAATACTAATAGAACAACATTAACATGTGTATGTGTGAGTGTTACGGTACAACTGTGCGGTGTGAGAGGAGAAGGTAGAGAAAGACTGTTAGACAGGCGAAAACGAGTGAAGACAGAGAAGTGAAAAAGTGGACAGAAAGAGAGAGAGAGAGAGAGAGAAGAAAGAGCGACTGAGAAAGACGCTGAAGCAAGGCCAGTGAACCAAATCAGTAGAGCTTATTGAAGCGTACTTGTCTTAAGCAATGATGTTTATGTTGTTGATGACGATCAGGTTGATGATGAAGCTTGATGAAAAATGAACAGGAAAAAAAACAATGCAAACCAAGCGTCGTTAAAAAGTGTATTAATTTGAGCAAAGTCTTTATCCGTTAACCAGTTTCAATGAGCATTCAGGATTCTCATGTCTATCATTTTCTAACATATTCACATATTCAAGGTTCATCTTCATAAAACTCATTTGCTTCACAAACTTGGACCACTTCAATGGTCTTTTGCTTTCTTCAAAAAGATTTTCATTTTTTATTTTTCTTGGCGATTCTGATTAATATTTATCTTTTCTGTTGTTGCAACGAATTCAATCGACTTCGATGAAAATGTCCGAATTGGCCTCTTGATTCTTGTTTTGCAATTGATTTCATTCGCTTGGAGTTGCATTGCGATTAAGCTTTGATCATGAAGCAAACAGATCGTAACAATGATTATCACTTTTCAATTAACACTGATAATAATGATTTTATAATAAAATGTATTCTTTCTGTTCAACAAGTAAAACTTTTCACTCCAATAGTTGACAAAACTTGATTTTTTTTGGTTAAACAACTCTTCCTACTACGAGTCACTGTTAATCATCTTTAACCCATCATCATGATTACCCTTTCAACATTCAGGGTCAATCGTTTCAACCTGATTTTTCAAGGTATTATTTATCAGCCTAATCAAGATGATCGGAAAAACATTTTTACCCATTTCTGGTTAAACTCATTTTCAATAAAGGCAAACAACAAGAAATGAAAAAAAACACTTTTGTGGTTTCCTTCAATTATAGTTACACGATTGCCATTTATTAACCCAAACATGGACACACTTGTTCAACTCTTGCCAACCTTGTTATTGTACTTTATCAACTGGAACTCAACAGTCAAAAGTTATAATCAACACACAATCAATGAACATCAATGAGAATCAATGAGAATCAAAGATGAACCATGATTATGAAATTAATGGACAAAAAAAGTTGAACTTTATTTCAATTTTATTACATCAAATGAACAACTTGAGATTCTAAAGATTCTGAACCTAACAGCCTTTACGTGATTTGCATGATGGAAAAGATGAAATGAAATTTTTCACTAAATTTACCTTTCATCAAATTACTCAAGTAATCAATTGAATTCAATAAATTAATAGATTACGAAATTCACACATTCAAATGTTCCAATTTAAGGTGAAAAAGTTGACATTTTCAATGTTTTATCGAACTGTTAATTTATCTCTGAAAATAATTACCAATTTCCAATCGAGTAGAGATTAAAAAAGATCAATATTATTCAGGTAACTTACATAACTTGAAACTGATTCATATTTAGTAACAAGAATTGTATAGAATTTCAATTTCAATTTCACATAATTCCAATAAAAGTGGCCAGTAATACCTGTAACAAGCCTTGATAAAGTTCTTGTCAATGGAACATTTCAATCGTCATTTGGATCAACCAATTCAAGCTTACATGAAGAAGACATGAAGAAGAACAAAAAAGTCATTTTTATAAGAAAAAGTAGGCGAATTAAAAAAAAGTTTCATTTCTCTCTCAACATCTTTTATTATTATTTTTCAGATGAATGTTATCGACTCGATTTAGATAATAACATTGCCTTTATCCAATCACTTTTGTTGTAATGAAAAACAATTTTCATCAACATTTCCATTAACCTGGAATAAAAATTGTTGAAACTTCTGTGATTGACATTATTCTGTTTCAATTTCAATGGACAATTGTTATTGACCATTACAGAATGATAATTGTTGTCAACAATGAAAATGAGCCATTCAGGGTTCACTATAAATTAGAGCGTCTCATCAATTTCAAAGTTAGTGAAAGCTTTCCTTGCATTGAAAGAAGAAGCTCAAAAAATCTTCAAATCTTATCTTGTTCTCCATTCCAAGTTTACCATCAAAATGAGTTCATCATTTTCCAGCCTTCTAGTTGCTCTTAATTCATTGGTGATAAGTTTAATGGTTATTGTAATAGTGATTAATGTAAATCCAGTCGAGTCTCGAATCGATTCCAAGAGTAAAGAAATTGATCCCAGAATTTTGGAGGAAAAATTTCAATCTGATTCATCATCCGACATTCAACCTGCCTCGGATGCTCTTCAGCATTTCCTCAAGGAATTGGATAGATATGTTGCCATTGCAGGACGACCAAGGTAAGAATCTTGATTAATCAGTTGAACTGGAAATTGATGAAAAGTTTCATTTCACTCGATCCATTAATTCAACACAATTTATCATTTTGCATGGAAAAGTTCATTTCCTTTATTTGCAAATGTTTACCAACTTTTCACTTTTAATCAATTTAAAATCTTTTCTTTTGTCTTTCAACAGATTTGGACGAAGTGCTTATAAAATGCCGAAAACGCCAATTGCTGATTATTTTACTCGGAAAAGTGTAAACGAATTCAGATTTCCTGGATTTTACCAATTGGATGTGTAACTCTTTGGATTTTGTTTTTGGTTTTCCTTATTTCATCCTGGAAATGGAAAGTTGAAGAATGAAAAATGTAAAAAGAAAATGTGAAAATTTTAAGTTTCATTAAAATTCATTTGTTCCTCTGAACTCATTTTGTATGTTTCTTTATTCATATTCGGACCAATTTAGTTGGAAAGCTAAATATGAGTTTTTGCCCTTTTTGCTTGCTTTCTTTCCACTGTTCATGAATGTTCATGAAATATTCAATCACTTTAGACTGTTGAAATGTTATTGATTGTCCAATCTGATGAAATAAATAAATGAATAATGAAAATGATAGGCGAAGAGAAATGATTATTTTTACCTTTTCACTCTTTGCTCTTCTTTTCATCGTTCAATCTTGCAACCTTTTTCATGTAATTTTGATGCTACATTGAGTTTCAAATTACTTTTTACCTTATTTTTCATTTGACACATTTCATGTCAATCTTTCAATTCAATGTATTAAAGTTGGTCCAGTTTGCCTGCGATAACAGGAAAATTGCAACAAATTCAAGATTCTGTCAGCTTTTCATCGACATTAACGATAATCAAATGGTAACTATAAATGTTTGCAGGCGACAAAAAGGTCAAAAGATTGACTTCTAATAACTCTTATTCTGATTGGAGGCGACTTTAAATGCGAAAAAATTGGCTGAAGAAAACCATTTCCAGAAAAAATCAAAGAAAAGTTATCAGAAAATTCGATGAACTTTCATTCATTTCACCAATTTCTCGACTTTGACCAAAGGCTCCATCAAAAATTATCGAATGGATTCACAAGAGTTATTCATCAACATGAACATGAATATTTCGAAATTTGAGGATTTTATTCCATGCACTAAAAGAATCAACATTTAGACAAAACGAACTTTCGATTCTGACAAGGTAACCTCGCGAACTGCCTAACGCGGATTTTTTTCAACACAATAAAATACATTTGAGTAAGCAAAAAGAAGTAGAAATAACTTTATTTCAGCGGCCCATACAGGGTTTTAATGGTAGTGTGTGGAGTTTAAAAAGAAGCACTTGATACAAAAATGATCACGACAATGAGCACATTGTATAAATGAACCGGTACCACAGTTTTCAATTGAACAAATGGACTCATCAGTATCCCAGATTATACTATCGGGTGAGTCAAACATCTCTACTTCTACAGGGTATGTTGCTTTCTTCCAAGCATGTTTGATCATTCTAATGAATAGTGGAGCACAGAATTGGTTATGTATGAGGGCATGTAACTTGATGATAGTTTTTCTATCATGAAGTGGACATGGCATTGAATCCAGAATAACTCTTTCAGTAAACTTTTTAGCAAACTTTTTCCATTGACGGAAAAAATAAACGTCCAAAGGCTGGATTAGAGATGTTGCACCAGCAGGAATTACTTTGAGCAGAATTTCTTTACCATCAATAGCAAGATTTGCTTGGTTATGGAGAGAAAATGAGTCAACAATAAGGCAACATTTTCTATCAATATTTGGAGCCAAACAATTTTGTTTCCATTGCTCAAGCACCTGTCTATCAATCTTTCCTGATTTGGTACAAGTAACAAACACGTTTGGTGGCTTACACCTTTCCAAATCTCGCAGCACATTGGGACCAAATTTACCACCGGGTTCTTGTAGAATTATCATCAACGGGGACAAGAGCCTACCATCCATGGTTATTATCGGCTGCACTGTATATGAATGTGAAATAGCATTGGATGACCGAACGCCAACGACAGTGTCTCTTTCACCAAGATCCGAGAGAGTTCTTTGTCGGTGAATCTCATAATGAAAGCCTGATTGGTCGGTATTATAAACTTCTTCAACAGTGTAATTCTGAAGTACATTATCACTGATATCCAATACAAAAGAAACAGCGTTGTCTTCCACCTTTTCTTTCTCTAATTCATGTTTATAAGTAACATAATTCGTTACTTTTCTAGCAACAATTTTGTGTTTCCTCTTGAACTCTAATACCCAGGTATCACTGGCTTTAAACCCTTCAAGTTTCACCTCTCTGGCTTTTGTACAAGCCCAGCGCTTTAGGTCATTATCATGTACAGCTGCTAGGTTGTTTCTAGCTTCTTTGTACTGCTTCCAGGTATGATCTGCGATCAGCTTCAATTTTTCTCTTCTGGTTCCTTGCTGGTCAAAATACTTTTTGTATCTATATAAATAGCTACTATCTTTAACCAATTTATAATGGTGTTGAATTGTTTTAAGGCTCCAACCTCTTTCTTTTGCTTCAATAACTTTTCTAATGTAATCAAATGTTACATAGTTTTTGTCTTTAGTTTCTATGTAAGGCTCATAGACAATATCAGACTCCAGTACAATTTCAGACGGCATATCGACAAGTTCTTCATCCTCGACAATTTCAGTTATAGAAGCATCTTCAAGGCACTTTATCAAGTTAAAAACTGTTGTGGCAATCTCTCTTTCACGAGGATTCATTGCTCTTGATGGTCCAGGAATTGCCAATTGGCTCAAACAGGATAATACATTAGACGCACTAAAAGACATTTTGACACAATTCGGTATAAAAAACTGAAAAAAGCAACAAAATAAACTAATATTAGCACTGTCTGCAAGTGGAAAAGGAAATAAGCTGAAAAACGGTCAGTTTGAATTTGAAATAAAACGGACGATTTTATGCGCATGCGTGAGTATGGGCCGCTAATTTTTGTTTTTCCCAGTAGGGTAAAGAGAGGTTATTATAATATGTTGCTTTCACTCAAATCCGCGATAGGCAGTTCGCGAGGTTACCTTGTGAGTCAGTTCAGGGAAGGAATTGAGAAAAAATCGAGAAATTAGAAGTAAATTTTGTCCAACTGTTGAGCCCAATGAAAGGATTATCTGAAAGTATTTTCGTGTTTTCTCATCTTATCATTGAAACTTTATTTTCTGGAAAATATGAAATATTTCCTGACGGTTCAATCAATAATAATCTGTAAACGATCAACTTCGTAAACTAAATTTCGAGTTTTGAACCATTTTCTTTTGAATCAATCATTACGATTGTTGGAGTTGAAATATTTTTTCAAATATTGACCCAAAAAAGTGAACCATTAAAAGACTCTGATGATTATTCAGATGAAACGTGATTTGATGAGATAAATGATGAAATAATTTTCTATTTCACTTTGAATAACTCTTTTTTTTCTTTACTCATATTAATATCATACATTAATAACATCTAATGAAATACATGATTAGGTCAATAATGAAAGGTAAACACTTGCCAACATTATTAGCAATAATCTTATATAATCAGTTGAGACTTTATTTTCATGGCAACACTGAATCAACACCTATAAAGACGATGCAAGATAAACATTTGAAAATCCCTTGGATTGTTCAATTGGTTCAATAATTGTTTGATTTCTCAATTTCAAGTGTGATTTGGCAACAATTGTTTTTACCCTGAAAACTGAGCTCAACTTTGAATTTCAATTTTTCAGAGAAAAGCAAAATTTCCAAAATATTTGCAATTTTATTTATTCTTGAAACTCAACTTTAACCTTTTTTACTGTTCACTTGAAGCCAAGTTTAATCGCTTTGATCCTGATTCTGATTATTGATCATGAATGCATCATGGAACTGACCAGAGAACGCAACAGATTCATGATTTACATTTCCAGGTTCATGGTAATCTTAAAAGCCGGCCAATGTTGAAGTCATTTAGAAAGGTTGAAAATTCAATCTAAAGTAGATTTACCTTCTCATCTGGTTAACCTGGATTAGATGAATTCCCTGAAAACAAGTTATGAATGTTATTTTAAAACTAAATCAATGTTAACTTTATCATTTGCATTATCCAATTCTGTATCAACAGCTCACTTAACTCCACCAAAATCAGGTTAAAACTATTTTTATCTTAACATCTTTTGCTTGTAACTTCAGGGAATGACGAGAAAGAAGAAAATGTTTAAAATCAAAATTTTCTTGTTTCCATCAGAAAACTTTAATACTTTTCCTTTTCACCATACTCTTGCCAGTCTTATCCAAATTTACATTCTTATAATCCAAGGTAAATCCAAAAGTTGGATAATTTCACTGGGATTGATAGAATATCAAAAAATAAATTTTGTAAATAAATGTAGAAATTTACAATTTGGACAGTCTGAGGTCAGCATTTATGAGCGAATGTCAGCGAATTTAAAGTTGATTTCTTCATGTGCTAATCTAATCAGTTTTGGCTCATCAGTTTTTAGGATTTCCGTTTTCTTTGTCAGATCCGATTGCTCACTCATATCTTGACTTGAAGTGACTCTTGATAAGTATCAGGTTCAAGATTATGGTTACATTATCATGAAGTAGACAGAATGGTAAATCTGACGAAACTGGAAAGAGACGAGAGAATTTTTGAGAAAGAAAAAAAATAGATTTTCTCACTTTGGTTACAGTTTTTTGGTGAAAGTAATATTCCGATGATATAAAGCTCTTGACTTTTCAACCTTTTCATTTTGTTCTGCCATCTCTTTCCATAAGATTTCAAACAAATGAAAATATTTATTTGTTGGTGAAAGAAGAGGAAAAACTTTTCATTGTTTACTCTACTTTCCAATATTTTGAGCATCTTCAACTTACAGAAGGTTGAACTGTTGCAGGAAAATCAATTAAATCAGACTTTTGCTATCGTTTTGATTTATTTTCAGATGCAGAACTATCGTATTGAACAGAATAAATTTTAAAATTGAACTTTTTGCAAATGTCGAGAGGATTAATAGACAAATGGTAATCTTTACCTTTTAAACTGAAAATGCTACAGAATGCTAGTTTTAAAGACTGTATGGGTTCAACAATTATAGTGACAATAGTTGTAAAATGTAATTCTTATTCGTGCGTTTTTGCGCTGAATTGCAAAAAGCTAAATATGAGAGAAATGCATATAACAGAAAACATTGTTTCAAAACGATTTGCAGACATTTTATCAGAATTATTATATTTTGCCATAAAATGCCTAGCAGTGCTAAAAAGTGCTTATTCTCACAATTAATTACGATAGAAATTGCATAGAGCACACTCGATGCAAATCGAGTCTTTGTCAAACTTTCTGTGTTTTTATTGAACTTTTCATGACTATCCGCTCATGAGAGACTTTAAAAAGTACTTTTTTGACTTGACCTGCTTTACCATTGTAACTGTGAGATAAAAAGGTAGAAAGGGAACATTAAGTATAAAAAGAGTTGTACTGACCAATTCTAACTCATATTCACTTCACCTTTCAGTTTCCAAGCCTTTTTATAGTCAAAGACTGACT